GATTGTTTGGGCTTTCTTCTATCAATGTACTGTCGGAACAGTCTGCTACTCCCTGGTGGGAGAGCTGTCTTCGCGTCGCCTTCAGATCAAGACTGTCGTTCTTGGTCGCAATCTCTAGTAAGTCGCAACTTGCCTTCCGAATTAACCCGATGGTACATCAAGCTGACATTACGCTAGCAATGTTGTGGGAATTATCAACGCCGTTTTGACGCCCTACATGCTCAATCCCACCGCATGGAACTGGCAGAACTTCACCGGATTTTTCTGGGTACGATATCCTTTCCACGGCTCCTGCTTGCTACATGGATTCAGGGTTGTCTTGCTAACATCTTCTTTAGGCCGGGATCTGCTTTCTCTGCATTATTTACACTTATTTCCGCGTGCCCGAACCTAGGGGACGAACTTTTGCAGAGCTGGATCTGCTGTTCGAGAAGCGCATCAGTGCTAGGAAGTTTGCGGCGACAGAGATTGATGTATTCCATGAGGCGGTGGACGAAAGCACAATGGAGCGATACGAAAAGACCACGGAGGCCAGGGTCGAGTCCGTTTCAAGAGTGTAAATTTGGACTTCCATAAATAGCTGTCCATATTGACCAAAGGCTTAAGCTTAAATCGCCTTTCGTATCCCCAGTGCCTATTCAAGTGTGTCAGAAGGTATTTGCCTGAGTGTTCATTGCATCTCTTAATGTAACCATCCATTTCAACCTGTCTCCGGACGAGAATGTTGTCATTAATTAGCTGTGTCCTGAGCTTGTGCGGGCAGCATTTTGTGCACAGAGCAAGTTGATTACCGCCAATGGGCCTGACTGGTGTTGTGGACCTTCCAAAGCAGAATGTCAAAATTCCAAGGCGGTCTAGTGAGATCGTAGGCATGCTCTCAATTAATCCCTCAGTTTCGTCACACCTTGGAGTCTCATGGCTGCTAATGGAGGGCTGAGGTTATAAGACCAGCCTATTACGTTGTAGATATCAAGCTACAGCGCTTTATGACGATCATTCATAATGTTTCAGCGATTATGGTATGGAACCAATCCGGGGATACCTGTTGTCCAGATATTTTTCCTGTCCAAACGTACTCCCTTCGCCAACATATCTAGATATTATGGGCAGCAGCCCAGTTACGTACGTTCTGATTAATCTGACAGCGATCATTAGACCAAGACAGGGTTAGAAAACAGTCATTTACCAATCACTGTTTGTGCGAGACATACTCTATACCCTGTATACCTAGATGCTCGGATTTCGGTACTCTTTCGGTAACGCGAGGTGAGCTAGTGCCCCGCAACGGGGACAGGAGACAGGAGAACTGCAGAGCTAAGCTTTTCACACCGGAGAATATACCAAATACTGAAAGCAGTAGACTGCCACACGTCGTTGTGGCATGCCAGGTGGGCGGCTCCCCACTCAGAATACCACAATCTGGACGCTGCTAAGCTTTGAGGCTTATGAACCTCCAGGGATGTCGCGGCGACAGCCGTGGGGCCCATCCAGGCGTCTCTTCACGAATGAAACGGAGATCTTCTGAAATGTGGCGTAATTTTGATCATTTGGACTCTTGTTTAGCTACAGATTGCGTCTGTTATGTTACTGACTAGGTTTGTGGCCTCCGTTGGAATATCATATTTGGTCTTGTAAGACATTTCGACAAACTAGCTAAGAGCACGCTGGATATAACTAGAACCAAACACATGTTGCGAGAGAAATCCCGGCCCTCCACAATCTCAGATGAGTTATCTTGAAGTACATTCTGGTTGTGGACATGCTTCTACCAGTCCCTGTTGTTTGACTTAATTGCGCGCATTTATATAGTTCTTGGGGTGCCACGTAGAGGGTAACATCTGATAATCTGATAATCATTAGGTCCCACCAGATTGGATCACGCCCTTTCACTAGCCGAGGCGAGAGTCTCCTGGATGGGGACGCCAGAAACTTAGCGGTCATACAAGCATCAGCTAGTTGACGGGATGATTGTATCGACATGGTTGACGAGATATGAGGAGAAGTGCCGAAACTGCAAGTGGGGACGGCTTACGACACCTTGCTGAGGATTGATGGATTTTACCTGAATGTGCTGAGCCATTACCCGCCAGAAACTCCCGAGATCCTCCATGGAGTCAGTCACAAAACTAAAAAATGCAAATTTGACGCGGTGGATCTTGATGATGTCTTTTTCCCCGCTGGGGATTGGCCGCAGCTGAAGCAATTTCTTCCATAGTAGACAAAGATGCCGTACTTCCGAGTTGTGGTCCCAGCGCGAGGAGCATGGTTACAGCCCGCTACCTGTGATCCAAGTGATGAGAATTATGATGAAGATGGTGCTTTCTTTTGAATAGAGATGAGTTCAAATTCTATGTAGTACCTATCATTCATGGATATTATTCACTGCTACTGTGGTGACCATTTCCTAACTTTGCCTTCTCTTCACGCCGTCCTGAACGTCGTGATGTGGGAGGGCGGAGGCATCCCTCCCGGAGATGAGGCGGCACGGCCAACTGCCGGCGGGGGCGGTCTTATGCCGGGGCCTGGTTATCTGATGCATCTAAGCCGCAAAGAGAATAGACGAGGACGACTGAAGTTATCAGATCGTCAGTGAACGGAGTATCGAGGGCATGGTAGTCCAGGCACTTAGGGCGATGAAAATCCCTCTTGGATGTTGCGAGATATGTAACCCGGATTATTATAAAATCCTGTAATACCCTGGGTTTCTTTCTCTCAATTTGCTGATATTCTACAGTCGTCCTGTTGATGCTTGCCGGATCTCGGTTGATTCGCTCGCCTTACAATGGGCAACATATTGGATTATTTGACCACTATGGGTCTTTTTCAACAGCTTTTTTGGATATTTTCTCTGGCTACCGCTATCCTCATCTTAGCATACCATGCCTTCTTGGTTATCTACTACCCTTCTAACCTGCCTCGAGTAGGAGCAGACAAGGGGAACGCATGGAGTGCGATGCGAAAACAATTCAACACTGACTGCTTGTCCTTATTGAACGAAGTGTACGAAAACGTAAGTTCAACGAGACTTACATTGGCAAATAAGTTAACTCAATGGTGCATTCAGTACTCGAAAAAGGGGAAATCAGTGCTCATCCCCGTCTTCGGTCCCCACGATGAAGTCATTCTACCACCAAGCTCATTAGCATGGCTCTGCCGACAGCCAGACAATGTGTTGAGCTCTCTCGATGCACAGATAGATTCGATTCAACCCCACCATAGCCTGGGTAACAAGTTTGCGTATGATCCATGGGGTGGCATGTTGATCAAGACGGATCTAAACAGCGCGATCGAGACGGTGTGCGCTGTTTTGAATGATGAACTCAGCGCTGCGTTTAGTGCATGCTTTGGGGACGACTGCGATAATTGGAAAGAGATTGATCTTTTCCCTGCGTGCCGGATTATCGGGGGCCGTGCGACTTTACGTTTTACTCTGGGAGATTCTCCCGAGGGAAGACGCCTCTGTGAGTAATGGCATCAGACGGTAAACTCTAGCGCATCAGACTAATGGGATATTTCACTAGGTGCTGATGAAGGGTTCGTCCAGAGCTGTTATGATGTCTTGGATGGTATGCTTGATACCGCTGGAGCGATGGCTTCGTCTCTCAAAATTTTCAGACGCTTCGTTGGTCCTTGGGCAAGCAGAGCTATGCCGGGAAAGCTTCGAGACCTTGCGAAGTGTATTGAGCCCTTGTATCAGGAACGGATGAAATTCTTGAGAGACCAGCCGACTGAGAAGGATTCCGAGCCGCAAGACTTGATCCAAATGATGCTACAGTACGCCGTCAACGAACGCCCAGAGGAGGCCAACAATCTTGACGACATCGCAAAACGTCTTGCACTTTCAAATTTTGGTACCATGCACCAGACCATCATTACCCTGCACAACCTCATCCTCAACATCATTGACTCGGACACTGAATTTGATACCGTCTCCACCCTGCGAGATGAAGTAACGAGTGTTCTGGGACAAGGGAGCGATACCACTTCGAAGCAGTGGACCAAATCCAAAGTAGCTGCGATGGTGCGGGCCGACAGTGTAGCTCGAGAAACCCTACGTGTAAACTCCTTCATCGGCCGTACAGTCCAGCGCCTGGTGGTTGCGCCCAGCGGCGTGATGACCCCTGATGGTATTCAACTGCGGCGTGGGACAATGGTCTCCATCCTTGCCCACCAGTCCCAGACCGATGAGGACTATTTCAAGGATCCGTTCAAGTTTGACCCCTTCAGATTCTCCCGCGAACGTGAGGCAGCCGCGGATGAGGTGACGGGACACCCTGGGTTAAATCACCTCAGCATGGTGTCGACGTCGGCGAAATACCTGGCCTTTAGCCACGGAAGACACGCGTGCCCGGGCAGATTTCTCGTCGATTTCGAGCTCAAGATGATCATGGCCTACGCTGTCAAGAACTACGATCTGGAGTTTCCGGAGCAGTATGAAGGCAAACGGCCACCTAACAGCTGGTTTAGTGGGTTCGGCATTCCGCCTTTGGAAGCCAAGATCAGAGTGAAGAGGAAGAAGTCTGTCTAAGTCTTGGATGTTTCAAGTCTCCAATTAGCTTGCACCCTTTGAGATCTCAAATATTGTCCTGAATACATGCCAGGATGCCGATCTAATTGTATTTGGCTAAAAAGATGTATTTTAGCTTAGTTGTTCTCTTTTAACATACATTTGACGCATGCGTTGCCGCACCCAATTTTCCTGTTGCTCCGCAGTACATAAATTGACTTTTTTGAAAAAGAAAATTCCAGAAGTATCTCTGTCTGAAAACTAACTGCCGATCGATGACTAGCACGATTGATTCAACAAATAAGAGGGCATTTTCTATGACGTCTTCGACAAGATGACGTCGTACATCGATCGCACTTTGGTGGAGACTTTATAATGGGTGAAACATTAGATATAAAAATGTGCAGTTATGAGTTCGAGTAGTTAGTTTCTTTATTTTAACCTACAACAAAATTTTCAAATTTTGATTGACAAGCGCAGCACATTAATCAACATGTCTGGAAACTCTTCTGTCGGACAGGCCTCAGTCTACGAGGCCGGGGATCAACGCAACTACAAACAGTCAGAAATCAACAAGTCAGACCCTTACAATGAAGGGAAGGCCAACTCCCACAACACCTTAGATTCTAGTGAGTTCGAGTTTGGCGACCCTATCTTATATGCATACTGGGGTGTGTTATTGACCAAACAACAGAGGATGAGCGATCCATCGCCAACAGACTAGCGGCTGCGGAGGTATGTACCTGGATACTACGAACCATATCTCATCAAACGAGTGCTGACAATTATTGTAGCGCAAGGATGAGCCAGAGGAAGATTTGGAAACGAAATTGACCAAAAAGGACCCTACACTGCCTGTAGGTGTGATCTAGTTGATAGCCATGATGCGAGATAGGAACTGACCTCGATAGGCAACCATGCACGGTAACGAGCCGTCCAAGGGCGCCAAGATTGACGCTGAGTTGCAAGCTGAGGAGGAAGAGATTCTAAAGAAGAAGGGCAAGGCGTGATCACAGGCAAAATTCCCTGCACTTCGACGAAGAGGTTAAAGTCTCATGGCTCAAATGTAATTGGCTCAGTAGCCAACAGCATCTGCCCTGGATCACCAGAGAGCGATGGTATTGTCATGCCCGCCTCTTCGCATTCGTCATCGGTATTTCATGAAGAGAATATGAGAACTTGATAAATTTTTAAAAAAAAAATCGAATCATAACTGTCACTAAAAGCAGTTTGACCTAGCCTATGCATTGTCTTTCGTGATACTGTATCTTTGTGAAATGATCGAACTTCATCACACTGACCCATGACGTTAAAATGATCTTATCTTAAACCCAGCTTTAGCTCATGCTGCGCCAACCATGACAGGCATCTTGTCTCTCTAAAATTTCACATCTCTATGATAGTAAGGGATTTTTCTCTTAGATTTTCATAGTCAATTTCAATCAGACCATAATAGGTGACTCACAATAACGGAGTATACTGTATCAAGTGGGAGGTCGGCTCGAGCTGCGTTAACATCTTCAAAGGAACGCTGCGATTTTCGGCAGCACTCCCGGTCAAAATTATCAAGCATCTGAACGAGTTCATTTGAGGCGGTGCCCATGCTGAGCAAAGTCGGGGCCATTACCGCATTTGTTGAGTTTTCAGATGCACCGCCGGTGCTGAAAAGACCCGCTCTCTTGCTGCGCCTGAGCAAGTGACGTGGAGCGTCGCGCTCAAACACACCCAAAGAAGACAAGTGTGGAAAGATCCGATGGAACCCTGCCTCAGAAAGGGGGGCACAGAGGCGAGCGCGCCAATGAAGCTCCTCGGTACGGCCGTCACATCGACATGGGGCAACTAATCATGGTGCCTCGTCAGCTTGTTTTTAGTGGTGCTCAGCAGCGAGAGCGAGCGAGCGAGGGAGCAATCTGGCGAAATAGAATGGGCATGGAAGAGGATGATCAGGGAGAGACACGACGCAATATATAGATGCCCTCAGTCCCGCTCTCGCATAAATGAGAGTGAGATCCCCCTGACCCTTTTCTCTTCTACGTACTCTTTGATGAGCAAGTCGTGTCAAAAGCCGAAACAAATCAAGCAGCCATGACCACCCAGTTTCTTGACCCAACCACCGGGCGTATGATGGTCATTGGGCCTGAGCCTCAGCCACCTGCCTACACGCCAACCGCTGGTAACGAACCTGCGATTGCGACCGTGGCAACGACGACACATGGCGAGGAGAAGCCTAGAACATATGAAACTCCGGACGATATCCGGATGCCCGCTCGCCCAAAATCAAGCACGAATTCTACCAACATTGATCGCCACACTTTGCCTGAGCTGGCTACGGCGGAGGCTAGGCGGGAATTTGGCAGAGATAACATTTCGACCAGCAAAGAAGTGTTTGACGGATCGTCATTGTCGGGATCGCCTAGCCCTTCGGATACCCCAAGGTTCCCTCAGAGGGGAATAATCAGCCCTCTTTCGGAATCCTCGTTGGGCGAAGAACATCCCACCGTGACACCATTGCACCTACTTGGTGATCAATCTGACATGATCGATTGTCCCTTCTGCAGGCGCCGCACAGAAACTCGGGTCAAGAAACACCCATCCGTCGTTACCCAGTGAGTTCCCTACCAAAAATCTTATCAAGGAAATCATTATGACTGACTGAAATAATTACTAGTGTCACGGCGACGACATTATTCGTAACGACCGTCGTTGGAGCGGCAGCGCCATATGTCGGTCGGTGGAGCAATCACACCAGTCATTACTGTACAAATTGCGATCATAAGGTTGCGCACAAGCGGTTCTACAGCTCCGAGATGAAATCCCTTGGCACACCCGAGCATCTAAGAGAAGCCTCTCAATATGAGCCGACGGCAAGTCCATAGTTTTCCGCCAATCCCCGCGGAAGAGCAACCGGATTTCATCTTGGTTGCATTCCATGTGTATAATAAGAATCACGCTTTGAGATACCCTAAACTACTAGTTCTTGAATTTTAGAATTTCATTGAATTTCATTATAATCTCAGGATTGTCCAACCGTAGACGGATATGTGTGTAATAGTGTACACATGATGCGAGTCAGTCGTGAAGTTGTGTCTGTTTTGTATACGATCTTGATGAAAAAGGTGATTATATTCCTTATGACTGCTCTCTTCCCAATTAGTCAAGAAGTGCAAAGGGAGAACTTCCAAGTTTTGCTCACGAATGTCAATCCCTCCCTAGGTCCACTCTCCGCATAAGGACAAATTGCAATTACCAACACGAGTTAACGCGTCGGTAATGAATTGATCATCAACTGCATCAGAATTCAGATATCGCTGACAACCAATTCCCTTTACAGAATTCGCCGCAACCCAACCAGCCAGTGCTGTATAATCAGACGGAGTTTGAGGGTTGGCGCGAGGATGCCCCCCACAATAGATGACAGAAATATCCAGAAATGGCCAAATGTGATCCACATGAGCTGGTCTTTCAGGTTGCGAATTTGTTGTCCTCACTCGATAAGGCCGGTGTTATGCGGTACCAAATGTTACTTCCAATCAACTTTAATAAAAGACCGAGAATCTAGGGCATGTCAGAGTTCGAGGTAGTATAAAAGTCTTTGATCTTTCTCTTCTCTTGTGAGCCAAGGTACCTACGTTCTACTCACACTGAGCACATCAACCTACCAAACCAACCATCAAATCACACGCAATGCCTTCTTACGTTATTACCGGTGTTTCTCGAGGACTCGGGGTAAGAGTTCCCAAAGCCTTGTGTCAAGTCCAAGCATTGACTTACTGACTGAAATTGATCCTAGTGGGAGTTCCTTCGCTAAATCTCCGCAAGCCCCAACAGTCAAGTCATTGGACTGGTCCGTGATAAGAAGGCAACCGACAAAAGGGTGTCCGAAGAGCTCGCTGGGAGGGCCAACATCACCATCCTAGAAGCCGATCTTTCTAACTACGATGCCATCAAGGTGAGGCGTTTTGCTGCTTCGCGAGAGTGTCATAAATTGTTGACATGTTTTAAATAGACCGCTGTGGCGGCCACCTCGGAAATCACCGGGGGAAGTCTTGACTACCTGATTGCGAACGCTGCAAACGTCTCAAAGTGGGATGCCTACGACCCTATTGGAGTCTTGTGAGTCTACTCATAGTCGGTTGGCACCAGCGCTAGAGACCATCGTATTGACCAGAGGATCAACAGAGCTGAAAGTCCCAAAGAGCTCGAGAAGCAGATGATCAACATCACCACTGTCAACATCGTTGGAAACATCAATCTTTTCAAGCTTTATATACCTCTTCTCCTCAAGGGCCAGGCGAAGAAGGTCATATCGCTTACCTCGGGCCATGCGGACCTGGACGCGATCAATCAGATTGATATCGAGCCGGCCGCTCTCTATTCAATCAGCAAAGCGGGGATGAATATCGCCGTGGCCAAGTTCAGCGCCCAGTACAAGAAAGACGGCCTCCTCTTCTTTAGTCTGAGTCCTGGCGTGGTGGATGTTGGGTCCCAAGCCGATGGTAGGAGTTCGCGCCCCCCTTTCATCGTCCCATGTGGCTAACAGATTTTGATAGCTACCCCGGAGCAACTGCAAAAACTCGGAGCCATGGCTGCCGGCTTTTTGCGAGCTTACCCTGAGTGGAAGGGGCCGACCCAGCCAGTAGATTCAGTCAGGGACATGCTGACTATTATCGAGAAGGCCTCAATTGAAGACGGGTTTGGAGGATCTTACGTGTCCCACCACGGAGACAAACATTGGCTCTGAGTGGCATAACCTCTCTTTTTGAAAGGTTCAGATAATAGTTCTAGGAAGAACTTGAGCCCCATTTGGATAGGATCGTGCCATTTCATGTACATTATGCTGAAAGCTCAATACAGATGACATCATGTCATGCGTGGCTACCCGCCTTGGAATCGCCCCTGTATCAGAGATATGTTTGCCCCTTTCATAAATATCATTGATCGACACGGGAATATTATCCCACGAGCCGTCAGAGAATTTCTGATCCATGCCATTTGTTGGGTTTTGTGGAGATGTTCTCAAACACGGAGCATCCCTACCGAAACCCAATGCGGAGAGTTCCTATTCTCCGACCATTCAACTGGTGAGTTCAGCGACGACCAGGGATTTGGAAACGGTTTGATCCTTGGAAGACCCTGTGTCATGTTGCAGGTCAAGTAGAACGTGTAACCCGGGCCGCATATCCTTAGCAACCTCCGTTGCCCATTTTGGAGATCAACCATGCGAAAGGGAGAATATAAAACCTCGTGGACGCCCTACCTCCCAATGGGTATAATTCTAGCCCAGAACCACATCCCATTCATCAGATATTCTACCCTCCGTCAGGCACGGAAAACGAAAGCCAATTTCCCTTCATCATGAAATCGACGTTGATCGCCGCTCTCACTGCGCTGGCCGCGAAGCAGGTTGCCGGCCACGCTACCTTCCAGCAACTCTGGGTGAACGGCGTGGACAAGATATGTCAGCCCTTGCTTCATATGGAAGGAATTTTGTTTAGCTAACTACAAAAGTACGGCTCGACTTGTGCTCGTCTCCCCCTCAGCAACAGCCCTATTACCAGCGTTGAGAGTAATGACATTCGATGCAATGCTGGTACTTCGCCCGCATCTAGCAAGTGCAGCGTTGCTGCCGGAGATACGGTTACCGTAGAGATGCACCAGGTTAGTTGCCCACACTCTATTATCGGACCTTACCCCTAGTTATACAAGAAAGCCAGTCTGACCGTTATTGATAGCAACCCGGCGACCGAAGTTGTAGCAACGAGGCTATTGGCGGAAATCACTACGGCCCCGTCATGGTATACATGTCCAAGGTTGCCGACGCCTCTACAGCCGACGGTTCAGCCGGCTGGTTCAAGGTGTTCCAGGACGGATGGAAGAAGGCGTCGACGAGTTCTCAAGGAGGTGACGACTACTGGGGCGTCAAGGACCTCAACGAGTGCTGCGGCAGGATGGATGTCAAGATCCCGGCCGATATCCCTGCCGGCGACTATCTCCTTCGTGCCGAGGTCATCGCCTTGCACAGCGCTTCGGGCCAGAACGGCGCCCAGCCCTACGTTACCTGCTACCAGTTGACGGTTACTGGCGGAGGCAGCGCATCGCCGGCGACTGTAAACTTCCCAGGTGCCTACTCCGCCTCTGACCCCGGTATTTTGGTCAACATCTGGGCTCAGTTGAGCGACTATGTTGTGCCTGGCCCTGAAGTCTACTCTGGCGGCAGCACCAAGGAAGCCGGCTCGGCGTGCACTGGATGCGAGGATACTTGCGCTGTGGCTTCCAAGAAACGCTTTATCCAATGGTAGATGTCTATAGAGCATCTCTCTGGATGTAGATGGATCATATGCAATAAGATGGCATATTTCTAGAGATAATCAGGATGGAATTGCATACTGCGATGCTTGGGAAAACAAAGATTTGTACTAGAAAACTGGCAGCATTTCTTTTTTGAATTTAGATCAAGTGTTAGCTATATTTTATGCTACTTGCATCCTCTGAGAACTGTAGAGTTATAAAAGACTCAACGTGTCTTAACATACGTATTGTGAGATCAAAGATCGGTGCCATGACTCAGACCAAGAAAGAATAACAAGAGAAAATGACTATTGATAAATAGGAATTAATTGGTCTGCTCGTCGGGTATGAATCCCATGCCCAACTCTGTAGTATGGTAAGAAAAATATGAAATTACATCATCCAGATGCTCTATATTCAGACTCGGTGTTTAAAGTTTGATGTCAGATAATAATACAGTCATGCGACTACCTGGTCAATCGCAGCCAGTAATTCATCGGGGGCGCTCAAGAAAGGACAATGGCCTGTTTCTAGAGTAACTACCTTGGGCTTGGATCCAAGTTGCTCCCACAGCTGCTGCTGAAGAGGGTAAGGAAGACCATTGTCCTTGCTGCACGCGATGTAACTACAAGGAATACCATTGGCCCAAGGCTCATACCCAGAGGGAACAGCAAAGGGCTGGGTAGAGGTATGAGTCACCTCTTTAGCCCATTTAGTCTGCTCTTCAGAATCAAGATCATTAAACATAAGCTCGTTCATCATATCTGGATTCCCGATTACGCGGTCCTCCTAGAGATTTGAGTGAAAAAGTTAGCGCCGGTAAATGGGATCGTGCGGCTCAGTATATTCAACAAACCTGCATAATCATCCATGGGAGGGGATTACCGCCCAGCATATCCAAAAGACTCTTGTCCTTTGGAAGTATGAAGGCTGCAAGAAAAATCATGCCATCAACAGCATTAGACCCCTCAACCGAGTTGCTGCCAACAACGCCGCCATAAGAGTGGCAGAGCAGGATAGCTCTCTTCCCCATACTGGAGAGCTTATCTAGAACGGAGCGAACTTCTGCGACATCGTCCTGCAGCCCAGCCAAGGGCAGCTCTTCGCCTCCAACTGTCTTCAGCTTGACGTATTCAGTAGGGTACCCGGCACCATTGAGCTTCTTCTGGAAGCTGATCCAGGCAGCAGGCTTCTGCCATGCTCCAGGAACAATCACTAACGAAATGTTAGAATTCGAATATAAGGATTGAAAGAGCCGCTGTCTCTGTTTTTTGTTCCTTTGCAATTCGCTTTACTTCGAACTACACTTACCTATGGTAGGCTTAGGAGACATATCGATGCTTTGGAAAGAGGCCGAGTTGGTGTTTGGAGACAGAAGAGGCATCAGGCAGATGAGAGAGATGGCTGGCTTATAACCTAGCCCAACCCCAGCCGACATCTCCGGGAACTTGCTTGAGCTGACTCAATATCTTAGATGAGATTTTACAAACGAACTGGGCGCGTCGACCCATCTAACCCACAAAAAGAAAGGGGAGGGGAATATTTTGGCCTTTTCTGCCGTGATCATGTCGTTTTGTCGCCACATAGTTCCTTTTCTGGCGGATTTGCTCAACTGGCTCCAGCTGGAACCAACGAGGTGGATCTCTAGTAACGGTCTTTTGAATTGAACCAATTAATGCCCCTCGTAATATGAAAGCTCCAGACAAGTAAAATCAGCACATTCTCTCCACGAGTTCAATCCAATCCGGCGTCTACGCGGCTTGAGAATAAGCAGCTTATCGTGGTGCAACCCTTTAAACCAGTAGAGCAGGGATTGTAGTAACAAGCTGAATGAGTCAACAGAACACCTCAACGTACCTCGTTGACGTGCAGGCATACTGTCTCCCCGACCTATTGACCGACTATTATAAATGTTAGAAACTTACAGTGTTGGGTGTTGTGTTTATTGGCTTGCGCTTCCTTGGAGGGGAATTAGTGACAACAGTGTGTTGGGATAGAGCGTCGAATGCACGCATGGTTTTATTAATCAAGGACGCAAGAGAAGCGCCGAGTAACAAAGAACATGCAGAGAAGTTTCTTTAACCATGTATTCATCTACTAGGATAGTAGTTCCGTTCCTTGATCTTTTCATCTAGGATCCAGGATCCAAAGATTACAAATAGAGTATATAAAGATGTTGCCAAAGAACTACGTGACCTGATCCGACGAGTTTAAAAACACGAATCCTCAGCTTCTTTGAATTTTCCGACGATTTCTCTGACTGCATCTAATGGCAAGGCTTCCACCGTGCGCCCCATGTTACCAGTCATTGTTTGGGCCATGCAGAGTGCATTGTAGATTGCCTCCTCTGTCGCGTCAGCGGCTGCTTCAAAGAGCCCGTTGATGGTCTGGTTGTCCGTTGAATCCACGCTCAGAGTGCGAGGTTTGAATGGATCGACCGATCGGTGCTGGCCTGTCACGGTCTGGACAGGTATTTCATTGGCAGTCGAAAAGGCGAGAAACAGATCGCCCGAGGGATTATGCGCATATCCTCCAACACGCGCGAGACCAATCGTTGCGCGTTTTGCCAGCCTCTGCAGTTGTCCAGGGAGAAGAGGCGCATCAGTTGCGAGAATGATGATGATTGAGCCATCCTTTCTGTCCTTTGCATCGTCATACTCTTCGTTATGGGCAGTGGCTGCAGCGTCTCCTTCGGCCTTTCGTTGAAGTATTCTCCCAACTGGAACCCCGGAGATTCGAAGATGATGAAGACGGCCGTAGTTCGTCTGAACGAGGGCAGCAACGGTGTAAGATTTGTCCCCCTCTGCAGGCACAACTCTACTGCTAGTGCCGGTGCCACCTTTGAACCCTTGGCACATGGTGGCTGTTCCTCCGCCGACATTTCCCTCAGGCACTGGGCCTTCTGATGCCTGGCTGATACTTTCGACAATGTGTTCGGGGGTGATGGGGAAGTGTCGCAAGTCGTTGAGATGGCCGTCAAACGTTTCTGCGACTACAGGGAGGAGAAACCAATCGACACCCTCATTCCCTTGCCCGTAGTGCTTGATTGCATATTTGTAAATGCCGGTGTAGCACGGGCCGACCGCGAAGCTATTCGTAATGAGAATTGGCGAATGCAGCAGCCCGGTTTCTTCGATCCAGTGGGTTCCGGTCATCTCTCCTGAACCATTGAGACGGAACATCCCTGCATGGCAAGCTTTGTGAAACCAGTCTTGCCGTGGAAGAATTGTCGTCACACCTGTATTGATTTGCCCGTTTTCCTCGTGGATTGTCACTGTGTGCGCGAGGACTCCTGGAACATCCGTAATCCCATTCTTGGGGCCAGGCTTCCAAAATCCAAGGTGGACTTCTGGAAAGACTTCCCGAAAGCGACCACGGCTACCATGATGGGGTGAGTGTGTTGCCATTTTGAAATGCTTTGCTATCTTGTTGGAAGTCTGTCAAAGCTGTGTAGTCAGAAGGGAATGTGGCATTGAGATTGAGTAGGGAGTCTCTGCCATTATACTGCCATTATATATGCATAGATTTGTCAAGGTTTCAATGCAACGCAATGCCAACCCTCGCTTATCAGTTTGCACAGGTATTGGACGGCAAAAGATCCCATGTCAATCTGTACCTACAGATGTTCTCGCATTCCATTGGCCATTCAATCTCCCGGCGAATGAGTCACCGGTCCTATGTTACCTTGGGTCCCCGCCTTAGACGCGCGCGTCGATCCTGTATCGACGATCGAATTATTAGTGAGGGATGAGCATCGTTGATCGTACCACTTCGGCAGGAACAAACCGAAGTCTCTAGCATAGGCGAATGGCCAAAGCGCTTTTCGACCCATTCCCTGGGAGACCCGAAAAAATCAATTTTATTTCGATGAGAAGTCATTTGCATCTCCTTTCTCACCTCAATACGCAAATACTGATAGGAGATAGAGATCAATAAAAAACAGGCAGAGGCTACGATCATTCGACTTTGGCTGCCTCCATTCATCCAAACTATCCGTTTCATTGGGGCATCCAACCCAACTGCTGATATCCCACCTGACGCTCTGGCATGAAAGTCACATAATCATGATAGATCGTTCTTTTGCCTAGTTTGAAGAACCTAAGGAATTAATATTCTCCGTTCTTTGGCCATCAGAGCCTCGTTCTCAATTACAGAAACTTCACCTCCAACATAGACAAGTAGCGATGAAGAGCCTACGTTGTGAAATTCAACTTTCCCTGGGCGGAAAGTACCAGCGTGTACAGCTTCCCATGAAGCTTCACACTACTTGACAAATGTAGGCTTGGTCACAGAGGCGGGCTGCCTGGCTCTACGTGCTTGGCCCTCCTTGGAGCTCTCATTATTCAAAGTTGTTAAGACGAGTAAGCTAAAGACCAAATATCCTTTCAGTACTCTTTGCCACAAAACAGGTCCCGGCAATAACTGCTCTGATCTTGGCATAAATCACTAAGACTCTTTGAGACGAAGCAATCAGTAAGCTTCCCTTCTCGTCCTAGACAGGAGGGCAGTGCTAGGGAATCCTGCACACAGTGTGGAGTGAGGGGGCTTACTGAGATCCTCCTGCGGTTCACGGTGGTTGAGAATCACGGTCAACACACTTTCTCAGCGCATCACCAACACAATGACAGGCAACGAGGGTAACTCATCTAGGTCGGGGGGGTTGTCAAACTTCCCCCGCGAGATCCTGTCTATGATTTGCGAAAACCTCTGCTCCCATTGTACCTCGATTACTCAAGATGCAAAAGACTTGGACTGGGGAAGCGTGCCGTCGGCGTTATTGGCGCTCAGCAAGACTTGCAGAGTCCTGCGTGAGATCGCACAGCCTATTACCTACCATGTATTGGCCATTATCCCCTATCATGCCCATTTCACCAGGTTAATCCGCACCCTGGACGAGCGCCCCGACCTGGCAGCACAGATGAGGTGGCTTCGTCAGCACACCTACGAGTGTGGCGGCTGGAACTACGACGAGGCCGAGGAGATTGAGTTGGTGAAAGGTGTCGCCAAGCGGCTGGGCATGCAACGCGAGAGCGATGAGGACTTTGAATCTGCGGACGAGGAGGACACATCCCTGAACAAGTTTTGCATTGAGCTGCTGATTGCCTTGGCACCCAATCTCGAAGCACTGCAGGTTTACGTGGAAAACGACGGCAATTATGAAGGGACCCATTACTACTACACTGCTGAGAGGCGCAGGCAAATAGGTCGTGAAGCTGCATCGCTCCACCGTCTGAAGAGGTTGGAGTTTTTGACAGAGGATGACTGGGGCGTGAGTGCCAACGTGCCAGGCATCCCCGTTTTGTTAAGTCTCGCGCCAAATTTAGAACATCTTTCTCTGTATAGGTGCAAGGGATTAAGTCATGAAACAGATGGGGAAGACGAAGAATCAGGAACTATCTTCAGGGACGGAGCAGGCAGTTCACTTCGAGTCGTCGAGTTCAAGAGTAGTGCTCTCGAAAGCAATGGGGACACCGACTCGCTCATCCGCGATATCGTCTCGCATGCGCCGCACCTTGAGCGCTTCTCCTATCAGTCACAATCGGCATATTTGGGCGAGCATATTGATGTACACTTTACTGCTCACGAATTCCTCCGGTGCCTTGAACCCACCAAGAACTCGCTCAAGTTCCTCAATATCGACCTCACAGAACACTCCCTCCATAACGGAGGCCCCGAGACTGTGGTGCCGCACGTTCTCCAGAGCTTTACCGCGTTGGAAACGGTCAAGCTAGATGACACGTCTTTTTGCCGGCATAACCCGGAAGTACCACCAACCTGTCTGACAGATACTCTGCCTGTCAACTTGGGAACTCTCGTCGTCAGGCTTTATGAAGCCACCCATGCTTGGGCTGACCTAGAGCGACTGGCCATTGAATCTGGAAAGTTTCCGAAACTTCGGCGTGTCCAAGTAGAGAATATTCTCCGCATGCACAGTGGTGTAGCCGAGAACGTCTTTCCGCGACAAGCCGATGAGCATTGCAGCGTTTTATACGATTCTTTCACGGAGAAGTCTATTGAATTTGCGTGGTCTATAAGTATAGAATAGTGTCAATAGCATGAATTTTATCTGAATTTCTTTTCGGTGTTTTTGATTGTGACAGGCAAGACTCGTTCCAATCAAGGCTTATCTAAACCAAATTATGCTTCGTAACTTACTATATCAACGAATAACTACAGAATTTCTCCCCTTCTTGCTCGCAACATGTTCATCGATGCAGACGCCTAAAATCTTGTACTTGCCCATCGGGTGGCCCCGGCAGATCAACAAGTTTCCAGAGCCTCCAGTCTCGACGTACCCGTAGTCTCTCCCAACATCAGTAACCCCGTGTGAGAACTCATCCCTGACAAGAGCCCTACCATAGGGAAACTGTCGATTGCCAAACGGCACGGTTTTGTCCCGCTTTGTACTCCTGCAGCTCGAGGCGTAGCTCTTGTATGCACCCACGTCTCCTCCAAATGCAACGACATTGAAAGCCTTGCCCACATCTCCCACCTGGATCAGCCCCATACCGTCTCGTAGAACAATTCGGTTGTCGGCATCCAGTGCTGCCGATGTGTCTCCAAGGAAGCTACCGTGCACTGCGGTGAGTGCCTCGATCATCAAGACAAACGGACCTGTAATTGTACAACCGCAATTGATCGATACCTCACACAGCAGATTAGCGGTAGCCTTGTTGTAAAGCCGAGATCCGCAGTCAAAAATGTCGACAAAGTTGTAGTTCATCGACCAGTTATGGGCTCGGACGCCCTCCGGATGGGGATTCTCCCACGTTGTGCCACTGACACATCTGTCCACCCAAAGCGTTGGTTTGGCGCTGGGGTCGGTCCAATTCCAGTCAGGCTGCAACTTCCGGAGGAGATTCCTGCGATATCTCACAACGTCGTTGACGGGGTCCAGTGTGCTTCCGAGGAGGGTAGCACACTGCACCAGCATTCTACCCGTTTCATCCTTGACGACATCTCTACATTGGTCCATGGTGGGTATACGCTCGCTTCCGAACGTGCTGGTCTTGACTTTCTTCCCGCAGTTGCAGCCTTTGAAGACGAATCGGAAACTGCCATCTCCCTCAAACATTTTGATCTTCATGTAGGGACGAGGAGTACCGATGAGACCAGTCACCGCTGTAGATTTAGCCAGGCCATTGGCCTTCGCGCGCCCTAGATTTACCACGCCGGAGAAACAGTCTGTTGTCAAAGGCTGACCAGAGTCTGCCACTACGGGGATCCAATCCCACGACTCTCTCTCTCCGCTGCTGATAGAGAGCCTTGTCCACGCACAGTCGGTTTTCAAGGACAACTGCTGGAAGAAGGCGAAGGAAATTTCGTCAAGGGTTCTGTTCTTGTTCATTTTCTGCCCGATTTCCTCCGCCGTGAAGAGTCCGCTGAAAACTCCCAGAAGCCCCTTGAAGACGTCGGCCTTTTCCTCGGGGTTGCATTCCCTCGGCGTGATGGATATTGCCGAGAAGATGTTACTGATGCCCTTGTGGTTGTCTTCCCACCAATTTGGTCCTCCCGCAATGATGTCGGTTCTGGCAGAGCTGATGCCTTTGACTTGCGTCTGCAAGCCTCCGAGAAGGATCTTGTGCTCTTCGATGACCCGCAAGACGGCATTGACCGCGTTTGGTTTCAGGACCCGGGGTATCTCAATCCACGCCTGCAGCTTGTACGCCTTGTCGGTGCAGGCTGTGGCCAGATCCATCCAGGTGTCGAGCTCTCCGATCTCGCGAACGATTTCAGTGTTGACCCCCCACATCAGGATCTCCTTTCCAAGCAGCATTTCCTGGAACGTCCAAACTCTGGAGAAGTACAGGTTGTGGAAAAGTGTGATGACGTGGTAGATGCTCGTGGCGTAGCAATTGAGGATTCCGAGTTCAATCCCGGCAGATCGGACGGTTCCCTTGTCAACAGGAAACATCCATTTCCCGTGTTCCCAGTCGTTGAGGATGCTCGTCAAATTGTCACCCAGCCTGGCCTCCTTTGCGAGCGCCGCGCCTCCCATGTAGGACAGGATATGGTCGACGAAACGAAGATCTTCAACAATCTGCTGGGGGTACCAAACCTCGTCCATGTGCACCAAGATATGGCACTGCAAAGCACTCTTGTAGTACCTGTACATTTTGGCAATCTCGATCATCTTCTCCTCCTCGTCATCTTGATTGATACACACGCAATCCACCCAGAGATATTTCAATCCCGCAGTGTGCATCAGTCTCTTGATGTCGTTGAGCCTCTCCGGGGAGATCTTCACCGTCCAATTCAGGCCCTCGATCCCAGGGTCATACTGCGGGACCTTGGTGCCCCAGGTGTAGGAGACAATGTGGAATTCGTGGACCCCATGGGCGGGCGGATCGATGATGGAGAACTTCTCATCGACATATGCGAGGAGTCTTTTAGGGAGAACAAACGACATGTTGCAGGGTAAATTTCGATGCCCACCAATGCAGAATGTTGGGCATGGACAGAGGAATTGAAAATGAGTGCTGGCTGGCAACAAGGAAGGGTAAAAGCACGAATCGATTTGGGGAAGCGGAGGTGAGCTGGGTGATCAGCACGGGATTTTCTTTTTATTATCATACTATAAGCGGCTGGGAGTGAAACTACCTGCTCAGCTGGCGGTTCTAGACCTACGTAGGCAGATAGACTATTCGACCTAGCTGATTGACGGCCAGTCAACAGCGACGCCCACAGTGGCGGTAATTTTCCCTTGTCGGACAATGTGATAAGTAGAAATCAAGCCCAAACCTTGAGATTACCCAAATCCTCCTTCTCTGCGGGTAGCCAATGGGCGATGCCTGTCATGTGGGCATGAAGCCTCTCCTGCGAATTGTATATGCAGCTTCTTTCAGCTCTCCTCAGCTCGTAGGGTGCGGCCTCACGCACAACGCCTCTTGCAGGGGGCTTCTAGAGCTAGATATGCGTGCTGCAGACTAGACGATTGGCTCTTCTGGCCAGGGTTGTTCAGCCGTACGGTAGTGCTGCTTCAGTGTAACCCTACTCGAAAACAAGAGGCGCCCATTCATGACATTCTAGGTGGTGTGACTATCTCGTCTTTCGTTTTCTTTCTTCAATAATCTCACAATCATATGATGCTTGAGTACAGGCATCTGAGTAGAATGGGAGGTTTCTAATAAGCGATGTAGAGCACAACAATCCTCGCAGGAGGACGACGCTAAATAAGATCGTCACACGGGGCCACCCACTCATCATCTGCCCAAACAGCGCTCGCGGTAACCGCCGTAGCACTGACACCATGCAGCTAGGGTTTGAGAAGCAACGGCCCTGTAATTAGTCTCTGCCGTCCCGTGATGATTGGGCCGCCGCTGCGAAGGAAGCGTCCTTGGGGGATACCACAGAGTAATGACGCCGGAGTTGATATGTCACTGTACTTAGGATACATAGAGATGGCTCTACTTGCGCCAATATTTACACCGCCTCAAACTTTGGCCATGATCGGCGTGAATATTAATATTTTGCCAAGAATATACACGCCTTCGACTCCTCATGCCGCAGATGTACATAAACGCGTCTGCCTTAGCGCATGCAGGGGACAGCTGACACCCCTGCCCCTAAAAATCCAAGATATTCAGCACCTCCTCACACAAAACAATGAACTCGCTGGACGCATTGATGAGGTGAACCAAAAATCTCCCGAGGAGATCAAGCACGCAAAAAAGGTCACGGTGGGGATCGAACCCACAATCTTCTGATTCGTAGTCAACTGCCTTGCCATTGGGCCACGCGACCGATGATGATGGACTGCGGCGAACAAAATCCGCCACATCAACTCTCTACAGGGTAGCTGGTGATGCCATCAACACACGCCTTCTCGGGACCATGGGAATTGTATAATGTCGGGATAAATACGATTTGATACTGGAAGAATGTCGGGGGAGTATTGATTTGGCTTTATTTACAAAGACGGACGACTCAGAGATTCGAATACTGCATTGAGGGTTGGCTTCTTCGCTTCACGAACTCAGTCATTCATCACTCGATACCCTCTCTCAATTTGCAGAATATTTGTTCTTCTTGGTGCACCGACGAAAAGCTTTCAGAAGTAGCACTAGATTCGGGAGACTTGGTCTAAGACTCTGATCTCGCATTCTCAGCAAAAGATACGAGCATTTCCATTTGAAAGTCACTGGCAGCAAGAAGCTGAAATTGAGTGCCATGATCAATATTGTGATGATGATTGTTTAAGCAGACTACTAAGTATAACATGAGCTGAACCCATTCATTCCAAGTACTTGGTAAGTCCATCACCGCTTTAGGATGGCCATCACTCGGCCGGCTTGGTCGTAAACCAGTGGGCAGCTGCAATCTCAAATCCGCCAGCCTTGATAAGCCCCTCCAGATCAAAGTTGACACGCGAGAAGAGGTCCTCATACGGCCCCCCGAATCCGGAAGGAATTGAGAACTTATCACGGGTATCTTTGAGGAGGAGAGTGACGTATCGATGCGGAGCCGAGCCCCCGGGAGGGTTGGGTGCCACGTATGGGGCTACAACCTCGGTGGTTGTGTCGTTGGCGGCCAGGCTGGAGACGCCTGACGGGATGGAGGTTAGCCAGTGTAGCAACGGGGCGTATTTCCTGTCCTCGTCGGCCAGAGGAGGGTCAAGATCCAGCATGACAACAACATGGGCCGAGTCGCTGGAAATGTTGGAGAAATCGAGGCCTGGGGAAGCAATAGGCTCTTCTGGGAAAGGTTAGCTTCAAGTCATCAAATCTTGCAGAGATCAAGATGGAGAAAAGAACCTCTTAGTGTGTTGATAGGCACATAGCTACCAGGAGCCACCGTTGCGTTTGCAACGGTGACCGTCAAAGCCTGGTCGGTAGAGTACTTGTAGCCTGGAGGGGTCTGAGACATGGTGGATTGGAAGACTTTAGCGACCGTCCTGGATTTTTCTGTTGAAGATTTTGTACTGAGGGAGTGGGAGACAATATGGCCTAGTTGAGCTCTGATGCTGCATTTGCTGTCGTTGGTACAAAGGAGACCGCGGAGGAGGCAGGTCTATTGATGCTCTTTTATACTGCCCGAATATCGGGGTTATCGCGGATTCGAAAGGTAAGCCCGTGGGAAGAGACGCACGTTATTAGCACACAAGAATTCAACGAGAATGTTCCCATTCTATTCTCCATTGTTCAGATGCATAATTACGTGTCTTGCGGAGGTATTGGGTGATAGCGAAACATGCCATCTTGGGGATAGCCTCAAATCTCTCCCCCGGAGATAATGCGCGCCCGCGAAACATGCCTAAATGGGAATCGTATGCTGTGCTTACACCCCAAATCACACCAGCATTTATATCCGGATTATGTATCTCATACTCGTGGTAATGCTCCAATGCAACTTAAGAATGGCAATATCGCTGAGACATAGGGACATAATGCGGTTTATAGCGCTGCTCTATTAATGTTCTGTGTTGACTTTCATTTTTCTCTCTCAATGCAGTGGCTGTTGACAACCGTGAGCGACGCGTATCCGCTAAGTCGCTACTGGGAAAGTATCCAAAGCCCTAGGAATACCTACAATTGTTAGTTGAGTCCATTCCTGCTGACTTGCACTTGCGAGTGTTGAGAACAACGGCCTAGTCGATCTGATCGGAAGCGCGCACAGCCATGGATCGCGCACTGTCCCATCACGAGTTGCGGAAAGCTGTCTATCGCTATATCCCCAAACGGCTATTTAAAGTGTTATTAGCGCCTGGCGTTGGAGACATACAATCACGAAAATAAAGAGCACAAAATTGGTCATACCATGTTTACCAATGAATTCGGCAATCGAACTTGCGCTCGCCGCAACTGATAAGGCCCTCATGGTCTCTTCCTTTATCGCGCCATCTCCTCCTGTTGGGCTCGGAACTAGTGCTTCTAACAGCGGGTGAAATGGATCCCTTGAAGTGAGTTTGCTCTTTTTGATGTACAGGCAATGGTCAGTGGCCAAAATCCTATGAGACACTTTGCACTTGCTCTAGCCGCCAAGGTGACAGACCTGTTTCTATGCTGAGCTGGTTTAGTTGCCTTGACTGAGTACTCAGCACTGTACAGAACATATGGTCAAGATTGCCCTTGAAGAAAGCTGGTACCGATGGATTGGGAAGGGTTTTGCAGGCTGAGTGCTTGCGTCTTATTACGGCATAGCACATACAGGGGTCAGCAAGAATCCATGTGTTCCCCGCTAACGCAGGCAATAATCGCGAGGCTGAGATTACAACCCTGTCAGCACACCGTTACCAAACTTCAAACCTCTTCTCTCGTATGACGCCTGCGATTAAAGTCATCACCGATCCTTGATGAGCCCTTCTATGCCCTTTTGTATCGACCGATGCCTAGCGCGGGACTGGGACCGCCAACATGAGGCTCATCCATACCAGATCACTCAAGCTCCGCGAATTTAACAGGTCAATCCCGCCGTACGCCATTCTTTCGCATACCTGGGGTACCCAGGAAGTCACCTTCCAGGAGTTCAGGAACAGGTCCACCCGAAAGCGAAATAGGGGCAGACGAGGCCTGGCCAAGATCCTGGCTACCTGTCGCCAAGCACGGCGCCAAGGGTTTGAGTACGTCTGGGTAGACTCGTGCTGTATTGATAAGAGAAGCAGCACGGAGCTGAGCGAGGCTATTAATTCTATGTTCAAATGGTACCAGAACGCCCATGTCTGTTATGCTTACCTGGAGGACGTGTCAGTTGGAGAATCCAGACCTACTGGCTGGACGTCTGGCGGGCCACCTGTTGTTTCAACGACGACAGGGACCGTTGGATTGGGCAGCAGTCGATGGTTCACCCGAGGCTGGACGCTGCAAGAACTCATCGCGCCGACGAAGGTAGAGTTTTATGATACGGAGTGGAACTACATTGGGGAGAAGCACGAGATGGCCTCGGAGATCCGAGACATTACGGGGATTGACACATTCGTCATAAAAGGAAGTCCTCTTGAGCAAGTCTGTGTTGCAAAGAAGATGAGTTGGGCTGCCCACAGAGAAACGAGACGAAAAGAAGATATCGCTTATAGCCTGTTTGGCATCTTTGGCGTGAACATGCCCCTCGTATACGGGGAAGGCTCCAAGGCATTCTTGCGTTTGCAGGAAGAAATCCTGCGCAGATCCGATGACCAGACTATCTTCGCTTGGCGTTCGATGCGGTCGCAAAAGTCTAGGCAGGTCCGGGGACTCTTTGCAAACTCTCCTCGTGAGTTTAGCAACTTCTATGACGGGCTCCCGGACGAATCAAACTTGAGTGTCGAGCCGAGTACCCCGTCTACGAACGATCATCTAGTGAGGGTATGGGACTTCCAAACACCACAACAACCCATCGCAATGACAAATCGGGGGATTCGAATCACGGGTCGAATACAGGATCTAAGGGCACACTTAGAACCTCATAACACCGGTACCTACCCCCTGATGCCTGGCACATTTGTCCCTCCCTACTAACATGCCTACGCAACAGTCATTCTGATTCTCAACTGCTGTTTTGGTGGAGACCCACGGAGAGCTGCGGGTATATATCTCCAGCGTCAAGACAATGACCGATATGCGCGAATCCGCCCACATGAAATCGCAGTGCTGGAGCGAGAGGGCCGGCATGTCGGAGAGGTCACTCTATACGGACTTACTTGTACAGCTGAAATCCGTGGGCACCACTATGATCAACCATGGACATCATCCTACCAGATTCGAATGGAGCTTATGGATAGCCAGATTTTCAAGGCTGAAGATGTCGAAATAACTAGAAAGCGGTATGAAGATTCGTTCTACATGGAGAAAGCTGCAATCAGGCCTCGAACCTTGTTCGGAACGTATAAGCTTCAGGGGTTCTTAATGACCGATTCAAGCGGCCTACTGCGGTTCTTTTGTTTCGACCCTACAGCTCGACATTTGAATCTGGTATTGAAAACGTACACTGACTATCGAGTTGTTCTTGTTTATCGAGATTTCAATGGCCCTAACCTTGTTTTAGTCGCTTTGGGTCAGAGAAATAACCAACCTTGGATGGACGCGGTATGTTTGACTGAGGATGATGTAGACGAGGATAGCTCCAGTCTCCTCAATGCCATGGCCACACCTGCATCACACAGCTCAAAGTTCAAGGAGGTCCTCATTGATGATATGCATGGACAACTTCGATTTTGCTTTCACTTGAAAACCGTCGAAGTAGAAGGCATTACAATGTCAGAACTGCAAATCAATGGACCATGGCCAGCTTCATTTTCGAAATATACCATTCATCATTACCGTCATCCCTTGATCGGGTTGGGGATCTGGGGTATTACTGTCTTTGGGCTCTGGTATGTCGGCATGGTAGGATTTGGAGATGCTCCGCCAGACGGAGCTGTGATACATCATCACTAAAGCAATGAATGAGCCGGAATACAAAGTACTGGAGGGATCGGCAGTGATGCAAGCATGGTGGACGATTCCAGATGTTTATACCGGTCTTTAGCTACCTAAGATTTCGGGGGAGCCCTCTACTAAGGCTTATTGCAGGCATTTTGGCCGATATTCTTAGTCACGGATAGCTCCCAGTACTCGTTGTGTATTTTACTCTTGCGAAACCATATTGTATACAATAAACAGGCATACTTGCTTTAGATCGAAACTCGGTGGTGGTAAGATCGAGGAGAGTCTGGAATCTGTTATAACCGGGTATTTGGCAAGAATTTCAACATTGGAGGGGGTGTTTCTACTAATTTCCTCGAAAGGAGAATCACGTAACTAAAACAAAGATTTTTAAGATATACTCTGAAATAACATAGAGAATGGCAAGTTTATTCTAATTTTGCGTCCGGGACAATGAACTTCAAGGAACAAATATGGTCCTCCGCAGCAACTAGCAGACTCGAGCGTTCCTCCTCATCAGTAGTGCCGAGCTGTTGGACGATTTCTTCGAGCGATTTCCGGTGGTGATCCCAACCAGAACATTCAGTTTGTATATTTCCTTCAGCCAGAGTCTCGGCTTTCGCCGCAAGCTTGCGCCCTTCAATGAGCTCTTCTTTGTTTCTAATCCGACGCCGCTGTCTTTTTCCAGAGTTTTTTCTAGTATGTTCCCGAGCTGGGCCGTCATTTTTGTGTATGCGGTGAACATGGTCTCGTAAGTTCCAGCGACGAGTAAATCCATTCCCCGGAATTGAGCGACCGCAGTTTTCATGAGGGCACAAGAACGGATTCTCGCCATGTCCATGCATCGCATGGGCCTCTTTTTCGTGCCGAATTAGAATTGTAGAGGATGAAAAACGAGCTTGTCCGCAGCTGTTGTATTGACAGCGATAAGGCTTGAGGTGAGTATCGAGAAATTTACTAGGCACATGTTAGGTCGTCTCTAGTCGCATCGTCGCTCCTATAAATGCGATTATAGGGGCACTTACTTGTAACTGCATTTCGCACTGGTTGGGAAATGGTTACAGCCGGCCTGTCCCTCCCAAGGGCAGTGATACAAGTCATCACTGCCGACCGTTGCATTCTTATAAAGTGCGTGCCCACGAAAGCTTGTTTTATCGCAAGATGGCAGATTTGGACCTGCTATTTCAGCATTTTTGTCAAATCGGAAAGGGGAGTTCTCGCTACTTTGAACCAACCCCTCCAAGGGATATTGCGTGTGGATTTGAGTCGGGCATTGCAATCCGGATTCGGGTCTTAATGAAGAGTTAGAATTTGAATGAGAACTATGATGCTGTATGACATGATGACGTACGTCTCATCGCTCCACGCTGTGTCTCGTAATACAGCGCTGTTTTCGGGAAGAATCTGCTGTGACTTGGATGGCAAGAAATGATAAGGGTCAAGGTCCTTCGTCCTTGGTGCAAACATGTGGTGTTCATCTGCAAAGAGGAAAGCGAAAGGATCACTGCAAATGATATAAGAAGCGTAAGCCTCTGATCGCAACCAGAAGATGCACATGGGATGGATCGTACTCCGTAGACAGCGTTCTGCCAGAAATGGACTTCTCGAGGTCCAAATCGGTAGCGCCAGTGTGATCGGCGACAGTGAGATGCTTTGGCGAGGGGGCGAAGCTCGAGGGCGATACAGATGCTGGTCTATCTTCCTCGCGGTCCCGTACTACATCAAAGGATTCTAAGAAGGTCGAAGGGCTTCCAACTGGCGAATCGATTGCGTCACGCGAAGATACGCGAACATCAGTTGATTCATTGCTTCGCTTCTGGTCCTCTGCCTCGCTCATGAGAAGGCTATAATCAATATAATCATCCAAGGCAGGATCGAAGATCATCGCGTCACTTGTTCCTTGATCTCGGGTTGGGCAAATGTGTATAGTAATGGAGACGAGAACCCCGCTCCTTTTGCTTTTGTGGCTGGCGTTGATTTCGCGACAAGGCTCTGGGTCTTTGTGCAACCCCAACCCCTCACAGAGTGCAAATCCGAACTGAATGCGCAGGAGAGCTGTTGACGCCTGCTCTTGGCTTGTAGAAAACACGGCTTGGCAGCTAGCTGATGATATTACGCCAAGGCAAGTTCGGTCTTGAAACGATGCGATTAGTCTGTTGAAATTAGTGGTGACTTACGAGCGGAGAAGGAATAGGCCAAGAGATTCGAATCAAGCTGACCAGCGTATGGGAGGTATCCATCGGTCAGGTTTGACGTGATGATTGGTTCAGTTGTCATGCAAGCCTATCGCCTATCAATTCCTGCAGCCGTCTCACTGGCTGCAGTAGTAGAATTTCGTTGCTGACAAGTCTATCGAAATACACCCTAATGATGAGTCATGATGTCTTTTTTTGCCACATAATATTATCCAATTCAAGCCGCGCCCGTTGCCTCCCAACATTCACCTAACTGACACTCGGCCCTAGCTTCGTGTGTTGTTTTTGTGATAATCAACACACTCTTCCATTCACAATCTCGAAAGAGCAATAAGAAGTACCGTCTGGTCCTTGAAGCTTGAGTATTGCCCAAGTACAAAAGAAGTTGCTTAAGGGATAAGGCAAAGTAGAAAGGTTTCTAGCCATCACAAGCTTAAGTGGAAACAAAGCAAGCCGGGTTGAATATATTCCAATTGGCAACGTCATGAACGAAAAATTAAGATAGATATTATTTAACGCTCATGATTTACTTGAAGTAGAGAATATTTGACACAGACACTAGATCTAAGAGTGACAATGAGTTGATATAGAATCCTAGCGTAGACCCCACACCTCATGTTGTACCACACTCTCTTTAGGGTCTGTTGCCGTGCTACGGTTCACACGTCCTGAGCATATTCATACTCAAGCAGAGGGCAATTGATACCAACGACATATAAAACATAATGTGGAAAGATGGAAGCGGGCCTACCAGCAATCAGGATCAGGGTTCCGATACGTGAGAGAAAGAGAATAAAGTTCAACAGCAATGGAAGCTGCCAGAGCCCGACAACTCATCACAATGAATACGGAAGCTTAAAAAGACAGGCCTTTACTAGCCCAAGGCTCCAGTCATACGGGAAGAAAAGTCTGCAAACCTTTATACCGATGACTCACTTGCCATCAGGACGAGCAGCTCGTCAAATGACTATTAAAGCTACCTTCTTTCACCCAGCTTCCTTCGTTCATCTTCAATCTAAGCACTTCAACCGAGCTCGAGGCTTTTCGGCATCCAACCTAGTGAGTACCACTAGCCCCTTAGCCAGAGCATTTATACTAACACATCTGCAGCCTTTGACTATACGAGATAACGAGATCCTAGTGCCTTCTCTCAAAGGTGAGAAGATCACCTAGTCTAATATAATAAAGCCTAAGATCAGTACGAGTAGCCCTAAGTATGTTGGTCGTGTAAAAGCTATCCCGGTATAGCTGGTTGATCAGCCTAATGAGTTTGAAGAATATAATTTCAATGAGCTCGTTAGGCCGATCAAGCAGCTGTATCGGGATAACTTTTGCACGACCTATATACTTAGGGCTACTCGTACTGATCTTAGGCTTTATTATATTACATAAATCTCACCGTGTTCTCTTCCATTGTGTTTCAAAAGCTTAAGAGCATTTCTGTGAATGCTATCTCCTCTGATCCCTTCCTCTCTTTGTGTGCCACCGCAGGCTGCCCTACTTGTTCTTACGGATAATAGCAGACATCTGTAGTGATCTAACCTTGGGCACTACAAACACCCACCACTTCAACCTCTTGCTGCTCTTCAATGCCGAGATAGCATTTACATCGAGATCTTCCGCGGACGTACGGCCAAGAATATCCTGACTGAAGCTATAAGCAGCTAGAAGCTGTTCTGCTGATAAATTCTTTAGATTATCTAGCTGATGCTCTTTCTCGAGATGTTCAGGGTGCCGATACAGACATTGGTTTTGAGTATTCCGGGTGTTCTTATTTCTAATGACATCTAAAGATTTTCACTATTATACGCAGTTTCCAACATACATGTCTATGACCAAGGTGTAAACTATGTAATCACCCTGCTAATGCTGCCATGAGTCTCTTTGCGATGATCTCAGAATTTACTGTATTCAAGGCATGGAGATCACCCGGGTTTGCTTGACAGTGGTCTTGATTAGTCGCTGACAAATCCTCGAGATCGATGCGAAGCAGTCTGAGCACCCGGAGGAATTGGGTCCGAACCCAATTCATCTGACCTTCTCTCAAGGCGTGTACCGGGATATGGGATTCACTATCCGCAAGAATGCTCAGAACGTGGCTCAGAGTACCCATCATGTGCCAAGGACCCTGAACAATGACATGCCGCCTATGGTCATCTCTGGACATAAAGAGGGAGCTCTTTTGATACAAGGTGTACGAGATATGGGATGGGTCCATGTCGTGATAGCTGGTGCATAGGATAGTTGGAATCATCAGTTCAGAGAGCGATGTAGGCTCAATATAGTTGCCAAGATGAAAGGACACACTTTGGCATATCGAGTCGACCAAGACTTGAGCCAGCTGTACCGACTTAACCTTAAATGCAGGTATTCGAGGATCTTGTGTAGTGCCTGTTGGCTCATCCAAGTTAGGAAAGAGACCAAGAAGAGCCAGTTTTATTTGCAGCAAGAGAAGGCAATAAGTACGCCATAGATTCCAAATCGATGCAATTTGGATATTGGGATAAATGTCGCTATATCCCGCATACGTGATAATCGATTGATCAAAGTGCTTTCCCGATTGAAGAGTCTGCGGAAGCCAGTGTCTGGGCACAGTGCTTGGCCAATTGTTGAGTTGGTCCTCAGTGTCTTGAAGGTCTTGATACCACTGTGACAGATCTGGCTTCGAAGCTGTAATGAATTCCTCTGCTGATAGTAGGGTGAACTTGTGCTGGTGGCTGGCAATAGAAGCGCCGATGATATCCAACGCCGTGCTTGGGTTTGATGGCAAAATCGAAAGATCTTGGTCTCTCAGCCAAGTTATTTCACTCGCCTGAAACGAAATTTTCTTGGAAATACAAATGTTAACTTCGCTGTGAAATAACTGGGATATCAAATAGCCTCGATGCTTCGAATTAATTCCATCCAGTTTTTGCTGCCTTAGCAAAGCCAGTGCACCATTTCGATGAACGTGGCATTGTTCATGTTGATTCCACACAGCAGAAAAGCGCTCATATCGTTGTAGGAGGAGCGCAGCCAAAACAGTGCTCTCACAGCCACGCTGCAACGGGTCTTGGATTGCGGTTCTCAGACGCGAATATGCCTCAGTGAGTATTTTATCAGAAGAGGAGAATGATCTTGAATTTACTAAACACCACAGCTGGATGGCGGCGGCGTGTAGTGAAAGAGATAGCGGCGAATCGTCAACCTCCAATTCAAGAGCCGGGGTCAGTAGCTCTAGGAGGCCCCTTGAAGATTCCAGGCTCCGGCCGAGGACAAGGACATAGGTTACGAACAAGGACATAGCATTTCTTTTCTCGTCGTCCGATAACAACGAAGTCGAAACAGGAGATACGCATTGTTCATTGGAGGGCGGGCGATGTATGGCTGGGTCTTTCTGGGCCTTCATCCTTATCTCATGCCGGCCTCTGCTCCTTCTACAGTCGCTCGGGTTTTGTGGAACTTGATACCGGATGCGAAAGGGGCGTGCTCCGTAGCCCTCGCACACATAACCCACGCGTAGACATTCCCGGCATTGAGGCTTGGCTTCATCACACTTTACGCGTCGTCGTTTGCATGTCGTGCAACCCTCAGAGCGACCCCGATTGACCATGATTCTGTGAGGAGAGGAAAGGATTGATTTTAGTAGAAATGGAGAGATTTAGTAGGAGTGGAGAGGGACTCGGAATGGGGGCAGTTTTGCGATGAAGAGAGGGTTAGCCAACAGATAACCAAGCCTGTAACTTTGACCTCACTTTTGACGGGCATGTAATAAGGGCGTCATATTAACCCATAATAAAAGCACGGCAATCGATGCTTATTAGCTGTCGCAAAAAGAGCCCCTGATATGGCCTAGTCTCTTCTCCAAGTTGCGCATGCCAAGCCGTCAGATTACATCTTACTTGACAAAAGGTAGAGCAAAGAGCCCCCTCCCTGATTGACTCGACACAGCACATGACATGCTGGAAGCACAGGTTGAATGGGGTCATAATAGGCAAGCACAGGAGGAGTAAACTACCAAACTTGCTGATGATTTCCCTCTTGTAATTGCCTATTATGACCCGGCATTCAATCTATGGTTCCGGCATTTTATGTGCTGTGTCGAACCAATCCGGGAGGGGGCAGCCCTCGAAGTTGAAGTTTGTCGTGTCTTGGGGAGGTGTGGTTATGAGTTTCTCCGGGGGGCCATGCCCAATTTATACTGGCCAGCCCTTGACGGCAAGTGAGTCATCGGTATGAAGGTTTACAGAGTTTTCCTTCTGCATGGCCGTAGCCATGGACTAGAAGAGCTTATTTTTGCCTTTTGTATTCATTGTGTTGAGATGTCGGGTCTGGCATCTTCCATTGCCGTCTTTTTACTTTGTACTTGAGCTCTCACGCGTATACTATCCAGCCCGTATCAGAGTTTTCTGAGGCGTTGTTGCCTATGCCTAGGCTATGTAGGTTAAAATTCGGACCCTCTTTAGTATGGAAAGTTCTCGTAAAGACTATGGTTTATGTTAAAAATAACTTTGTGATGTAATTACGTATGTGGCCCGATCTTGGGATACCCCTTGTTTATAGTGGTTAAGAAAAGGAATAAAATAAAGGTAGAACAGTATAATAATTTCAGTTATCCTCGAACAAGCTCTTACCCTAGAGCATTTATAAATAAAGCCGCACGAATGTCAAGAAAGTTAATCCATTGGTGCCTAGTTCTGAAGCTACGGATTCTTCCGGAAATGACATAGATGGTAGATTCATGGTTGGGGTAGTAGTCTTCCAATGTGTTCTGTTTGAGGCCATGATAATGTTTGTCCATGGATGACAGAGGCTTCAAGAATTAGCGAAAGGCAGCCAAAACGCCATTCGTCCATGTCCACACTCGCTTGGTAAATTCCTCACTGGAGGCGAGGCCATCCGGCTTTCGAAGAACGCCAACTGGCTCGTAGTATGCACCGTTGACAAGGTTGTTTCGCTCCGCTCCGGCTGCCACCCATAATGAATTCAAAGATCCCTCATGCGGCGAAAGGATAGATTCCCCTCTGAGCCAGTGCCTCCCATATGAGTAAAGCTTGGCCAGGACAGAAGAGCTGTGTACCAAGTTTGTGGCAACAAACCCGGGGTGGATAGAAACACTGAGTATCTGAGGATATCGGCGTGCAAGTTCGGCCGCGTATACAAGGTTTGCAAGTTTACTTTGGCTGTCACGTCACTGTTAGCTTCTAAAGTTAAAGGCAATGAAGATGATTGGTTCTTGGTAGTGAGAATTCTTCGTCACATACCCGTATCTTGTCATAGACTCCACGAACCCGCTCTGGGCTGATGATAATTTATCCCAAGAGAGTCCGTCCTTTGGGTGGAGTGCAAACCCTGCAGAGCTGAGTATGACGATTCGCACGTCTGCTTGTGGTAGAGACACCGTTTGGAGCATGACGGGTAGAAGTTTATCAATGAGCAAGGCGTGTCCAAGGTGATTGGTGGCCATGTGAATCTCAAATCCATCCACACTGACAGCGGGAGGAACATCCATGATCCCGCCGTTGCATATCAATATATCCAGGCGATCGTGGGTGAATTGAGCAACGGCTGATTTAACAGATGCGAGAGAAGAGAGGTCCATCTGGATGAATGTAATGGGAGTGCTTGGTTGAGCCGCCTTGGCAAGGCTGACTACGTGTTCAGCAGCAGATTGATTCCGGCCTGTGAAGTATAGATGAGCTGGCTGATGCCGTGCCAGTTGCTCTATAGTGCTCTTTCCTACACCCGCAGTGCCTAGGAAAAGGCCACATTAGAATCAATTTCGCCAGATCATTTTTTTTCGGTCCGAATTGCTTTTATCCTCGCGGAGGGGACGTACCACCCGTAACAAAAATGACTTTGCTGCGGAGAGAAGGGATGTCCTTGCTCGGATTGAACTCGGTGAAGCCCGATAGTTGTCTCGGCATCTTTGGGCAGAACGTGAATATATTTTAAAAAATCAATGATAATTTGTTGAGATTGAGGTGAATAAATTGCAAATTCCTACATTGAGGAAGCTGCATTTTATATCTGTTGAGTGTTGACATACTGCTACATGGCCAGTACATACCGTAGTAGCCATCTCGACATGGTAACTGGTGATAGCCTAAATCCATCTGTTTGACGGTAGTCTCGGTTCTAAATTGAGCCTAGCGGGATAAGCAATCAACACGGACATTTCTGACCGGGTGTCTGACAGGCCCCTTTTTGCATTGACGTTTTGCGTTAGATCATAATAAGCAATCCAGGTCAACCCCGTCCGCCAATGTAGTGTTTCTGCTTCATTTTCTTCTTTACGCGTGCGACTAGACACTGGCCATTTGTGTATATGTTGCCGGGGGAGTAAAGAACTTGAGGATCTATCGTTTTCATGGTTGGATCCGGCGCTTCTCCGCAGCGTCACCGCACGTTGCGGACCGAGGTATTGAAATTCCGGATCTTTCAGTCAAATACATATCGAGGCTTAACCCGCGCATCCAGGTTCGCGAGGCCAAAGATAACTGGCTAGGAGAGCCAGACCCAGCAGAGAGGCGGAAACTCCAAAATCGACTACACCAAAGAGCATGGCGCACGTCTTTCCACCTTGCTGCATCTGAATTGTGTGCTGACCATAAACAGGCCGGAAACGTAAAGAAGCGCTATCTGGTCAGCCCAGAGTCCACAAGTTTGAGGGACCCTGGGATGGACATGGCATGTTGGTATTGCAAGAGCCGGAGGCCGGAGATGCCGCTCATCCTAGGCGGCGCGCAAGGAGTTCGCCATCCCCGTCCTCAGCGAGGGCACCCTCGAATGAACGAGGCACCTCGGATCCGTGTTTGCTTATACCTCCTATTCTCTCCACGGATGCCGAAACCAGGATAATATTCCCATTATCGTCTGACCATCTGCTTATCACACTGGTCCAATATAATGTGAAGCGAGCGATAATGTACAACATGGTACTTCTTGGTCTAGGTGAAACCCTGCCACCGGCCAAGCAGAGCGCTCTGCTTCTTCCTCCACTATTGATCCCATCGCCATCAGCATTCCCTGCCTCACTCTACCCGACCAGCCTCCAGCTGTCTGTGGTATATGATCCCCGCATTGCCGTCGTGCCTTGCCCGGAAATGCGGAATAACCTGATCCGATTTTCAGGCGCCTACGACATGGAAGCACTTGCTTCTGATTTGCACGGGGGACTGTTTGAGGGTTTCCGCGATGCAGACATGTCCGGCGTGATGATATGGGGAGAGCCGTGGAGATCGGCATCATGGGAGGTGACTGACGGATTCGCCCGAAAATGGGGTTTCTTGCTAGAGGGATGTTCTGGTATACGTGATGCTACGAATCGATGGAGAGAGTCGCGAGGCGAGGAACCAATATGCTGGGATACGATCCCAACTCTCAAGGAATCCAAGATGCGGGCTCTTGGGGTGGAAAGTTGTTCTCGAACGCGTGGCTAGTTAGTTGTGAGACTCCATAATTGGTGGACCACGTCCCACGGAGTAAAATACAAGCTGGATTAGCTCGCTGTTTCATGCAAATCGATCGTGATGCGTCATGATTCTGATCCACCTTGAGTTATACCATGCTAGTGACGTCAACGCCGGAACTGACATGCCGAAATATCAAAGCATAATGATCAAGCTTAATGACGGGAGTGTCTAGGTCTCAATCGTTAAAATCAAGGCAGTACCTGTAACATTGAGCGCATTTAAGCAGAGTGGTCTCGCATCTTGATCTCTGCTTATTCCGAGCTCTTTTGCAAGGAGCCGCCAAGCCAGACATCATGACTGTCCAAGCTACACTCGTTCTCTTCGCCCTGGCGGCTTGTTCAGCAGCATCTACCCTCTACTCGACTTACAATTTTAATCCGCTGCAGCACCTTGCTGGCATATCACCTTACTTTGAGCCTCAAGACCCCCCGCTCTCACCAGATGCTCCCGCCGGATGCACAGCAGAGCGAGCCGCCTACTTGATTCGCCATGCCGCAATATATGCAAATGATTTCGACTACGAGGAGTATATTGAGCCCTTCTTGGAGAAACTAGAGAATACGACAAGCGTCGACTGGGCCAAAATACCGCCCTTGAATTTCTTGGCTGATTGGTCTGCACCCATTTCCGAGGCCGAGTCTGAGATTCTGACCCGGGTGGGAAAGCTAGAGGCGACACAGCTCGGAGTCGACTTGGAGTTCAGATATCCAAATCTGCGGTTGCCGCAACGGGTCTGGACATCCTCGGCAGAGCGCACATACAAGTCTGCACAATCTCTGGTGCGGGGCCTTGAACTTGACGACAACACTATGAACGTTGTCAACGTCTCCGAGTCCGAGAGTTCAGGTGCCAACAGCCTCACTCCATACAAGAGTTGCCCGGCCTATTCTTCGTCAGCGGGAAGTGACGAAAGCTCCGTCTTCCAAGAGCGATATGCCAAACCCATCCTTGCTCGTTTCAATAACCTGGCTCCAAAGTTCAACTTCACAGTCTCGGATGTTTTCGCCATGCAACAAATATGTGGCTACGAGACTGTCATTCGCGGTAAATCCCCGTTCTGCAGCACTGATCTCTTCACACCCGATGACTGGCTTGGATGGGAGTATGCGGAGGATGTCAGATACCATTACAATGTTGGGTATGGCAACAATGCGGCTGGCTATGTTGGGCTCCCTTGGTTTAACGCGACGGCCAATTTACTTCTCGAGGAGGGGGGTATTGAGCAGGATCTATACGTCAGCTTCACGCACAGAGAACTGCCTCCGATAGTACTGGTGGCCATGGGCCTGTTCAACAACTCCGAATTTGGCGGCAGCGAATCCACCATCAACAGCACAATGCCACTGGACCGAATAAACCACGCGCGTGCGTGGAAGAGTTCAAATATTCTACCGTTTCTCACCAACATTGCAATTGAGAGATTCAACTGCACAAACAGCTTTGGGTATGACGATGGCGATTACTACCGAGTCTTGGTCAACAGTTCCCCGCAGCAGCTGCCTGGTTGCAATGACGGACCAGGGACGGCATGTTCCAAGAACGCTTTCCAGACTTATCTGAAGGAGAGAGTGGATCAATTTTCGGGGTTCTCGAAGAATTGCGGCAAAGAGGATGCTAATTCAACTGATGTGGTGTCATTTTACACAGAAGATGTATATGGGAATGGAACGCTGGTTGGGAAATAGAGCACCAGCGCGGAAAAGTAGGAGTACTGATGCCTGAAATTAAGACAGGTTATAGGTCTCATCTAATCACTTATGCATGATGTACCGACCTAGTTTTACAGAAATGATATACGACTTAGATTGAACATCCTCCAAATGAGTGTATGCTGTATCTCATTGAGAGTACTTATCGAGCCAAATCTGCAGAATTTCTCGAGCTTTCTTAGACCAATCCGATTCTTCGGTGGATTTCCTAGTGTGAAGATATCCAAGAACGGCACGAGCAATGTATGGGTATTGCGGTGGCATTGTGTCGACCATATACATTGTCGTGCCCTGCACAGGTGTAGCCAACAATAAATCGGCAATGTCAATGACCATTTTGGCCACAGTCTCCAGCGCTTCGTGTGATCTTACCAACCACACATCTTTTGACTCGTATCTTGGCGCACAAACTTCTAGCTGCGTGATGATATGCCAGTGGAGTATGAACAGCGTTCTGGCGCAGATGTTAATCTAAAGGACAGGGTCTGTAGTAAAGGGATTATTGGAAGAAGAGGGGGATGAACTGAATGTGATGAATTACACGGGACTAACCTGATGGTTATATTCATGGCTGAACAATATATTCCGGGCTCCTCTTGACATTGTGGCATTACCAGCGATAGGAACGCCTGGATATTGGTATCCAGTCTGGAAAGAAGGAGAAGCCTAGAGTCGATGTCATCAACCTCGAATGCTTTACGGAGTTGATCCAAAAAGCAGGTAGCCTGCGCCATTCGGCCGAATCCTCCAAGATTTGGAAAGGTGAGACAAGAAAGTGGGATGTTAGGTAAAGATCTATGCTCTAAAATATCGAGTTGATCGAGGATTCGAGATTCAATTGGTAATCTGGAGTCCCCAGCAGGAAATACGGATAACAGCGGCTGGCTGTTAGATTCTAATTCACAGAAGAACGTTCTGTGATAAGAGCATCAGTGATTAACTCCCTGTTGCCTGGGAGCGGACAACCCACCTTTCACAAATCACAATTCCCCACCAAGTGTTCGCCGCTTCTTCCTCTTGAAACAGAGATTGAGAGTCAGAATTGCGGCTAGTTATGTGTTCATGAGAGCGGGGCATATGAATTCCTGCGGCATAAGCCATCCTGCCACACATAGAAATGGTCATAAATGCATTGTATGGCTGCCCATTCATATACTCGTGCATACCGAGAAGAAGTCCTGCTTGAATTAAAGGAATAGAGGGCGGACTGCAGGCTTGGACTTGAGCATAAAGGGATTTCAAGGAAAGGTAAAGACCTCGCCTCTTTTCAACGTCGGGGACCGTTTGTGCATGGGCATCAGGGGTCTTTGTGAAGAGAGACATGGCCAGCAGGAGCAGTGAACTGTCAGCGGAGGAGGCTGGTTCTGACACAGCTAAGCTATTGTAGAAGGAGGTCCGCGAGATGACCGGCAGCTGGTGATGAAACCCGTTGAAAAAGCGAGCTGTGATATCATCGGCAAACTGTCCATTGTCACGAATGACTCGATAGACTTCCGAATACACCTCCCGCCCGAACGCCTCCGTTGGCTGCAGAGCATGTTTGGGATTTATAATGGCACGAGCGGGCGAAGGCCACAGTGATGGCGGCTTGGAACATGTATCTTTTGCGGTGAGAGCAGGGTTTCGAGGAAACGAAACGTCCCCATAGACACATTCGATTTGTTTGCTATGATGTTAGTTGACGGTTCCAAACACCGGAATCTCCGGGCTGACAAACCTTACACAATATCCGCAAGATGGCAAAGATTTGTCACATTTCTTCTTGCGGGTCTTGCAGAGGTTACACGCCTGAAGCGGGCGAAGTACGCGCATCCGATTTCCGTCGGCCGCCATTGTTGATGTCGGAGGACCGTTGGCACAAGAGACCGCCGGCGGTGTCGGAACTCCTGCTTAATATGACCATCCCACACCTGTGGAGCGTCGGACACTGTCGGATTCTGTCGGACATTGTCGGACGCTACAGGGTTTGCCAGACCAAAGCTGATGTCTTCTCATCAGAGACAGGGGCACAGTCAATCAGGCTCAAGGGTTCAGTCATTCATACAAGTTTGCGTTTCCAGATGGACATATAAAAAGGCCAGTGTAGTGCAATTGGAACAAGAAAGCAAGATTCATCAACGCTAGATTTGGTCCAAAAACTATTGAGATCAATACCGACATAACCCTCGCAATGGCGCTTACCACCTTTACCATCTCCGATGTTCGTATTTTCACGGGCAAAGAGGCCATAGATGTCGGCTATGTCACAGTAAAGAATGGAACCATCTCAGATGTGTCTTCTGGATCACCACCTCCTGAAAGCCCAGGCTCAGTTCTCTCCCGGCCTGGCCATACTGTTATACCTGGCTTGATAGATGCACATATGCATGCTCAGGGTAACGACCTTGCCCTGACCCAATCCCTTCAATTCGGGGTCACGACCGTCCAGGATATGCACAATGAAACCGCCAACGTCCACAAAATGAAAAAGATTGCCGCAGCCAAGAAGGATGAAGCTTCCGATTTCAGGGCCGCAGGTGTGGCTGCTACGATCGAAGGCGGATGGCCTATGGCTGTAGTTCTGGCCATTGATAAGAGTGAACAGGTGAGAATCGATAATCCCGAGAGTCCCTTCTAGCTAACTGGAAAACTGAATTTTCTCAGACAGCTGCAGATGTTGCGACTTGGCCTAAACTCAAATCTCCCGCTGAAGCTGAAGCATACGTCGCATTCAATCTCTCTCCTGCCGGCGGCGCAGACTTTATCAAGCTGATGCACGAGTCCGGGTCCGCCGTGGGCCAATCGATGTCGAAGCCATCTCTGGATATCCAAAAGGCCCTTATCAAGGCGACTCACGAAGCCGGTCGGATCGCTGTAGCTCACTGCTTCGGCCGTGCTGACACCCTGGAGATGCTTTCTCTGGGAATAGATGGACTAGCTCATACCTTCATGGATGAACCAGTCACCGAAGAAATCATCAACGAATACAAGAAGTCCGGTGCATGGTGCAACCCAACTCTAGCACTACTGGGGAGCTTTACCACGGAGGGAGAGGCACTGGCAAACCGATTTGCCAATGATGAGAGGGTGAAGGGAAAACTAGCCGCCACAGACCATGCCACGATGTGTCGCTGCATGAGTTTTGCAACCGCCGATGCTACAGTGCGGTATGCGTACGAAACAGTGCGGCGGTTGAAGGCCGAGGGGGTTCCCATCATTGTGTAAGTGAGGGTCTTGAGTAGTTGGACCATGAGATATGTGATGGAGCTGACCTTTTCTAGTGGCTCCGACGCTGTTGGCCCTGGGCTGGGCACTGCATACGGTGCTACAGTCCATCAAGAGATGTATTTGCTTGTGAAGGAGTGTGGATTCTCACCGCAAGACGCAATCCGCTCTGCTACCACGCTGACTGCCAAGGTGTTTGGCTTGAAAGACCGAGGGGAGGTTGCCCGGGGGCTGAAGGGTGATCTGGTCCTAGTGGAAGGAAATCCAGTGGATGACATCGAAGCTACGCTCAATATCAAGAGCGTCTGGCGTGATGGCATTTTAGCCAAGGGCTTTTGAGTCTAGACGTTACCAACTATCGTTCCTATGAGCGGCATACTCAGGCACAGATAAGGAATGAATCATACGTACGTAAGAGAAAGAGAATAAAGTTCAACAGCAATGGAATCTGCCAGAGCCCGACAACTCAACACAATGAATAAAGGAATGAATCATGAATGTCTAATAATTTATCTTCAGTCATGAGATGACCGTTTTCCCCCAACCCCATGTCCACCTTCTTCTAAGGGAGAGAATGCCCTCCCGTAAGCCTCAGCGACCGCTTAATCCTGGTGAGAGTTCGAGTGTAAAGTAAAAAACAGCAATAAAAGATACTAAACCCGACATCTCAACACAATGAACAAGGCTAGGGATACAGTGGATCGAGAATACTTGGCCGCAGACTATCGATTCCCGTCTCCACCCATACATCTTTGTGTCCCTATCATGATCAGGATGGCTGACGATCTCAGCCGCAATGGCCAGAGCGGGGAATCTTGGTCCAAGCCTGGGAAAACACCTCTCATCGTCGAAAAAACACACCAGCGCTATCACAACTTCTGTGAAAGGCCCATACATCTCGCCCTCGGGGAGCGACACGTCTGATCCTGGCAGCCAGTCATGGATTTCGGGACCAGTCTCCCGGAGATTGTGCAGGACTCGAGGCTGGATGTCCGGTTCGCATCTGAAGGACACCGACGATACACCATCCACCCGCAGGCTGCCACCAGGCGATCTCGGTATGTCGAGGAGCGATGGGTTCATGAAAGAGTCCTGGGCCAAGGCGGCCAGGGCTCTGTAGATTTGCAAGTCAAGGACATGGGCAGACCTGGAACACTTCAGCACAGAGCAGTCAAGAAAATCAGGCTCCAGCGTGGGGAAGCCCAGCAGTCAAAGATGATCCAGCGAGAACTAGAGGCTATCTTCAAGTTTTCTCAGGCAAGGGTATGGGACAACCTGTCCCCGAATAAAGATTTTCGCAGGCTAATATATGGCAGTATTCCGAGCTGTTCGTCCAGTCGTATGGGTGGTTTGTCAGCGATGGACTGATCCATATCGCTATGGAATATCATGAGCTTGGAGACCTGCAACATTTCCTCGACGATCCCTCTCGGTGTCCAGGCAAGCGGTTACCGGAGCATGGGGTTCATGATATATCACTTCAGGTGCTGGATGCCTTGTGCCTTATGCATGAGCAGGGCTTCTCTCATCGGGACCTCAAGCCCGCAGTGAGCGACATCTGCAGATATTCTCATGGTTCATGATCAAAAGAAACTGACATCTTCATCCTCAGAATATCTTAATCAAGCACCAACCCCCAAACCCTTGGTGGATTAAACTGGGCGACTTCGGAATCAGCAAGCGAGGTGGAGAAATGTCACAGCTGACAACTATCGGGGGAACCCTATCCTTCATGCCTCCAGAGTTGCGTTTCTAGAGCACTCGTCTCAGTACGCGCCCGTTTGCTGCCGATATGTGGAGTTATGGCGAGACCATATACAGAATGTTCACAGGCCAACCGATGTTTGATGGGGATACCCTGCTCGACTACTGGCAGGGCCGTGCTTCTTTCCCTGAGGAAGCATTGCGCCGGCTGAAGATTAGCAATGCTGCCATAGATTTCATCAAAAAGTTGGTGGTCGCCGAATCAGAGGAAAGAATTTCGTCGGAGCAGGCATTGCATGATCCCTGGATCGATGCGCCTCCCCCACAGCCACACCAGCAATCTGAATCTACTCAAAAGGACCAAACACTTGCTTTCCGCCCACGGCCTAAATCTGATGAAAACTCAAATATGTGGCCTAATAGTTCAAGTACTGGAATTCAGACGGCTATATTTTCCTCCACTGCCGGTTCAACATACTCTAACTTCTGGCCAGATGAACCTTCAACCACGGGAACACAGCTGCGACAGACAACTTATTCTAATCTCTGGCCTGAATCTACCTCAACGAACCCAACCTCTTATCCAGGGTCTACTCATACGCCGCACCAAACTGGTCTGCCTAGCACTGGCCCCTCCACACAGAGCCGTTCGGCCTCTCAGGCATCGACCGGCAGCAGTTCAGTCCACGCCGCCTCAGATCCAGGAATGCCCGGACCCCATCACCATACATTAGAGAAGTGCCGAAAACTAAACAGCAAAGCAGAGATAGCCTTCAAAGATGAGAACTACCAGCTGGCTGAGACGGCATATCGCGAAGTGTGGAACATAAAAACGCGGACCTTCGGAAGTGGCCACCCCGAGACAGTGGACAGCAAGATGAAACTTGCAGAGGCAATGGTAGAGCAAGGCAACGACCAGAAACTGATTATGGCCGAGTCAATGTTTCGAGAAGTTTGGCAGCTCAGAAAAGCTACATTGGGGGATGAACATCGCGACACGCTCCTCGCCGAGCAAAATCTAGCCAGTGCCCTTAGTTGCTTAGACAGAGACGATGAAGCCGAGGGAATGTTCGGGGGGGTACTTTCAGCACAAAGGAGGACATTGGGAGATGACCATGACGACACACTCAAGACTATGGGCGGACTTGCTGACTTGCTCCTAAATGGCGAAGAGAATGACGTGGAGGAAAGGGTGGAAGAAGCGTCTGAACTTTTTGAACAAGTTCTCGAAATCAGGCTAGAGTCACTTGGAGTTGAGCACGATGAGACGGCTCTTGCAATGCAAAGGACTTCATCTGCCTATTTCAAGGAACGACTCTTTGCCGAGGCCCAGTCTCTCTCTGAAAAAGCGCTGCACATCATACGTAGCAAGTACGGCAGGGATCACAAGAAGGCTTTTGGTATTATGGAGGGGCTTGCTGGTACGCTTCACATGCAAGGCAAGGCCGAAGAATGCGAAAAGCTTCTCCGCGAGCTTGTCGAGGTCAAAATACGCGTTTTGGGCGAGGCGCAGGCCGTTGACGCGATCGACGACCTTGCAGAGCATCTTAGAAGGGAAGGCAAGAAAGACGAAGCAGAGCAATACTACAGAAAGGCTCTCCGTATTCAAAAGAATGAGGAAACGGTTGACCAACGTACCCTCGTCATCATGGAGGCCCTAGCGATGCTGCTTTTCAAGCAGGGTAAAGATGAAGAAGAGGCGAAAAGCCTGTCTCGGGAAGTCGTCGACATTCGGAAAAATCTCGATGGAATTGAGAATCCCGCTACGCTTCACAGCATGCATGTCCTTGCTAAACTCCTGTCCGATGGACTCTCTTGAATCAGGAGGCGAGTCATTATCCATACTCAAAGAAGTTGTCCGTCTTCGGCAGAGGATCTTAGGTTTCGAACATGAAGACACCCTGCAAGCTACAATCGACTTAGCTCACGTATATTCGAAGATGAGAGATGATGAAAAGGCAGAAACTACTTATAAGGAAATCATCCGGGTTCAAAGGAGAGAATTGGGTGCTGAACACCCCCATACGCTTGATACTATGAGTAGTCTGGCCAGTTTCCTAATAAGAGCTGACCGGATGCCAGCAGCGGAGACGATGCTGCAAGACGTGATCGTTGGCCGTCAACAGGCATTAGGAGAATCACACCCGGATACAATTGAATCCATGGACTCCCTTAGAGATGTGCTCTCACAACAGGGAAAGTTCATTGATGCCACAGGCCAGGCCGAGAAGATTGTTGAACTTCAAAAAAAGACTCTTGGAGAGGAGCACGACGAGACCTTGGGATCTATGATCATCCTTGCGGTAACGCACGCTTGGCGGGGAGAATATCTAATACCTATGGCTCTGTGTCAACAAGTCATCAAAACCATAATGAATACTTCCGACGGCGATGATGGAATTCTACGGCTGGCTGTACTGCATCTTGTGGAGTTACTATATTTGCAAGGCAAGTTTGAGGAGGCTGAGTTGGCATGCAGAGACGTTTTCCTACATATTGCGAAAAGCAGGAAGAATCCAGACGCAGATGTTGTCCAATTCAAGGCATCTCTTATCAATGATCTCCACGAGGCGGAAATTGATGAGTTAGCAGCCAAGTTTGAAAGGGAGGTTGATGAAGTCAGATCGAAGGCCAGCGGTTCTTGACGAGCTTGCAGATCGCCAGAGAACAAAATTTGTGAGAGATGATGAGAGAGCGCTTCACACAATGGGATCAACTTGCTGGTGTGATGTTACCAGCCAAGAACTCTATGAAGGAGCAGCATCTCTCAGTTAAGAGCTGGTGGAGAGGAGGACAGGGGCACTAGGTGGAGAGCATCTCGAAACTCGTAATAACGGAGCCAGGAGAAATATCAGAACGAGAAACTGGCCTGGTCAGATATCAAATACCTTAGCTTACAGCGCCCACTTTGGCCGAGCAACGAATCGCCGGTACATGTTACAGTGCAAATATAAAACAACAAACACACCGCGTGTAAAGGATGTCCGCGACGAAAGCACCGGTGTGATTGCATCTTACCCGTCTGTTCCCCGTGCTGTAGAGCGGGCTGTCCGTGCGCCACCATGCTGATTCACTCATATTATCACGATTAAGAGCTTTATAGATTAGGAATTATTTTATGAGGTAATCATAGGAAGTTGAAACTATTATCTGGCCAGTTAAATATGTGTTGTTGAGCCGTTTCGTTTGGCGAGCCATTATGCATTATCCTTCGGTTTGCACTTATTTAGTATCTCACGCGCTCCCGCGAACTCATATTCTGCCATTGTCTCATCCCAAAGCGTATCAATGACTAGCTTTCCCTCTGGCAAATAAACAAGTTTCGTGAATCTGCATTCATCCTCAGTTAGCAAGACGGCCAGACTTTGTCGATAGTGGCGATACTTACGGATGGATCTCCCAGTCCAAGAGGAAACAACCATGAGACTCTTTGCCCTTCACCAGTGCGGCATCAACATAAGTCCACGCGCCGTCGGCAGGATTGCGACCAGCGATTGCCTTGTAAGTATTTAGAAAGACCCCCGCAACACCCGGGACTTCCCTATGTAATTCTGATCCTTTACACATGCCAGGTTCGACAAGGTTGACGATCACGTCATCCGGGTTGAGATAGTCGATCAGTCTGGCAAAGAACAAGTGGCCTAGCATCTTGGAGGAGAAATATCTCTCAATGGAGTCCCAAGGTTGAATAGTGGTGTCGTCAAATGATGCAAGTAGCGGCCTTTTGTCGCGGTTCAAGAACTTCGCCATCAAGGCCGTCCCTGAGCTGACAATAGTAAGTCGGCCAGGGCTGCCAGAAGGTGCCTTGTCTTTGCATATGGGCAGCATGAGAATTGCAAGGAGGAACGTCGACAAGTAGTTAATCTGGATGACCTCTTCGTGGCCAGTGCTGCAGATGCCAAAATCTACCTTTACTGCCCCGGCATTGAGGATCGTAAAGTCGAGTCTCTTGAGGTCTGTCCCTGCTCGCTTGCAAAAGTCCTGTATGGAGGAGTAGGAGGTCATCTCAAGTGTCCAAACATCAACAGTTGCTGCTGGGTAGTCAGCCCGCAGCCCAGCGGCTGCGGACTCCCCCTTCTTGGGCGACCGGACGGCCAAGATAAGGTGGGAAAGCTTGAGTGACAGAAGGTGACGCGCACAATGAAGCCCCAGGCCAGTATTGCCACCTGTGATGATCGCAACTTTGCCAGTCAAATCCGTGTCTGCTGGTGCTCGTCTTATTTTGGTGCGAAAAGGGAGTTTGAAGCCACCAGACTTGGGCTGGTGACCCATTTCCATTGATTTCGAAGGCATGATTTGCATACTTTTGTTCTGTGATTAACTAAGAACAAAAAGTATATGAGATGGACAGAAGCTTGGCAGGTTATCAGGAGCAGGACCAGACTCTGATATTTATTCTTCGCTAAAGGCATGATGTCTGGGCAATTTCGGGAAGCATTTGAAAATAACGTACTCCAATTAAACTCATATCTCTCTAGAATGGGAAATCTTTTGCATGAAGTCTTACCATATTCGAGGAGCTGCGAATATCTAGATGGCCTGAGCTGAAAGGAGTCCATCTCCACTCGTGCTGCTGACTCGGTCCTGGTCCGTTCTAGTCCTGAGTAGGAAACACTTCATGTCTTGGCTTGCCATTCTAGGATTTAGTTTATGGGTCTGGAACCCGAATGCCGCGTCAAATCTTGAGGGATTGGCTGACTAACGGTTGATTCCCAGCACCAACCGGAGTCAACATTTCCTGCGGACTCCGAGCCAAGATGAATCTTGATCCCAGAGCTACGCTGTCAACATGCAAGGAGAACAGACGCCCAGGTTGCCTGGGTCCCCATCATGAGGATGACGGTAGAAGCCTACCAATCTAAATGGCGCATCCAGCGAGGCGGCAGGAAAGAGAAGCCAGATGCCGCCCCTGATCCTTTCATCGTAGCCACCGGGCGAGACAACCTTAAACCCGACGCCAAATCCTTGAAATTCATCCGCCATCACGCTATGAGGGGGAAGAACAGGAAACAATCATCTCCTCGTTCATACAATACAACACATCTACAACACGATATCGCAGAGCATATCCCTTTGCAGAACGCCATAGTCGAACCGGTGTGGCTTCGGACGCTTGACATGGCCTACCTCCCTGGTTTTCATCCAAGTTTACCACCAAGAATGCTTCATACCGTCTGCAAATGTAGCATATTGATATTCCTATTCCCTACTCAAGTTGCAGCTGCTGACGTGAAACAATGCAGTTATTTCATATATGACGATGGGCATGTACCCCGTCAATGACTTCGTCGATCTTAGTAAGGACGAGCAATACTGGCTCGAGGACATGAGCCACGATCCTCTCTACACCGATACTCTGTTTCACATTGCCAGATCCTACCTTGATACGGTTGGCAAGGGCCACATGTTAACGGGAGTAACACTCATTAACAACGCTATGGCTGAGTTGCGAAAGAAACTTACCGAGCCGAATTTCATTATTACAGACTCTGTTCTTCTCACTGTCTTATCTCTGGCATTGATCTCGGATACACTTGGAGATCTAGACGCCACCAGAAAGCACCTCAACGGTCTTTGGCAACTAATCAAGCTCCGCGGTGGCCTGCTCGGGCTGACGGAAAAGTATTCCCTCCGGGTCAAATGCAGCAGGTTTGTAACCAAAGACAACATACAACTGTGCACCTGCTAATTGTTGCCAACCCAACACAGACTTGACCTTCGTTTGGCCTTAAAGACTGGGGCGAAGCCAGTCTTTCTTTGTGGGCAGGATTTCCAATGGAATCCGAGCCTGGCGCAGCCCATGAAGGCCTCTACAGCTACACCAATCCACGCTGTCTGCAGCACCCCTGACATTCGACTTGTAAATGTCTGGCTTGACTTGCAAGATTTTACAAACAGTATCAATATGGCACAGCAAACTCGCCAGAAGCTGGCATCAAAACAATTCCAGGAGAAATTAATCTCCTTGCAATATCGGCTGCAGTGTTTGGCCTACGAGCGTCATGACATTCAAGAAATCATTCGTCATGTCATGTTAGCGTGCACAACCACCCTCTTTATGAAGACAACAGACTTGCCAGCTCAGTGTCGACCCCTAGCTATGCAACTTGGGCAAGATATGGGGTACCTGGAATCACAAGACGATAAAAATCTATTGAAGCTGCAAGTCTGGTCTGTTTGTATTAGCAGAGCATCCGTGTTGAGCACTGAGGGGGAACTTCCGTGGCTCGAAAATTGGCTTCGTAAAGCATGTCGAATGTTAGAAATCTCGACCTGGGAGGAGACCCGCCGGATCCTCACGAGCTTTGTCTGGGTCGATTTGATTCACGACCCCATTGGTCAGTCATTCTTTGAAGGGGCAAGCCAATGTCAGTATTTCGAACAAGTCCCCGATGGTAGATAGCAATTGAGAATTACCGGGCGTGTCCTAGTACCTCACATTAGAATAATTATAATTATTGCTCTTCTATGTAAGCAATCAAAGTTCAATAGCTAAAAACGCGACAAGCTGTGTATTATATCACCGAGCTTTGGTATGTTAGAATAATAGGGGGATTGGAATCACGTATCTTCCTTCTCCTGGAATCGAGCAAAGGACTATGCCCTGCCGTTTTCGTTAATTTTTTCCTCCATATTCAATGATTTCCTCCGTTATCACGTTACTTAGTTTGAAACTAGATTCATGCTTATGAATGTCCTGTACAATGCTGTGACAAATCAGGATGATGTAGGGCGGGCTGGGAGTGCGGTCGAGCCCGGAACCTCATCCCCGATTATTCAAAAACTACCTTGCCTGAAAAGCTTCTTCAAATTATTCCCCTAGGACTAACGATCTTTGATAGCGATTCAAGTTAACTTATTACAGGCAATCAGCCATCGACGGTGAAACACCCGGTAGCCTGTCCCCTTAGTTGTTATGTTAGACCCAACAAAGAATAGATTTGCCATTCAGGAGAAGGCTACCTACACTTGCGGATTTTCGACGTCTGCATATAGAAATGGGGCTCTTAATTATAGATAATATAGATAGTGGGGAAGATACATTGCACCACGTAGTTATCTAGCGGTAATACCGAGAAAACAACACAGGGATTATAAGATGGAATAAAGATCCAACTACACGTGGTGGTGAGACGTAAATCGCAAATGCCGTAAGAAAAGACACCTGATTAATGAGCCATCCACCTAGGTTAAGAATCCAAATAATAAAAATCCCTCCCTGGCGCGGGGATCCAAATGCCGACCCCCTTGCGCCCCATGTTGCAAGAGGCAAGTAAACAAGGGGCGATCTTATGTCCCTGGAATTCCAAGACTCCTTTCCGATACTGCTTGATTCCTGCTGATCGCAATCTCGCCTAGACTTATAGGCCTTTCGAAACTAAACATAGTTTTTTGCTTTCCGTCTTGACCAGCCAAGCGTACTACGTTGGACAATCACGGGGGAAACCTGATTCGTCGAGCCCCGAGAGTAAAAGCTGGATATTGTCCATTCATCTAAGTGGAAGCATGTGTTACCCACTCAGTTAGGCTACGGGAAGTTGAAAATTACTGGTCTCATCCAATAATTTGGTTTAGTTTACCTTCGGTTCATGTAGGTTTAGTAGTTCATCCATGTGTGATAAAGGCGAGTCTTAGACTCTGCAAGACACTACACAATAAAGCATACGGGACCTTTGAGTTAGGAAACAAATAGAAAGACATGTTGCTTCAGCTATCAGGTAGGGCTCATCGCACTATTTTCTTGTTCTAGGAGAGACCAAAGTTTGAGTTTTCTTTTCTTTTTGTATGTCTCGCATTCGTGTTGTTGTCTCCCGCGTATCAAACGAAGTTGGCATTGAGCCTTCAAAATCTTCCAAGTTTTTCCATTCCTTCTGTGTGTTCAAATCAACACGCAGACCAAGTTCACATTACCATATCCCATTTTAAGCTCCCTTAATAGTATTACATTCCTGCTCGCCAGGTTTTTGTCACCCCCTAAACCTTATAATGGTACGCCGGCAGGATTATCGAGTTTGCCCTTCGAATTCTTTTCGTAGGTCACATTGATTTTCGAGTGCTTCCAGATACCGGATCTAGGGTGGTCTTGTAGAATGTTTCGCTCGCTCTCGGCGTCGTCGCTGTCGAGGGGAATCGCATCCGCGGCTTTGCTGTGATTATGGCGACGATGGCTCATTTCGAAATCGTCGGTACCGCCTGTGTGAAGACCTCCACCAGTGCCATATCCTCCAGAGCGTCCTTGCTTGCCGGAGCTTCGGCCATGGCTGCCAAACGGCAAGTATTTGACGAGGGGGCGAAGAGCCACAAGGGAGGCGCAGAGAATGGATAATCCGAATTCTAGGACAGAGCTAATGACGATGCGATTAGAAGACAAGCTAGAGAAATGCTAGAATGGAATGGACTCACTAGATGAAAGATTCGAGTTGGAGGTCAAGCGCAGCCACAATGTCCGTGGAGCTGACGATCAACACCAAGCTCCTGAGCCGCACAATACTGACCACAACTGTTCCGGCACCGAGACCCAGCAGGAACATGATGGCGATTTTGGTTCTAGTACCCATCTGTAGACCCTTGAGGAGAAAGATGGGCAGAATGGCGTAGAAGAGCGCCGACGCAATGTCCAGCGCCGATACCGCAAAGCCCAGGCCTGCCAGCTGGGTTATTGTGAGACACTTTCCCGTGCCATCACCCCAGACGGCCTTGAGCGGAATGCACTGCAGCACATCGACGAGAAGGCAGCCCAGAGCGTAGATGCCCACGAAGACCATAGATATAACAAGAAGGCGCTGGATATGAGGCTTCCCCTGGACAATACGGTGCAAAACGAGCGCTACGCTGATTCGCACGACAGGGAATCCGGCGACGTAGGTAACCTGGGCAATGGTGAAGTATCTGGAAGCCTCCATCTGATTGTATTTGGCGAAGGTGGCGATGACAGCTGGGTCGGAAAGGCCGAAGCCGTACGAGAGAGATACGAAGCAAAAGGTGCACATGAGGACGAAGGCAGCAGTAGCGATCGCGATGACATAGTCGTCGTATCCGAGACTGGTCATCTTCAGGCGCACCATCATTCGAACAAGAACAATGGCGACGTCGACGGCGATGAAGGCCGCCATCAAGGAGGGGAGGGTGTCGCGCACCGCCATGATTCCGGTCCGGTGTGGGTTGATTTCGTTGCTGTCTGCTCTCCAAGACCGGAGGGAAAGAGAGTTAAAAGGTTCTCGAGATCCCCTTTCTCCTGGATGATCGATGTCACTGTCTCCGGGGGAGGGGCCGCAAGGCGAAACAAACCCTTCCTTTGGGCCCCTCGGCAGTGGTAAGGATTTAAACTAGCCTTGGTATTGGTTATTACTTATCACGCAACCAATATACATAAATACTTGCTTTCTTTTTATTGTAACGGCTAGCAGGGTCCCGCGGACTTGAGTGGACTTGTGGGGAACGAGGATTCCGGGAACTTGGCCGCCCTCCGGGAGGCGACCGTTGACGGACGAGACCTTCCTGTCCTAGACAAGATCAACGGCTGGCACTATTCCATTCGAGGTTTACTTTATAGTTTGCGCGTTGCATGAACGACCGGAAAGCTTAGATGCCGAGTACTTCCCAGCGATAAGACATGCATAAGGAGGATGTAACAGGGCGTATAGATGGGGGTAAACAATGGGATGAGCAATTTATCATATTGAAGATCTCAGAACTAAGCCTGTACCTGTACCGTTGATAATTTCATGGCGTGCTTGGGCTTGACAGTCGTTGGCCACACCTCCCGCGCGCGGTTGCCGCTGAGGGACATCCGTTGTTGTCTCCCGGCCCCATCCGCGCCGTTGGAAGCTTAGTTAGCGTTTGATTACTGAATGAAGAAACCCCTCGCGGGTGGTCGGAGCTCTGACGGGGAGCAGCCGCCAGATCCCTGTCGGATGTCAGCATCGTCTTAGCGCGCTCCTGGTTTTAATTTTTGGGTTCTATCATCCGAGGTGCAGCTCTAACGCCAGGGGCCGCCCTCTTTTGACAGGGATGGAGGCACGAACTACCAATACGAAGCAGGGAATCGACAACATATCACGTCTCTCTAGCCTCAACATCCATCTTCCACACACCAAAAGTTGGGTCTTCCTAGGCTCGCTTCTAATGATTGGGACCCTCATATAGCTAATCCCCTGGTGATAAAAGCGACGGTGACCTGATGAAGACACACTAGTCGCCTGAGATAGGAAGGGGGGGCGGCTCAAGTCCAAGTCCAGAGAATTTTTGCCACGAAGCAGAGTAGAACGTACGAGACCGGTATGAATAATAAACAAGGATGACCTGGTAATAGCCTTTAGCGTTGTCTCTCTTCTCTCAAATCATAAACTCGCTGATCCGTTATCCATGTAGCCTTGCTACAGAAATCCTCCGACAAGAAGCCATCCCCCCTTCATCTACATCACACACAAGTCTCGTACCAAATACTTCCACCCATCTACCTTTTACCTTATCCGCGTATACCGCTAAAAACAAGAAAAATGTCGGAATCTGAAGCTCTTCCCCGCGTTGTCGAAGACGTCACAGCAGAATGGCTCTTGCCCAAGCTTGGCCTCCAGAAGGCCACGATTGAAACGAACAAGGTCATTGCCGGCACGGCCTCCTTGATCCTCATGACCGTCACACCGGAAGAAGAGGACGGAAAGAAAAAGGCCGCCCTGAATATTTGTGTCAAGGGTGGCTTCAACCCAGATATGCTGACGGCGTACCCTTTTATCCTCGGCCTCTACACACGAGAACTCGATTTTTACAGCAACGTGGCGCCCCAAGTACCGCAGCTAAACTTGCCAAAGATACTGTGGTCTGGCAAGACTGCCGAAAATGCCCTTCTCGTGATGACAGACGTCGCCACCACGGCAGGCTACGTGTTTGCTGATCCTGTCGATACCTGGCCTGTTGATCGGGTTAAATTAGTCGTTGAGCAGTTTGCTGCCCTTCATGCCGCCACGTGGGGAACCAAGGCTGAAGATGCTCCCTGGTTAAATGACCACTACGAGGAAGCAGTCCTGGGACTCTGTGGTATGTGGGACGCCATCGTGCTGGCCGAAGATAGGCCTCCTGTGCTTGAGTACATGAAAGACAAGGAGCGGATGATACCCGCCATCAAGGCGTGGTTTGGAACCCGAAACCCCAAGTTTGGGTGCATCCTGCACGGCGATGCGCACATCGGCAACACGGCTTGGTCCGAGGAGACCAAGGCCCCCATGATAGTTGACTGGCAGATCATCCACCGCGGATCCTGCTTCACCGACATCGCTTACTATATCATGACGGCCCTGACCATCGAAGACCGCAAGGCACACGAGAAGGACTTGATCGATCATTATCTCGCAAAGCTACATGAGTATGGTGGACCGAAGCTTTCAAGGGATGATCCCGAGGTGATGGAAGAGTACCGAAAGTCTCTTATGGCCGGGTATTCCTGGGTTCTCTGCCCTTACACCATGCAAAAGAAGGAACGAGTGTGGGCCATTGTGTCGCGACTTGTCTCGGCCATGGAGGATCACAACCCGGTGGAACTATTAGTAAAGGAGTAGATAGTTGTATTTCGGAACCGTCCTTACCCTTCCAACGGTAGCCAATGCTATCGACTCTTAGACAAATAGTAACTAGCAACTCGGTTGAGCTTGATAAGTTTATATACTACGAACAATAGCTATCAATTTACCTATAATGGCCATGGAATTATATTTTCTACGTCATGCCCTTTCTTAATGCAAACAATTTTTCACCAAAAGAACAAGATATGGTTCCTAAAACACCTCTAAAAATGGGCGTGAAATCAATCGAACAAGGTAAGATAGGGGCAAATGGCGCTAATTAGATAGACCCGATTAGTTTAAATCATAATTTCTCTTTTTCTGGCACTTGGTATTTAAGGTGAATATCATTCCAGGCGCAACAGGAGGTTAGAGATCCTGGAGTTGGGGATATTGAGGGAGATATAGGGTAACCAAATTAAGGGCTTATGAAGCTGCCAAAACTCACGTCACAACGCTCGACTCTGCGAAACAGAGCTGGGTGTTGCTGAACCGAGATGTAATCTTCTACTAACAACACTTAGTATTAAGGGTGATGAGACCCAAAAATATAAAATAAACAATAAATTTACACAGCCAACGGAGAAGATGGGCTGTAACCAGGTATTCACTAATCGCATGGCCACACGCATTTAGAAAACAGCATCAAGTAAATTATTGGAAGCCTATGGAAACTGTATCAAATGAATTCAATACTGTTTTGAGCCCATATGTATCATGCAGTATCGCCAATATTATCACGTTGACCGAATCCCAAGAAGTAACAAGTAGGAGTTTGATTTGGAATTCTTCTCTATGGCCTCAACACTCCTTATTATACTTTCTCCCATGTTTAAATATATACTTCTAGAAAGAAATATGTCACATAAATTTCGTAGAAGGCGTATACCACGACAAGATATAGGGGGATCGGTTCGAGGATTCGTATTCGCGCTGTCTTAGCGAGGTAATCATACTTTACCACGCCCCTACACAGCCAGCCACTGGTATATCTATTCCCGTCTGGGTTTATGATCGTTAGTTACTAATAGGAGAATCGGAGTAGAGCAACACAGCGAACAGCTTGGAATGAATGATAGATCGGTGGGCCTTCTGGCTGCCAATAGAAATCCCGCAGCTCATCATTCAAGCTGGGCAATGACCCTCAAAAGAGGGAGCAAAAGGAAAGACGTCGGGTATAATAGAAGAAACTTACGGTATAGGATGCAACGTCAGAAAGAAGATAGACATAAGCACCGCCAAGCTCCTTCGGGTCGGCAAGGCGAGGCATGCCGCCATAGTATTGCATCTTGAGGTTCCAATCGGGAGTCTGGTCGACAAATTGTGTCATGGCTGTTTTCACAAAGCCGGGAGAAATCGAATTGACCCTGATACCGTGCTTGGCCCACTCCATTGCCAGGGTATGAGTCATGTTTCGCACCGCGGCCTTGGTTGCGCCGTACGGTGCCGAAGGTGCAGCTCGGTTTGGCTTGTACGAGGTCATCGAGGCCGTGAATACAATGGATCCCTTTATGCCACGCTCAATGAAGCGACGGGCCACGGCAGTGGCGCAAAAGTAGGCCCCGAAAACGTTGAGTTTGAAGAGCTTGTCAAGCTGGTCACGGTCAAAATTGAGGGCGGGCTGATGCTTGGTCATGCCAGCATTGGCTACGAGACCGTGAATTATCCCGCGTTCTGCGATGATGGTGTCGATGGCCGACTCGATGCTGTGTTCGTTTGTCACGTCACATTGGATGTAGTGGAGACGCTCGGAGTGTTTCTCTTGAACAGCCTTGAAGTCCTCGCCTGGTTCAAAAAGATCCAAGCTGTAGACGCAGACGGCTTCGTTGGCGAGACAAACCTCGGCGATGCCTAGATCAATTCCTCTATTGGCCCCAGTAATAGCAATTACTTTGTCTTTTAAACTCACGCGCCAGTCGTGATAAGGGCCAGGCTGTGTATTCAGAAAACCGAAAGATTGGGTACTAGGGGCATCGGTATCTGGATCTGTCGGCGTGCCGATATTTTCATTGACGGAATCCTCCATGTTGATGTTGTTCTCGACCGCTCCTGGGCTCATATTGGCGCCGGTTTGATTGTAAAAGGCTTTGCTCAAGCGGGTCTTGTCGTAGGAACGAGAGAGAGTGCTGGGGAGAGCAAAGGGGATTCGGCGTGGCATTCAAACGGCGAGATCAAGAGAAGAATAGAAAGATGTCGATGGTAATACCAAAATTCGACCGGTTGTACTTGAGTTTCACATGTTGAATCGCCATGAATGAAACGGCATACGCCTTAAGATATATCGTTGCTCGTGCAATACAATCACATACGATTTGCTCTCTCTCTCGACGTAAGCCTAGCACACCTTCGAAGCGAGAGAGAGTTCCTGTCGCCCGAAGCAAAGCATCCTGCAGTTAACCCGATTTCCTCTAATAGGGGCTGATATATCGCCATGGGGCAACGAGTTGGATGGCGGACTCGCATCGAGTCCATCTTGTGACAACTAAAATTGAGGAGAGGTCTCGCATCGAACCCAACAGGCCCTGCCTCCCATAGTTCCAGGCTCGTTCCGGTGCTCTATTGGCTGTTGAGTTCTCCGCCCCCTTCTGGCGCGGAGACCCCAGACACTCTCTCCACCTACCCCACAGATTCGCTTCGATGCTTCATTGGCTACAGCTTCTATACATGGTCACACTCCCTTCATACCACTTACATGTGTGGATGGCTCTTGTGCTTTTATGCGTACCTAACTACCCCAAAAGCTCCAAGTTCAATGTTCCGCTTCCCCGTGGGGGTGGTCTCCCCTCGCCTGAAAAGGGGGTCAATCGCGTGGGGCCTTGGAATCTCGACTGAATCGAACACTCCCCAGCCATGCTTGGAGTCGAGTGGTCGGTCATTGATTACGACTAGCTTCGAGTGTGTCTACAAGGAAAGGTCGAAGCCTTAGTTTCCAGGCATGTATCAAGTGTACTCAGCTTGCTTGCCCTGGTGTTGGCTCGAACCATGCTCTCACCGCTGCAGATATAAAGGCGAACAGTATCCGTCTCTCTGCTGATCTTCCGAACCCCAACCGACCCTGTAAAATCAAACCCTCACCTCTGAGACTCAACCTTTTCTTATTGTTGGTTTCGTATCTTGACAACCGATACTGTCCAAGTGTTGGTACCCATATTCAGTCAAGATGGTCTCAACCTCCCTTGCCGAACAAGCTTCAACACTGGAGGGTATCGCTGACCTCAAAGGCATTGAGCATCAAAACTACTCTGAGCATGTGGAAAGCTCAGGGGACCTGACATGGACCCCTGATGAGGAAAAGAAACTCGTTCGAAAGGTCGACCTGATGCTTTTGCCAACAATTTGGATCATGTATTTGCTGTCCTACATGGACCGGACCAAGTGAGACAAACGAGGGCAACTCAGATATGGTGTTGAAGATAACTGACAGGTTTCTAGCATCGGGAATGCAAAGATTGCTGGCATGGCCGATGATCTTAAGCTGACCTCAAATGAGTACAGCCTAGCCCTGGTCGTCTTCTTCAGTAAGTCCCCTAATCACCGCGATATGGCCTCTTCTCTAACCCTCTTTCCAACCAGTTGGCTATGTTATCTTTGAACCTCCCTCTAATATGATTCTCGTACGATCTCGACCGTCGCTATATCTACCGTTCTTGATGGCAGTTTGGGGGGTCATGACATGTCTGATGGCTCTGATTAAGGATTTCCACCACTTGGTTGTCCTGCGTGTATTTGTCGGTATCATCGAGGCCGGCTTCGCCCCTGGAGTCTTGCTCATCTTTTCATCTTGGTACAAGCGAAAAGAACAATCGCGACGCTTTGCCGTATTCATGTCCGCCGCTATCCTATCTGGTGCGTTCGGTGGACTTCTAGCGGGTGCCATCACTTCCGGACTTGAAGGGGCTCATGGCATTCGCGGCTGGCGCTGGCTCTTCATCGTCGAAGGGGCGGCCACGGTCGGATTCGCCGGAATTGCCGTATTCATTCTCCTAGACTTCCCTGCCAATTCCAAAGGGCTTTCAGATAGGGAGCGTGCGATTGCTATTGCAAGATTGCAGGAGGACAATGTCACAGTGCGTACCGCGGAGGAGAAGGTTGGAGTCCTGAGGTCTTTTGTGCTCGCTGTCAAGGACTGGAGGACAATTGGTTTCGTCTTCGGATACATGGTGAGTGAACACTTCGATAGCTGAGCTTGGGGCTCGTTCTCGTGAACTGACAATATTGTATGTCATCGTCGGGTCTTCCACCTTGACCTACTTTTATCCCACTCTGGTCAATGGCCTCGGTTACACCCAAACTGTCCAAGCTCAGTACATGACGGTGCCCATCTACGCCGTTGCCTTTGTCTGCACGGCAATCAGCGGCTATTTTGCGGACAAAATCCCTCAGTGGCGTGGCGTTTTAATCGCTTGTTGGCTCACATTCTCAATGATCACCTCGATTCTGGTCTGTGTCCTACACAACTTCACCGTCCGTTACGCTCTGCTTGTCCTCATGGCTGCTCGCCTCTGGTCGTCCAATGCACTTTCGCTTAGCTTTGCTTCTTCCACATTCGGTTCTATGGATGCCGAGGTTCGTGCTATCGCACTCGCTGTCATGAACGGCCTGGGAAACCTGGCCCAGATCTATGGTGCCTACTTGTTTCCTTCCAAAGATGCCCCGCAATATTTCATGGGCTTTGGTGTCATCTCTGGAATGCTTGGCTTCGGTGTGGGCGTGTATATTACAATGCATATCTTGGTTCGCCGTTGGAAACCATAGATTATGCAGCGGTTGGCGGATCTTGGCAGTAAGGCACTGGCAATGGTACGACGTTTAGGAGGGTACCTAGAGACAGAACAAGCATATCTCCCTATGAGTATTTACTTGATTGATTATACCGAAGGGCTTAGTATCTGTTAGTAAATGTTATGACAGATGCTATATGTAAAAGTGTTCAATCTAGCTCAATAGGGACACGTATGCGGTGACACGAATTCGTCCCTAAGCATTCGGGTGGTCGTTCATGTAGTAGATCCGCAGCATAGAAAAATGTGCCTTGGCTTTGTCTAAGATGCAAAAGCGAGGCCAGGGGGAATTAGTTGGCCAACATGGCCATTTGTTTGCGAGTAGAGTGGACGACCGACTTCCTCGAGGAAGGATTTTCAGTTTACCAGGCGATTCGTATTAATACGTTTTGCTACGCCGCATTACACCAGCTTTTTAGCATCATATAAAACTGAGCAGGAAGAGGCGGTATCTGGTTACGAAACTACCTATGCAATGATCAGCAGGTAATATCGGCCTACTTGTTATCATTGAATCCGGGGCCTATACTCCCAGTGATAACGCAGACTGATGTTTTCAAGTGATCTCAATCCATCTCATCGCCGGCTTATGGAATTTGGACTTCAGCAAGTAGTTGTGGTTGCACCATGTGCGGGGCTTTATTGGCCAGTCATGTCATCATCCTTCGTCCGACTCAGAGTTCTTATCTGTTGTCTGGCTCAGATGATCCCCACATTCATTTGTCATCGTTGCGAGCTGTGAATAACGGCTCTCTGCATTCATCAAACTGGTACCTAAAGCCGGCAGAACAGCAGCCGAGCCCGTCGCAGCATCTCCATCACCATGGGCCGCCTCTACGCCATCGCGGACCTCCATCTGTCCTGGGATCTGAACCGCCAAGAGCTCGCCAAGCTCGACTACTGCCCCGACGACTCGCTCATCCTCGCCGGCGACGTGGGCGAGAAGGCCGAGCACCTCGAGCTCGCCTTCGAGATCGCCACGAAGCGCTTCAAGACGGTGTACTGGGTGCCCGGCAACCATGAGCTCTACTCCATCGCTTCCGGGGACGACAACAACCCGACCCCGAGAGGCGTCAAGAAGTACGAGGAGTGCGTTGAGGTCGCGCGGCGCTACGGTGTCCTGACGCCGGAGGACGAGTTTGCCGTGCACGACGGCGGAGAAGGAGGCCCGGTCCTGATCTGTCTGCTATTCACCCTCTACGACTATACCTTTGCGCCGCCGCCGCACGACGAGTCGCCTCAGACGGCGCTGGCGTGGGCGGAGGAGGTGGGCACCGTTGCGACGGACGAGATACTGCTCCACGCCGACCCGTACGACCACAAGGCCGAGTGGGGACTGGCGAGGCAGGCGATCAGCCGGCAGCGGCTGGAGGAGGCGAAGAAGAAGCATCCGGATCTGCCGCTGGTTCTGGTGAACCACTGGCCGCTCCGACGGGACCTCATATACATCCCGCTCGCCCCGCGGTTCGAGATCTGGTGCGGGAGCGTGCAGACGGAGGCGTGGCATCGCGAGTTTGGAGCCAAGGTGGTGGTGACGGGGCATTTGCATGTTCCGCGGACCGACTGGCGGGATGGGTGCCGGTTCGAGGAGGTGAGCCTTGGGTATCCGCGGCAGTGGCAGGGTCCGAGAGACAGGGGGCTGGATGTCAACACGCTCATGAGGGAGATTTGGCCGGGAGAGGTTGAGCGGAAGGGCGATGTTCCTCTCGAAGATTCGACAAAGCCAAGATGGAGGCGGAATGGATAGATGGGAGGTTTGAAGTGTTGATGCTTTGCCGGACACTGATAGAACAGATAGACATCCCACGGTGCTCATGAAGCGCTTACTTATATTTCAACATGTAACCAACGAGCTTTGGATCTTTGCCGTACTACTTTTCTACATCCTTTGGATCAGGACATGGACAAAGGATAGTTATGAATAATGACAATGTGAAACACAGGACTTGGCTTGGCGGATGCTCATTGACCTTCACCCTCACTCTCATTTGTCAACATACTTTCACTCGGACGGTAAGGGATAAAGCTTCATAGACAGTGAGCTAGAATGCGGTAGCTTGGGGATTTTAGAACCTTACTCAATCTACCGGCTACCTGCGAAGCTCACAGGGTGCGAACTACGTTACTGAAAATGCAAACGCCATACTCGGTCAGTCTACGGCACACGCAGGGCAATGATGAGGCGGACGATGATAGTCTTTCAAGTATATTCTACATGCAGAAGCAAACCAGCTCGATAGAGAATAATATTTCGTTATCCAGAACGTTATAGGGCGTAGCGATTCAATCGCTGCCCACTCGTCGCTTGACGACTCAAGTCATTCCTACGCCACGCCGTCGACGGCCCAGCATTTTCGTTTGACGTGAGAGAAGAAATTCCAACATAATGGCAATATGCTTACTTGCGGCGGCGCCCGCACTTGCTGGTGGGCGTGGCAGTAGGAGAGACGATGGCAGTGGTGGTAGGCGTAACAATAGGCGTAGCAGTGGGAGTGACGACAGGTGTGGAAGTGGGAGTGACAACAGCCGAGCTGCTAGACGAAGGAGCGTTTCTATCCATTTTCATTACATTTAGCTACATCTCTATAAATCAAAGCGCGGAACCTCCTTCCCCCCCAAGAAGCATGTAGACTTACGAGCTCAAACCCTTGACACCCTCCTGCAGAGCCTTGAAGTGACTCCAGTCATGGCTGTCCTGCGCCAAGCTCCACGCCATGACGCCGCCCAGCCCCTTGGCCTTGACAATCTCCTCGAACTTGCGGGCGATGAGCTTGGGCGTGTCCCAGGTCCAGTAGACGCTCTTGGCCTCGTCCCAGTACCACTGGCCGCCCTGCTCGGCGTCCTCCTGGCCGTTGGTGACGGCGTTGACGAAGTCGCTGCCCTGGACCCAGTTGGCCGTCTCGAAGGTGACGGCGCCGGACAGGCCGGGGTCGCTGCCGTCGGGGAGCTCGAGGACGGCGGTCTCGCAGCCGGTGGGGGCGGTGCACTTGACGCCGGCCTTGGTGGTGAAAAACTTGGCGTAGAAGGGGAAGCCGAGGATGAGCTTGCTGGCGTCCATGCCGCGCTCGAGGTAGGTGTCGATGGCCTGGGCGGAGCCCTTGACGCCGGTGTGGTGGGAGGTGACGTTGTCGCGGCGGTTCATGAGATCGTAGGTCATGACCTGGTAAAGTGAGGTCAGATGAGAATCCGGGGCTGGACATGGAAGACAACTTACATTCACGTGGTCGACGTATTTGTTAATCTCTGGGACCTTCTCCTTGGTGTAGGCAATCATGTCACCTGGGCGAGCGGGGACGGCGATGGAGAGTTCCTTGGTGCCGATGGCCTCCTTGATAGCCTTGAGAAGGAGGGGGTAGTTGTCAATCTCCTGGACCTTCTGGTCGTTGGGGATCTGGCGGTAGTCCTCGCCTGAGAAGAAGCACCAGTCAGTATCAACAAATCACAATACTCGCTGATTGATAATCTACTCACCGTTACCACCGGGGTACTCCCAGTCCACATCGACGCAGTCGTAGCCAAGACGGTCGAGAGTGGCGGCGATGTTGGCAGCATAAGTCTTGCGAGACTCCTCGGAGGCCGAGCCGGTGCTGAAGCCGGCGGTGTCGCCCCATCCACCAATGGCCATGCAAACCTTGGTGCCCGCATCGAAGAGGGCGCGGACCTGGTCCAGGGGCATGAAGGGAGTGTAGGTGGCACCGCTGACGAACAGATCGGAGGTGGCGAAGGAGGTGATGACGTAGTTGACGCCAGCAGTGACGCTCTTGTCGGGGAGAGAGTCCTTGTGCCATCTGTTTGTGAATGCTGTCAGTACTTGTTGACGCTGCGGGCGGTTGGCATACTGGCGAGCAACACTTACTGGTCAAAGTACATGACATAGCTGGGGGCGGCGGCCACAGTGGCAGCGGCGCCGAGCATGGAAACCATAGAGGAACGCATGGTGATGTTTTTGCTAAGTTTCCGAAAAGAAGGAATGAATGGTGGGTGTGTAATGAATGTAAACGAGGCCCAAAGCTCGTGTCTGTGTGTTAAAAAGAAAGGAAGGTGAGGAAGGGAGGTAGCAAAGCCTACTGGCGAGGAAAGGAACACATCCTAAGAGAGGGCATGTGTCGATAGTTATAGATGGTCACAACGTCTTCAATCATATCACACGCATCCTCCTCCTCCACATTGATTGGGGTCCAGTAAAGAGTCTGTGCTTCACGGCTAAAACTTTGCCCAGATCGCGCGGTTGCTGTTCCATGTGGTGGGCAATCCTACAGGGCTCACTCCAGTCTAACGTGACCTTTGGGGGAAGTTGGGACGACACAAAGAGCTCGGACTAGCCAAGCAGGGCAGCTTCATGAAGATCTCTTGCTTGTTTGTCACGGATCGGCTGCGGTATGACAAGGCAGTGAACGGCCAGGGGCTGCAACGTCGCAGCCCGCGAGCAGGTTATTTGTCAGTTGCCGCCTTGGAGGGACAATCAGCGCCGCTAGAAGCATGACAATGTTGGTTTCCATTGTCTTGCGGCCGAAATAGGCTGGTGGCAGAGGCCAATTAGCGGCAGCTAACTTACATAGTATGTGTTTCAAGTGATCGGCACGCCGCAGGGACTGAGTAAGGACCCCAAGTCACAACAGGCAAATCCATTGTGGAAGACTGAGAAGGGGGCTAAATTTAGACCGGGGGGAGATCCTGCAACGTAACAAGGGACGAGAGCAGACAATCCGCACGGCATCTCTGATCCGGCCGCGGCCTGTGTCTGCGATTCACTCATGACCTGAACAATGCGTGGAACCAAAGCCAACAAGGCAGAACATGAGCTGGATGGCGAGCGGGAATCACAATGCATCACAAAGTCATTCAAGGACCGTTGCTTGCTTGTCAGTCTTCAACGCAATATGCAGGCCCCCAAGAGATGAGTGTCAGAGCATGCACGTAAGCATAAGCCTGTGACAGGCACATCGCTGCGCAGTGATAAAGCCCAGGCGAAGATTAAAGACTCGGCGCTGATATGCTACCTTATTTCCCATATTTTCCGAGATCTTGCGAGCATCACCTGCATACGCATCTGTTTCTCTGTTGGGTTTTCATGTCTTTACTCCGCAACTAAGTGCGGCAGGGCAATTTAAATATATTGGGGGCTGAAACTGGCCCTGCGATTCTGATTTATTATGTTGCGCCACCAACATCCCACCTCTTCCTCAAGGAATCCTCGGTAGAACAGTGGGATGCCGAATTTACACAGGCATGTCATGAATCGGCAGTGCCCCTGCCCTGCCTTTTGCGCTTCTATGGTAGCCCCAACATGGGGCATCCTTCACAGACAGCTCGCCTCACCTGATGGGCTCATCCCACTAGAGTGCTTTAGAGGCGGGGGAGACTGATTGGTCGTTTGGCTGTTTCGTGTGTCATGGCAGATTGATGGGTGCAGATGGGATTGAATCATGGATGCGGAAGACTACAGTGATCGACACATGAGGACTCCAGGAATGCAGGAGCACAGCAGCCTAATTTTAGTCGCCAGCAACACCAACAAGGGGCGGCTTCTGTCCTGCAACGTAGCACCACGGGAGGAGGCAGAAGTAGGTGGCCAGATTACACGGTCGGGATGAGGCCTATGGCGGAGCAAGCTCACGGCATGAATCCGGCAGACCGTGCGCGAGTGTCGTGGATAGAGTGGTTGTGATCGGGACGGGAAGCTCGATGGGATCCAACAAGCCGGTTCATGCCACTCGTCCCACGGCGGATGATGAGCAAGGATGGACACAGACACAGACGCAGTCTCAGATGTCTCGGATTGTGGCCTGTCGCGTGTTTGGTTCTTCGGCGATTGGCCCCAGCGCAAGTCCCGCCAGAGTCCAGCGCACTACAGTGGCAAGGATCGCCTAGCTCAGGGCTCACAGGGCAGCCAATCGCTGTTCCTCCAGTGGTGCAGCCGCTAAAGCCACCCGCATTGGGCAGGTCTCCCTCCTCTTCGTCCCGTCCGTTTCATGCATCAAATCAATGCCAAACAGTGACAGAGAATGCATGACATGACCTTTTGATTTGTTTTTCTTAGGGGCCTCGCCAAAGCCCCAATCCACGTCGTACTGGCGAAGATGCGACCTCCTGGGACGGCTCGTCTGTGTAGCAAGCACAGCAGAACAAATGGCAAACAGGAATTCCCAACTGCTGTGTGTTTGTTTGTCCTGGAACGGCCCCATTACATGTGCATCGGCCTGCCAAATTGAAATAATGCCCTGATGCAACGGAGGTACAGGCCTGATTTGGTGTGAGTCTAAATCATTCAGCTACCCTATACACCATCGCACTGCTTCACGTTGATGTTGGTCGAAAGTAAGTGTTGAAAGCAGGACGCAGTTTGAGGATCAGTTTCTTCGGAGAGATATTTTAGTTGCTTGGGCTCTGGAAAAATCATTCGAGTGTTGGATTTTTTTTCATCGAGAGTATTTATCACGAGGGAGGGTAGTCTCATGCGGTCACCTCGACAATAGGCAAACGAGGAACCGTAAGTACGGGCTTTGAATGAAGGCAGCTTCTTCAAGGCTTGTAGAATCTGCTCGAAGCTTGCCCCCTTTATCATCAGTTGGCCAGTGCCGATCCTGGGCATATTTCTCTGCACTCGACTTCTACACTCGACCCGGTATTGTGGCGGGATCGCGTCCTACTTAGACTCGCAAAAACTTGCCCACGGTGGATGTGCACGCTTTGCGGCTGACACCAGCGGCGCAATAATTTCGCCGCGAAATCTCGAGTAGGGTGCGAAGGCAAATCTTTCGGCAGGATGATTCTCCCGGTACATAAGCTCCATTCCATTCTCTGGCTTCAAATGGGGATACAATTTGACGGCTGAAAATAAACCCAAACCGATTTACAGATGTGGTTGCATCTTGCACGTATTATGCGATCTGACGGCTGACAAAATATTCCGCATTGGGATAGTGGATCTCAAAATACAACATTGAAGTATTGATCCTTTACCAAAGAAATAATGTCTGCCGCGTATATAAACAGCAGGATGTTCTCCTCGCAGTAGAACCACTCTCGATATCAAGAAACAAGACCGACGAACAAAGCACAAAATGTCTGACAAAAGAACAATCTTGGTGACCGGCTGCTCAGATGACAGTCTGGGCTCGGCATTGGCTCTGGCTCTGCACGCCCATGGATGGCGTGTCTTCGCTTCTGCACGCAACCTCTCCAAGTTGAAAGCCACCGAGGCTGCCGGGATCGAGAGTGTGACAATGGACGTCTGCTCGGACGAGTCTGTCTCTGCCGCGGTGGAACATGTCAAGAAGCTGACGGGCGGCTCCCTCGATGGCCTCCTCAACAACGCAGGAGGCGCCTACAGCTCACCCGTTATCCACATAGATATCGCAAAGGCCCGCAAGGTTTACGAACTGAACGTCTTTTCCGTCGTCAGAGTCACACAGGCCTTTCTCCCGCTTCTTCTCGAGTCACAGCACGGCGCCCTGATCGCAAACAACACCTCAGGCAATGGCATCCTTGGATGCGGATCGGCATTCACAGGAGCATACAATTCCTCAAAGGCCGCAGCTTCCAGCTTGACCGAGGCACTACGACTGGAGCTCCAGCCCTTTGGAATCAAAGTCGTTAATCTTATTACCGGAGGTGTCAAGTCGACCTTCTTTAAAAACGCCCCCGACCACATTCTCCCAGCCGACTCAATGTACAATATTGCAAAGGAGGCCATTGAGGGGCACATGGGAGGCAACCAAACGGAACACATTGATGCTGCAACCTGGGCAAAGCAAGTAGTGAAGGATATCAGCCAGAAGAAGCCGCCGCATCTGGTGTATAGGGGAACCATGTCCGGCACGGCAAAGCTTGTGTCAATCCTACCTATTGGCACTGTGGATAATATCCACAAGAAGATGTCTGGGATTGATGTTCTGGAGAAGAACATCAAGGAAAAGGGGGGGCTTGCCAGGGTTAAGCAGGAATTGGCAAAGTAGCTCAATACTAGGGAGATTGGAGTGTGGAAGGAGGCAATTGTATTCTGAGAGATGGCGAGCCTATGGATGGTATCGTGGCATAATACTTCTACTTCGCAGCATAATTTCTGTTCAATCTAAAGTACTTTTTTCAAACCGTTTTAACTTTGATTAGTGATATGCTTCCGGACAGTACGATACGGGAGATATTATAGGTCGATTATTGTATAGAAAGGGTTTCAATTGTTTGCCAATCCTTCCTTGCACGTCATGTTCGTCATGCGGCGAAGAGTTTGGACATGTATACCTCGGCTTACGGTAGATGGCCAACTGACCCTTCTCCAACACCTACCAATCACTTTTCTCTTCGCCGAAATGAGGGGGTGGGGATCGACGCGATCTGGACTCCTTCCTTGTTCCCTTGCAGCCATCATCATCCCAAGCCTCGGCACGTGGTTGACAGGCTTCCCCGCCAACGCACTCCGAAGGTTTATTGAAGAGGTCATAGGAGCAAAGGAAGAAATGATATATTTAGCTATCAACACTTCTTTTGACGACTCCTTCTTGGAATAAACACCTGCTGAACTTCGCGTTTCAACCCGTCTGAACATGGCAGCACCGGCGACAAAGACATCACAGGATTTGAGTGGACAATGGGGGCTAGTAAGCAGCCCGGCTCACCGAGGCTGTACAATATAACTCGTGCTGACAGGTTTACACCTGTAACAGAACAAACAACTTTCGGACAATCCAGAGCCAGTGCTTCAACTTCAGGGCATCGGCTTTCTCACACGCAAAGCAATTGGCGTGGCGTCGATTTCCATTGAAATCAATCAATATAATGATACGCCTACGCCGCCAAGCACATTCACCGACCCGGCGACTTTCCTGAGCGTGAGCCAATCCGCTTCGGGCCTCAAGGGCACGTCCGAGTTGAGAGTTCTCGATGACGAAATTCGAGACCACACAGATTGGCTGTTTGGCTCGCTCAAATGCCATTCTCGTTGGGTCAATGTTGATGAGATTATTGAAAACGATTGGCTCAAGCATGATTGGGAGGAAGGCGAAAGGTTAGTCCGAACTCATGTGAAGAACCATAAGAATGGTTGGGAGGCTATTCAGATATGTGGTTTTGAGGTGATTAATTCGGAGAGACGATATTGCTCTCGTACCTTCATTACCAAGGGCGACCAGAGTGCGACTTGTCGGTTAGTTTACAACTATGTCGAGATATGAATCTCTCCATGTATTATACATAAGGGAGTGGCATGCGCCTTCTCCCGTAAGATGTGTCACAAAACCAAATCCTTTATTTCAAGCGTATTGTCATGAGCGGAACACTTTCGTTAATTGTCTAAAATATCTACCAGGAAATGTATTATAGCCCGAGAACTTCATTTGCCTTTTTGACAATATCAAAGTCACCTGTCAGCTTTTCAAGGCCAAGTGACTGTCGTGCTTCATTGCTTTGAGCAAAATCCTGGACCGGCTTCCAGCCCTTGGCCACCCCTTCATTCTGACCGAACCATGCTTGAAAGTCTGGAGGCGTTTTCCCATTATCAAGAAACGCATCTCTCTGCCTTTTTACATAGTCCAGGTTGTATTCCTTTAAAGGCACGGAAGGGATGTAGAGCACCGTGGCTGGTTTATCCGAGTTCAAAGTTGGATCAACAGCATGAATAATCTTGAAAATATCATTAGCAATAAACCTCGAGAGCTTTACTTTGATATTTTTATCACAAAAATAACAAAGAAATTTCCATAAATGAAAACATTTACTTACATCTGGGTGCCAGAAAACAAGATCTCCCGGGTTGATTTGAGGCGTGAGGCTGAGGGTGTCATCGAGCCGGAGGTGCGGATGTGTTGAAGGAGAGATTCTCTGGCTCAGCCCCTTGGCAGCACCCGGAAAGCTGTCGCTAATATCAAGCTCCCAGAGATTTGGGTCCGTCGAGCCACTGGCAGGCGGTTTGAAGAAGCTGCGAAGCAGGACATATGCGACACCAAGAGTCACATTCGGAAAGACGGCCAGGGCGCTCTGACCAAAGCTGCCACCGGAGGGAGAGAGGGCAGTCCATCCCTGGAATGTTCTCAGAACAGTCGATTGGTGAGGTCCGGGGAATTTGGCCTGGTTGACCTTCAAGCGAGCGCCGATATCAAATGGCTTGTGCTCTTGCCACTTGTTCTCAAAGATCTTGCTATAGAAGGATTGATACTCATCATCCGCCCATCGATCCAGGCTCCCAGCATCTATATGTGGTTGAAGGACAGCAGAAAATCCACCAGGTTGACGGTATCGAAGTGCGTCAGCATATGAAAGAGGAGTGGGATGCGCCTTTTCACTGTCGTACCCTTCCCAAAGCTCATTGAGAAATCGGTGTACTTTGATACTATTCGTATGAGTCCTGACGGCGTTCTGGGTTGGTGAGAAATACGAGCGGTAAAGCCAGGGGTTCTGTTTTGGAAGCCCTGTGAGAGAATACATTTTAGTTTTGTTAGAGTACAGGGCAGATCTCATCTTACCTTCAATCACTGTCGGGTTGTCATTAAGATACTTCACAAGCTCCTCTCCCCATTCTGTGGCTTGTGCCTGCGGGAGAGCATTGCGAACAATGACTATTCCTGTCCGATGAATAGCGCCAAGAACATCTTCCGAAACGGTGGCGTTCTCGATGTCTTTATAGTTAACTTCTGGCCAAATCGCGGTCCCCTGCTCCTTTATCGTCTGTGCTTCGATCTCGAGGGCTGAGGTGACTGAAAGCCAGGCTTTGCGGATATTTTCGACCCCATACTTGCTCAAAATATCAATCTTGAGTTGGATGAATTCATCGCCCAAGTCAGCCTTTTCAAGATCATCCTTGAACTGCCAGTGCTTAATTGCTTTTTGTTTCTCAGAAGAGAAAATCCCGCTAATGAATTCATAAATGGATGACATTTTGGACGAGACGATTCTCGGTGCGGCGGCTCTGGATGAAACCGGGGTTTTCCAATACTTATTCATGATTTATGAATTTGCCAATTTGTGCAAAGCCCGATGTCGGACGGTATAACGGGTTAAAAGCACATCATAGGCTGTCAACTCTTCGTCATTCCGCGGTGATAGAGGGTTGCAGAGATATCTGGAGAGTCATATGGCCATTGAAAGTGGATAAGAAATGACTCGATTGGAGGCTGAAACGCCGTTATCTAAACGCTAAGCTTTCAATAATGTGCAGCTAGATTCGGGATGCAAGATCCACCGGAAATAAAAGTCCAAACCACGTTGATATTCACATCCCAGCAGACTGGGTAGGAATGATAACAAGAGATCTCCATTGGACCAGCAGCTTGTCGTCTGGTTCCACAGCCATGGTCTCGCGTGCTTGAGCACGTCAGTCACCTCATATATGCCGTATGAGTGAGGAGAATCTCAGGAGAATTAGCTCGAGTAACCCGCGATTTCATAACTGTCGCCTATGATTGCGAGGGCCTCCTAATTCTCACATTCGATTGCGTGCCATGTGCTGCTGCTAGCTCCACATCAGTGCATCATGTAGGCAGATAGCATGGCTGACAATGGTCACTAATATTTGGCGGCTTAGCGTTTAAGACGTTCTCTTATATGAGTAGACAACCAGCTCAGGCAAGTTAGGCGTTGGTCAAAGTACTTTTGAACTTTCTACACAGTTCTTCTCTGTTCTTGTCATCATGTCTTCTGAATCCTCGAAGCAAGATGTATCTGCGGCCGTAGCTTCGTTGCCTGAACCGAGCCTGACGGTGGCCGAGGTTTTGGAAAGATATCCTCCCCAGCCATGGTACACTGACAAGGGAGCAATCAGACTCTACTCGCTACTGATTCCGGGAGTACTGATGGGTACAGTTGTCCATTTCCAGTCATGCGCGTTTCGAAACTGACCGCCATACTCCATATAGTCTCTTCTACTGTGGGCTACGAGGGGTCGATGATAAACGGAATACAGTCATTGGAGCAATGGAATTCGTGTAAGTGCATCCGATATATTCTCCCTATTAAATGCACTGCTGATAGTTGTAGACTTTCAACCAACTACGTCATCCACGGCACTGATTAATGCGACGTACTGGCTGGGTGCCATTATCAGCTACCCATTCACCCAATTTATCGGAGATCGATGGGGAAGAAAGAGAGTCATTTATGTTGGAGCAGTCATCTCCGTCATTGCAACCGTCCTTCAGGCAGCTGCTCAAAATGGTCAGTGCCTTATCAATCTTGGGGTTCTTGTATGCTAACGCGAGGCATCTGTCTACAGTACCGATGTTTGTGGTGTCTCGTATTCTGTTTGGTTTCTCTGCCATTCTTTCCGGCAATTCAGCTTCCGTGCTGGTGGCTGAGTCGGTCCACCCTCGGGATCGCAACGTATTGACGGCATCATACAATTCTAACTATTACATCGGGGCTATTCTTGCTGCATGGACTACGTTCGGCACTGGGGCTATTGCGAGTTCCTGGTCATGGAGGATTCCTAGCCTGTTACAGGGTGTCTGTGCAGCTATCAATGTCATGTTTCTACCTTTTGTGCCCGAATCCCCCCGTTGGCTGGTTGCCAAGGGCAGAGTGGATGAAGCGGCACATGTCCTGGCAGATGCCCATGCTAATGGGGACCTTGACGATCCGCTCGTGGGAGCTGAGCTGCTCGAGATCAAAGGAAACATTCGGCTACTGAAAAACGACAACCCTTGGAGAGACATCTACTCTTCTTCATCCAATCGGAAGCGTCTGTTTATCCTCATCTTCCTCGGGTTCTCCTTGAACTGGTCGGGAAATGGGCTTGTCTCCTATTACCTTTCCAAAGTGTTAGCGGCCGTCGGAATCACATCGCAAGATGAACAGACGCTCATCAATGGCATTCTGTCGATTACATCCTGGCTAACTTGCATTGTTGCTTCCTGGTCGGCGGGCCGCATTGGACGCCGCACACAGTTCTTATCTTCATCTCTTGTGATGCTCGCTTCCTTCACTGCCGTCACTATCTCTAACTCAGTGGTTGCTCGCGAACCAGAGAACAAACATGCGGCAGTTTCAGTAATCTTCTTTATTTTCCTCTTTATGAGTGGTTACAACTGGGCCTTCAACCCTCTTGCATACTCCTATCCTCCTGAGAGTAAGTCTTGTCTTCAGTCTAGGCTTTTGTATGTCACAGCTTAGGTACTTACTGAAGTAGTTCTGCCATATAACCTGCGTCTCATTGGACAGTCAACAATTCTCTTTGCGTGCACCATTGCCGGCTTTTTCAACACATACGTTAATCCAATCGGATTAGCAAACATTGGTTGGAGATATTACATTGTAAGCATCACCATATCTCATTTCCTACAAATATCTCAAGTTCACACGCTGACTTGTCCTGGCATAGGTCTACATTGCTTGGCTCGCCACAGAGGTCGTCGTTATTTATTTCACTTTCCCAGAGACACTTGGATACTCTCTTGAAGAAATTAGTCCACTCCTTGAAGATGATGGATTCATTACAAAACTAAGGAAGAAACATATTGTAGAGAAAAACAAGGTTGTGGTTAGGGGGCCTGCGTAGCAAGTAGTTGAATAGTCAGAGGATAGTAGGGCAGCATGGAGATAAACCCGGGTGCTGATCGAGCAATCTCAGCGTCAATTTCCCTTAAATAATTTCCAATTGATCCTACTTCCCAAGCTGTAAGTGACTTCGATGGGTCTTCTTGCCAAAACTTCGATACTACGCCTGACTTATCGCTACTGCTTTCAACGAGTTTGTGATAGTGGGTAGATGGATTCTGCCCATAGTTCACATAAGCCATGGTAGCCCATGACAACAATACATGGCATTTATCTGAATCTCGGTTAACACGTCATATGTCCCCTCTTAGGCGTGCTCGCGGGGAATACACGCATTTCACCGCCTCACATATTATGATTGCGGAAATAAACCAAGTAGCGTGGAAGAAAGAATGGGGCATCTACTAATGTTACAAATTGAGCAATGTCGTCAGATGCAAGCTTGCAAACGTGACGATGGCGATGAAGTAGATGGGGAAGAGGTGCCGAGACCACCAGTGTTCCTCATATATCCGCATGTTCTTACAACACTAGTGATTGTTCGCTTCTTATACTACACACCAGTCCTTTATTTCTATACTGGTTAACCCTTGGTACACCGAAATGTCTCCTATTCCACGCCGCGTCGCTGTCATCGGTGCTGGCCCCTCAGGGCTGGCCGCGACTCATGCTTTGGCCAGTGAAAAGATATTTGATACACTCCGAGTCTTTGATCGACGACCAGAGGTGGGAGGATTATGGTAATTGAACGCCCAAGCAAGATTTCGCTACCGCTCCAAATGTTAACCAGCTCACCAGGAACTACGACCAAGAGCCTGATGTGTTTCCACAGGCGACTGACGGATCACCACCATCAAGAGAATTGAAACACCCAGAAAACCTTCCCGGATTCGCTCCCGCCGCTCCGGCCGATCCAGACGCCCGAACAGCTTTATATTATGGACTTGACAGCAATGTAGGGGCGTCGACAATGGCGTTTACTTGGGCACCTTTCCCCGAGGCCAATTCCCCCAATTCGGTTCGTCGCCTTGGGTTGAATAATGCATCACGTCCGCATTACGCGATCAAAGGATGGATCGAGGATAATTTCAAGCCTTTCCTACCTTGGATATCGCTTTCTACAACTGTTGAAAAGGTCGAGAAAATCGATAATGAATGGGTCCTCACTCTGAGAAAGTCTCATCAAACTTACGGAGGAAAAGATGAGGATTACTGGTGGACAGAAAAGTTTGATGCTGTTCTCGTGGCTTCAGGCCACTACAGCTCGCCCTACATTCCTAACATCTCGGGGTTGGCTGAGACCTCGGAACGTTTGCCGGAGGCTTTCGAGCATTCAAAATCATACCGAAAAGCTGACAAATATGTCAACAAGGTATCTAATAGTTCTACTGGGATAATTCGACTCGAGACTACGACTAACAATCATTAGAACGTCCTTATCGTCGGGGGAAGTATATCAGCGACTGATTTTATCACCGACCTCCACGAAATTGTCAAGGGAAAGCTACAGCTGGCAGTTCGCACTCAGAATGAAGCTCTACAGGCAGCATACAACTTACCCAATGTACAATTGCGGCCTGAAGTCAAGTCTATATCATCATCACAGGATGGAGGGGTCACGGTAACATTCGTCGATGGCCAGAGCATTCAAAACGTAAACCAGATTATATTTGCAACAGGGTATCGCTTCTCCTACCCGTACCTAAAACCGGATCTTGTGGCAAGCACAAAAGGGTCGAATAGAGTCACGGGGCTATACCAGCACGTCTTCAATATCGAGGACCCAACGTTAGCCTTCGTTGGCAACGTCAAAGCTGGTCTGACATTCCGCGTCAATGAATATCAGGCAGTTGCCATAGCACGGTTCTTGGCTAGACGCTCCGCTGCGCTGCCGTCAAAGGAAGACCAGAGAAAGTGGGAGGCGGAGCGTCTAGCGCTCAAAGGACCGTCCAGCAACTTTCACGAAATCCTGCCTGATTTCGAGCCTTACTTTAATTGGCTGGCGGAATTTGCTGGAGAGCCATCCCAAGAGTCGAGTGGCTACAGATTACCGAAGTGGAAAGATTCATTGGCAGAAGAGGGCCTCGCACTGCTGGAAAAGAAGGCAAAGTACTGGCAGTCGATCATCGATGGCCACAAGTCAGTTCGGGCAAAGTTGTAAGATTGAAATGACTAAATGTATTGAATTTCAGAAGCTATTCCTATGATTTCTGGGGTAGCTCGACAAGTCTCTCCACTACCAGGAGCACCTTCAGTCATTTCTCAACCCGCTCCAAATCATGTCGTAGGGTCTTTCGTAACATCCATACACGCCCATCGAATAGAAATTACGACATCCAGCCGTACTGCAGGTTTCCATGGCCATCAGTTCTAAACTTCCCCAATGGTACGACGTACGGTCCATAGCATGAAGCCAGGCGTGGCTGACCTTTGGTTTCTTTTCCGACACGAAATAACAGCCTTCGATACACCGACGGTATCTTGTGACAATACAGGGCGAAGTGTCGATTTCTTGTTGTTGCTCAGAGGACGTGCAACGTTCTATTTGCACCTGTGAGCGACAGAAAGAGTTATACACTTTGCTCGAATGAAGCCCTCCCCTGCTGCAAAGCGGTCTGTGGTCGGGGTTGTCGTTCATGCGCCGGCAGATGCTGTCTTTTTGTGACCCGTACAGAACCAACTCGGTGTGCTCGTCACTGCCGTAGCTGAGACAGGTGCACTCACCAAGAGGAAAACAGGTCATTTCAGGGAGTTGACCAACTGCCATCTCAGGCACAATTAGATCTGCCCCTTCACGGCGATATTGCCGAAACTTGTCCCGCATCTCACTGGCCTTGAACTTTCCATTTCCGTAGGATGGGAAAGCCCCAGTACCCGAATGTGGACTCCAATACAAGTTCACCGTGTATGCGCCCGACTTGTCAAAGACAAGTGTGCACACAGGGCCTGTAGCTTCAGGACATCCGGCGGTCAGATGGCTTGGGTGATTGCATTCTTTGACAACGATCCGATGGTCTTGGAGTCTTCTGTCGTTCGTAATCACTTTTCTGCATTCCACAAGATGCTTCTCGACTTCCTTCCACTTGATCGTTTTGTGCTCACACAATCTGACATGGCCCCGGGTTCCAATACATGATCGCTGGAAGCCATTGTATGGAAGTTTGAAATGAGGGCCGCTGGTCCCATAATGACATGCCCCGCGCTCACTCTCTTGATGAAACTTGCAGCTGCTGAAGACATATTTTCGATTAACCCGAACGAGTTTGCTACATCGCATGCAGAGCGTATCGATATGCAAGAGGTCTCCCACTCTATGATGCAGCCAGCCTCTCTCTAGAGGCTCTCTATAGCTTGGACGTAAGTTTGGCAGCCAACCAGGCACAAACCCCGAGCCTGAGCAGAATACTTCCCGCCCGTCACAAGAGTTGCGGCCACACTCATGATGTGACGTGAAACGATGATCGCGAAATTCGTCCCCCTCCATGAGTTTTCGGAAGCGTCTACAGACCTGACGGAGCATGAAGAATGATTCTCTGGTGGGGGCGATATAGCTAATGATCTGAAGCCATATTTCGTCAGGGAGCTGGTATAACTTGCTGGAGTGGCGCAAGTTGAAGATCCCTCTGGCGATCAATGGATCAAACTCTTTTTCCAGAGCAGAAATCACGTCGTCTGTCTCTTTCCTCCATTCTCTTATCCTTAGGCGCCGATGTTTTTCTTGCCAGTTTATATTGCGGTGAAAGAAGTGGTCGAATTTCTTCTTGAGGAGCTCCATTTTGTCGCACCAGGTGATTAGCGAAAAGCCGGACATGGCAGGTAATAGATATCGGTCTGGAAATCAGCTTGAAAGATTTTCGAAATTAAATGCAGTAACATTCGAGGTTGGGTTGAAAAGGAATGAAGGAGAAAGAGCAGAAACAGGGAATTTATGTAACTGGGCATGCCTTTTACTTTACAATTTGATTTTTTTCAGTTCAGTAAACCGACATTTCCGCCCACCGTTTGGTTTGGTTTAAGTTCGATCCGGTGGCAATTTTTGGGATTCCCCTGCACAAATATACGTTTCTATAGAATTATGGTTTTGCTTTTCACGATTTGTTTTTTCCAGTTAAGTAAAAAGACACTTTCTCCGCCCTTTTGACTTGGTTGAGTTCGATAGCACGCTTCAGTTCCCTACCTAGGATTCGGTTCTACACAATCTTCGTTTGGCTTCGTGCGATCTAGTGTCTCCAGTTGGGTAGACTACCACTGACTTTGGCAAATTATTAGCACTATTTAGAATTCACGGACCCGGAATTTCGTTTCGTGCAAGATCATTGTTCCAGACCAAAGCTTCAAAAAACACTGTCCACCAGCAAAATCGATTCCCGGCAGGGACAAAGGTTGTTGAACGCCTCTTCCAATATGCCAATTAGTATTACCCGAGGTGGCAAAACTTTCACACCCACATTGAGAATCGCAGATTATATTGGCTGAGACTTTATTAGAGTTTTTGGAAGGCAAGGGTTGATGCTTGTGCCCGGCCTGTATGGTCTGAAGTGCAGCTGAGTTTGGGTAGACCACAATTTGTGTAACAAGAAGAAATAAAGAAGAAGAAAAAATCTTATAGGTAATCACCTGTGTAGCCTGCTCTCAACAAGCGCGCATATGAGTCTCTCCTAGAGACTGAGAAGCATATCGACCAGACTGCAACTCTAATAGAGCATCAGCTCAAGAAAATGCGATAGGGTGTCATATCTCTCGCTTACAGCCTGAAAAAACAACCCGTACTTGAAAAATGATAAACCGAGAGTAATTGTCGGCCGATGCTGTATTCCTATTCGCAAGCCATTTCCAATGAGATACGACACTGTCTTGGCAAGAGTTCCCTTCCAATTCTTTTCGCGCTTCCTGGAATAGGAGCTAGAGGTGGATGAAACCATGAAACATCGGCTAATGAGGGTCAGCACCTAAAACAATAAGAGTAACTCGTAGAAAATGGGTACCCGGGATGTGGGATGGATGCGCTGCTCCCACCGCAAAGTTGAACACCCTTCTCGGGCTTAACGGCAGCGCCCCTACCTCAGCCCTACAATGCAAGCCAAGCTGGCATCTAAACTGTAAATGCGGTCAGCAAAGCCCTCGGGTTAGGGGGCAAGAGAGCGAGGTAAGAAGCTGAAGGGGCAGCGCATTGCCCAATTAAAGGTTTCAGAATGTTCTCGTCTCACTCACCGATGCCGTCGGTTCCGAATGTAACACACATAATACCTTGGTGCTAATCAATGCTTAGAGTGGTAAGATTAAGTGAAGTAAGCATACATGAGATTGGGCATTGCAGGTGGGATGTTGTGTCAATATTACCACGTCATCCCTATAAGAAGGATTGATCCCCCCGCAGCTCAATGGGCTGAAACGAAAGCAACAGCTACAGCAATTGCAACAGTTGAACCAAACGAGATTCCTCTTCTCAAAATGCGCTCCAATGCTATCTGGGTCGGCTTAGCCTTCTTGGCAAGTGTGGCCCCATCACAAGCAGAGGGAACCTCAACCATCCTCAGCACGCAGTCCACGACGTCCCTGTTTTTGCCCCCTCGCGACACCGGAGGAGCCTCTATATACGCGTCCGTCATCACCCAATCAGCTTCTACAACCCAGTATTTGCTCGCTTGCCAAACATCCTGGGCAGCACCGACCAATTGTAATGGCGACTTCAAGGGCGTCACTGCCACCTATGGACCGTCCAGTTTCGGGGCAGTCATAGCAGGCACCACGTACAAATGCTCTCTTGGCAAGGACAACGCTTTGTGTGCATCCAAGACAAAGAGTGATGCCGCCGATAAGACGTCCACTGTCTCGTCGTCCGAGACCAGCAAATGGTTCACTCCAGTCACCCTTGTCCAGAGCACAACGCAGATATGCAAGCGGAAGAAGAGCAAGGGTAAGGGCAATGGGGGTAGCGACGACGACTGTTCGTCAGGGGGAGGCATCAAAGGCCAGAATGCGGGTGTTGTTACCATGGCGCTTGTTCTTGGGACTTATTTAGCAATCGCGTTGGCACTTTAGCGGGGTGGTCAAGGATTAGTCTTGTTCAGTTTATCTGGTTTGAATGGGGAATAAGTCTATTGAGGGCAGATGATTGATGCTATGTGATTTTGAATGTTCTTGATATGAAATAGTCTCTCTTTCCTATCTAACAGTATTCTTCCTGCACAGTATAACGGACATTGAATTTATGATACTAGAGCCGACCAAGCACCATGAAACGACTCGTCGATTATTGGACGAGGTTGGACCAAAAAAACGGTCAATGACTTGGAATTTCCTTCAAAGAGAGCCGTCAATAAAGGGTATGTACTGTTGCGCGCATGTAATGTTGGGCGGTGGAACTGTGCCTTGGAGGTACGCCTGAACGTATCCAAAGTAGCAGTTTGATCCTCCTTGATTGGCTACCACGTGCTGTATTCGGAAAGCATAACCCATGAGTAAGTCGACTGTTCTCCTTTGAAAAAATAGTTTTATGATGGACATTAAGACTGACTTACCCCGACACCTTCTTGCAACAAGAGCACCGATCCGGGAAATTGAGAAGATAGCTTGCGTGCCCTACAAAGAAGAAAAGCAAGTGAGTGAGATATCATGTGGGGGAGCAGTTCGGAGAAACGTACGACTTCACGGGTGTTCCAGGGTCAACCGTGTTACTGGCAATTAGAATCGGGAAGGACGTAGGTCTTTGTATTCCACTTATCGGGTCTGCAACGAAAAGAAGTCAATCAGTATTGCTTTAAACGAGGTATACTTTACCGATTGGGAGAAGAATTTGAAGGGTAGGTAAAGAGTGAGTTTTGCATACTTTGAATGACCATGCTATCAGGCAATTGCGGCCGAAATGATCTACACAAGATGGTTTCCACGAAAATAGGGTAGATATCTCCGATGTACTTGCTCGTAGACACCATGTCTTCGACGTAGCTCTTGAACTCCTCAATGGTAGTAAGCTTGTTTCTTCGATATGAATCAACGCATCGGGTAACAAAACCAGCGTCGGACGTAATGCCTAGTCCGTTAGACATGCCCGCGAGAGTCGAAGCGTTCCCATTCTCTAGCTGGTGCAGAACATCAGCTATGACCGGAAAGCCTGATCGTGGGGCGTAGAAATTGTTGAAAAGAAGAGCTTTTAGGTCTGAATAGGTGACCAGCCTTGGTAGCCCTTGACTTTGGGCTCTGCTTACGGCCACTGGATGACTCTGAAGCTCAAGGATGATCCGGTCCATTCTGGCCGTGATATCAGTCGGCGTGGGTCCCCAGAAAGAACACTTGTCAGGGCCCGCGGAGTGGCACAAGCTAGAGAACTTCTCGATGGTCTCGTCCATCTGGTCGGCGACGTCCCTCCAGTCGTTGTCATAGTATTGCTCCGCATCCAAAACACCGTCGAGTATCATTCTCTCAACTCGGTCGGGAAACATGGATGCGAAGGTCGCTCCAATGACGGTGCCGTAACTCATGCCGTAAGACCATAATTTGGCATTTGACGGTGACCGATGGGCCAATGTGGCCTCGGCTTCGACAAATGTGAGCAAGTCGTGGGCGACAGCAGGTGTAGTGACATAGTATCCATGGGGTAAATCCTTTTCTACGGCCTCGTTGCACCACTCGCCGTAGATGCTAGCTGAGTAATACTGCTCTTGGAGGGACTCTGATGAGACGTTGGTAGCGCCTGTGCTATGCAGTCGATTGAAGGTCAGTCTTGCCTCTGCATTCCCACGGAAGCAGTCAAGATTCAAGCCGCTGTTGTTCACCCCGCGAGGATCGAAAGACACGAAGTTGTACTGCTCTCCGAACATCTGCCCTACCAGGGACTGATATGTGCGAAGAATCTCGATACCAGAGCCACCCGGACCGCCTAGGAAAAGATCAGTTGGTTACATAAAATTGAGCTAATTATGTGAGTGATTTGCCTGCGCCTTACCAGGAATGAGTACAATGCTCGGCGATTGGATCGTGGCATTCTTTCCGGCCAGTTTTATAAAGGCGACGGACGTCTTGCCAAGGCCTCTGTTTGAATAGTCCAATGGGACTTCCAGCTTAGAGCACGTGAAATCGTCGAAACATGGAGTCCAAGTGAGGTTGGTAGAAGGAACAAGCTAGATAGGTGATTAGAACATTTTGGGGTCTTCGAAGTCATTATCAGGGGAAAGCGCCGTCTCACGTCTTCAAATCCATAGACCATTCCTCTATTGCACAAACTGTCAACTTTGCATGCAAAGCTTGCCAAAAGAATAAGCGCGGTCGTAAGTTGTTTCATCGTTGCTCCGGGGAAGCCTTAGGTCGAGCGGGTTTTCTATTTTGTTTGTTGCGAGAGAAATAGTTGCTATTACCATTATAACCAGTATGATCACTACGCTGGAAAATGCCCACATTTATACAGTTGAAGGTTAGAGAGACTTAATGATCAACTTGCTGGCTTTAGATTTTAGGGGGTTGTATTTGTCCAGTTGCATCCACAATGCCCCATGGGCAGGCTCTCTTAGTGCTCAGCTTGTACGAAGAAGCCAATGATTATCTACTCCAGCATCACCAGGACTTACTCTTCAGTCCTTGCTCATCTCAACTACATACCTTCTGCCCCCCCGTTTGTGCGAGCCGGCCAATGAATACGGATTTCTACTCGTGCTGATGCATTTTAACAGCATCTGAGCCACACAGCTGTCCGCCAGTTGACGTGAGATCCTTGTTTCCTCTGTCCGTTATTAGTGGCTTGGCCTCGGCATAATAAACAGCACTTGTTCCTTGAAGCCCCACTTGTACGAACAAGCCAATCAGCAACCATCACAAGACGCTGATCCCAAATCCTTCCCCGGGCTCCTCTTTTGTTTTGTCCTCTTATTAAAGTGACCATCGCCAAGGGTGCATGAGATAGTTTCTCCGCAAATGTACGAACAGACGAATGGGCGAACAACCTAGAACTCAAACAGGAGCCTGCTGTTCGAAGCAATTCCCGCAACCAATTAGTCGCGCCCGGTCGCAGCGGGATTGTCCTCTTGAAACGAGCAAACCGACCGACATCCACGCCATGGGCGAAACTCAGAACTCTGACACCAAGATGGCCAATCAATCATGGAGGAAAAAGCCTCGCAGGTTCGCCCCAAAGTCAAGACTTGGCTGTAAAACTTGCAAGTGAGGCTTGACGCTCTGTCCTTGTATTCTGAAATTCAAAAGCTGACAGTCAATCTTGGCGCAACTTCCAGAATAAGACGAATCAAATGCGACCTGGCTCAGCCTTCATGCTTGAAGTGCCAGTCCACGGGTCGCACATGCGACGGCTATGGTGATATCGCCGATGTCCCGTCAACTTTCACGGCCGGGATTGGACCCTACAACGAGAACCGCACTTTCCGCCGCCATCTCACAACTACCAGTGTGGCACGACCAACACGATGTGACGTTGAACCCGATGGCCGCATCTTGCAGAACCCTGGAGCCTTCATGATCTTACCAGTGACCGAACCAGCACAGGCGGAGGCTCTGAGTTTCTTTAAGGATGTTGCCATCAAAAATCTCAATGAATATCGCCCTTGCAATTCATGGCGTAAGACTCTCATGTTCTTCTCTCAAACCGAGCCATCAGTTCGATGTGCCGCCACTGCTCTGGCCTTGATGCACCGCAATCGCCTGGATCGAGATTCTAACCACGGTTTACACCAACCACAGTCCTTGAAATGCCGTCTCCAGGATGACGCCCCCTTGCTTTACTACAATCGAGCCATTCAACTACTTCTTAGCCGAGGGGACAGTGATGACACTCAATCAACAGCCATCACTCTTTTGGTTTGCTACCTCTTCACCTGCTTTGACCATCTGGCGGGCAACTACGTTCAAGCCATGAAACACCTGCGCGGAGGCATAGAGCTCTCACGTAACATCTATCAGACCACGTTAAACAGACATAACGCCTTTTATGGTCCCAAACCTTCGGGGGTTCAACATCTCATTTATCAAGTCACAAGACAGATCCGCCGTCTGGACATGCAGGCTGTGATGTTTCTCATCGACTGGACCCCCGTGGATAGTCAAGAGAACTATTTTCCCCAGCTCTCAATATCCGATACCACCTTCCAGTCCATCGAACAAGCAGCCGACCACCTCCAGATTCTCGTTACTCGGGTAATGAGACTGCGTAACACGGAGCAGGAATTGTCTCCACAGGGGAAAATGCCCCCATTGCCTTCGCCATTTAAGGGTATCACCCTCGGACAGTTGGAGTCATGGTCCAATCTTTTCGAAAACATGTTGGAACAGGACAACTGCCATGAGACAACTTCTGACTCCCTTGCTCTGATCTCTCTATTACGCCTCCAATATACTACCGCATGGACTCTGCTCAAAAGTCACGGCCCTGAAAAGGAAATGAGCTATGACAACTTCCTACCCCAGTTTCGGCAATGTGTGGCCTTGGCGCGCGACGCAGCAGAAGCCCATGAACGGTTATCAGGGTCACTGAGGCCTACTTTTACGCCCGAGATTGGAATCATCCCCGTGCTTTACATAATCGGGGTCAAATGCCGAGATCCCACAGTCCGTCGCGAGGTTTTGGATATTTTGCGGCGACAACCGATACAGGAGGCGGTCTGGGACAGTAGCTCTACTGCTCGTGTAGTAGAGCGGGTAATCGAGATTGAGGAGGGGGGGTCTCAACAAGGGAAGGCGATACAGAGGATGGAGCAAATACCTGTGTGGAAACGAATCGAGGCGATGTCCTGGGTGCGGTCTCCCGCCCAAATGGACATCAAATATACTTTCTGTGCGCGGGAGGGAATAAATCTGGAGTCCCTCTCAATATAAGCCCTTCACTGATACCCGATTTCAGGATATGGCTATCCATTATCCATGATTAATGTTAGTAGATGAAAACACAAAACGTGTCGTCAACACTGACTACAACATTGCCTCTACCATGTCCTAGAATGACCCATGTCATGCCAAGCTCTACAGAACGGGAATGGATGCTGATCCTACGCTAGGAGAAAAGATTCACGAACGGCGGACCCCATGGACTAAAATTCACGCTCCTACATCACAAGTTGTTTCTATCACCAGTCTCAATGATGGCCGACTCTCTTTCAAGCAGCCTTACGAGTCGCATTCCACTAGAGGTATTCAACGAGATATTTTCATACCTCCCGCGAGATGCACTCCTCGCATTCAGGGCATTGGATCACCGCTTAGGCGCCATCGCCACGGCCCACGCATTCAGACACGTTCATCTTGGTGCACAAGAGGACAAAGGCGAGCATGAGCTTCTTATAAACGTGGCTCAATCTGAAAACCTTCGGCATCTCGTTCGTGAGGTAACATGCGATACCTGGGTCGGTTCCAACTTCAGATACGATTCCAACGACCGCTACCCTCTGCCGTCGGAGTTTTTGAATGCACTCCCTTATCTACGGTTTTTCCGTAACCTCAGCGCGCTACACGTGGTTTTTAACCAATTTTGCGGGCACACCTTTTCAGATCCCTATACATCTGTCGAGGAGACTACCGATTTCCGTTATAGGGTCCTAGACACCGTGTTTCGGTCGGTGGCTGGAACATGGTCTCCCGAACAGCAAGCAAACATCGATCAGACACTGGAGCTGATGGACTTTGAGCCTGCGTACGATCAAACTGTCCCGGGCGTTAGTGATGATGAAATAGCCAGCCGCCAACCCCTAAAGGCCTTGACCATCAGCAATTTGGGTGACTACAACGACGAACGGCTCACCAAGTCCGACGCTTTCAAATCAGTGCTCGAATCAAAAGCGCTCATCGATCTGAAGTTGCAGATCACCACGCAGGCAGACGATTCTGCTCCGGAGAACGAGCTCTACCTCTGCGACAAATATGATCTTTTCGCCGCTCTTCCCACAACCTGGCTATCTCCGACTGTAGCAGGCAACCTGACTACCCTGTCCCTTTATTGTCGCGACTACTGGGGTTGGAACCCCAAGATGGACTTCCGCGCCGTTAGACCCGGAATGGGAGTCGATTCGGGTTTTCCCAGCCTCAGAGTCCTTGTCCTGGGGAGATATGTCTTCAGCCACGAATGGCAGGTCGATTGGATTGCCTCACTGGGGCGCCGCAATGGTCGCGGGGGGCTAGAGAAGCTTTATCTCGACAACTGCCCCATAATGTACCACGCCCACCACCTGAAGCCCTTAGATGAGAGTACAACGATTATTGGAAAAGATGGAAACGGAGATGACATTGTTGTTTCCAACGAAGGTTACCACAGAAGGGATCTACTTGCCCACCAACCACCGACCCAAAGGGGGGGTGCTAGAACCCATGGCAAACGTTACTTTCCTCTCCAATGGCACACCGTCCTGTCCCGATGGAATGAATCTATGAATGGCCTGCGAGTGTTCAAAATGGGATGTGGCGCTCTCATATCATCTTCGGTTCTCGGCGGACACTTCTTGCTAGATCATGGAGACCTTGAGAGAGGACACTGTACGATACACCGCCAGGCATTTCAATATTTCGACTGCTTCTCTCGATACGAAGACATTGACGACGATAAGTATGCCTCAGGTGTGGGACCCTCTCAAGACAGGAATAGAATTCTCCAATACGCCTATTTCGGTGGTAGCGACACGTGCCTAGTGGACAGGAATCGGTCAAGAGACAAAATCCCCGAGAGGGAAAACACCGATTCTAATGACGAACTTGCGTTGGAAGCCTTGTATGCTACTGTAGAAGCCAGGAGAATGAGAGGCCAATAGCATGATTAGTCCTAGTGTCGCAGATGTCAGGAATAAAATCAGTTGGAGTCAGGGAATATAAGTCGAATACGTTGATGGTTCTGGAATAAAGGGCTGTGGTCTCGCTCCTGTTTTCCTCTTTTTCATTTAATTCGTGTCAACTTAATTTACAATGCGTTCCTACTCGAGATTCGGGCACCCAACAACTGCTCCGGGATTGTTGGGTTGTCATTTATTGGTGTCCTGGCCTTCACAGAGTATCCACCGGCGTCTCCTCGTGCTTGACTTTGTGTGCTTGTCGATAGGCTCAGCGTTTCTGCAATCTCTGGGTATATGGGCACATTATCCCGCTGCTGCTGCATTGGAGTAATGGTTTGTTGCAGCCCCCTCGACGGCACCACAACACGAGGTTTCTCCGGCGGAAACTCAGTTGCACGAGGGCCAGGATAGGGCGGCAGTTGCTGGTCGTAACCACTGCCGTCCATTGAATCGTCTTGTCGAATTCTTATTTCTTCGGTTCGAACCTGCAGGTGCACTGGAATAGTAGCTTCGACTCGGCTGGCCCAGAGCTCCGACCAGCCTCGCTCGACCATGAGTAATTCCGGATCAGAGAGAACTCGAATTAGATCCCGGGTATAGGAAGTGATGAGCGTCCATAGCTCTTGTGCTTGGATGTATATTTCTTCATTCTTCTCGATTTCCTGCAAGCGGTCAATGTTCCCCTTGGCCCAGTTCTCGAACTGGCGAGGTCCGCAGTGTACAAGGTAATCAAGGACCTGTAGAGCTCTAAACACGAGCAGAGCATCTACTGTATCCGAGTACCAGAAATAGAATTCGAGACTTCTCATCACACCCTTTGCTTCCGGGGGCCTAATTTAGGTCGTCGGTTAATACGGCTCCGAAGTCGCGGACAATACGAGAATCAGTAATACATACGACTCGAGCGTTCGCTCAGCTATTTTCTGCAGCTGGACCATACTTGGAGCCTCGCTTATGTTGCCTTCCACCAGCAGCTTTGCGGCGATGACACCCTCATTGAAGTCCTCGGGGACCACCTCTTTGGGCGACTTGCCCTCGTCGCAGTCAGGACGAGGCTCGCGCTTCGGTATGCCGCGATCGCTGCGACACTCCATCTCGTCCGGCTGCTGTCTGGAAGGTGGTGCAGAAGGAATGGATTTTTGGTCAGATGGCCCGTGCGATATGCGTGTCAGATGCTGCGACTGGTCCCAAAAACGTCCTGGTCTGATTCAATAGCTGCCCTTGTGTTTTTGCCACGCACTCGGCCAAGTCTTGCCGTCCAGAGCCAGAGGATTGGTGCTCGCGATCTGGGCTCGCAAAAGATTGGAAGAATTGGGGAAATTTTTTACTTATCGAACCTGGGAGATTATCAGCTCACCGACGACCCTGGCTGGCCGTTAGAGAATCCCGGCACACACGTCAACTGACTTCACTGCGCCATGCCTGGACACAGTGACAGAATGTGACAACTCGCTAGAGACAGGGGTATATAGCAAGGGGACCCCCGACATGTCGGTGGCGAGGCGTCCAGCTCCCAGCATCAGTATTTTGATCCTTCTCTTCTATCAAACCTCACTTCTTTGAATATGCGGCGAGTCTTCGGGAAATGCATCATAAGAACAGTTTTCGCTTGGCCCCTAGCGATCAGCACACAACAATCATATCATGGTATACACCTTGGTCGAAATTGCCACCACAACACAATAAAATAACCGAAATTCAAGGTATAGCCGTACCGAAATGAGTGCAGACTCTGGGAGAGAAATTACAGAACCGCAAAGGTTTCAAAGTCCTTCTTGGTTAGCCACCAGATCCCCCCTTAGCATGATAGGGAGAGCGAGCATCCTCACGTTAGCGCTCACTCAAACTGTTGTTTCTTCTTTATTGATAGCTATATCGAGTAAGTTTGCGGCTATATTTATTCGTATGGGTGGTCCGTAAAAACGCAAAATATATGACTACTTCCAGAAATAGCTAGATCCGCAATGCACACTGAGGTTTTCAAAGCGGCGACATGGTTTCAGATATCACTCCGGCAACTCATATTCTCGCATTCGATACCAAAATATTTGCGACCCTACGGTGAAGCTCGGAAACCGGCAAATGCCACCAAGTTTAAGTTAGGAAGGCTCCGGAGCATATGCCCTTGCAGGGGCGGATCTCACCACAGAAGTCACTTATTGGGTGCTCGCACAGCCGTTTGTTCATGAAGGGTCAGCAAAGTCTCTATTATCAGTACCATAAAGTGTGGCTTCAAAGTTCAATGAGGAAATTGACGCGCGTTGATTGTCATATCCGAAGGACTTTCGTAAATATTTGGGTATGATTTCTGTCCCTTCAGGCTCCATCAAGAATAAATTCCTGGAATCCTGCGTCGATTCTCAAGTGTATAAGGAAGTCCAGCCGATACAGGACGCTGATTTCGGTGTGTGGTAGTAGTAATACCTTCTGATGACGGATAACATTTCCCACGTTTACCAATTATTTCAAAATTATTTTCATCCTCATTCAGACACTTAATCGAAAGACGTTGTACTACCCAGAATTTGGACAATGTCATTAAAGAAAACACTTACATCCAAAATGATAGTCAAGTTTATTTCTAGATTTATTATTTTTTAGGTTGATTTATCTGAATAAATGTCATTTTTCTGGCTCATGAAGTTCTGCGATACATGGCTCCAGGTTAGGTCGGCCTGACGGCCTGACGGCCTGGGGTTTAGGGTAGGCAAAAGTACAGTAAACGGGTCGGTCACAGGCCAATCAGCGACAGGCGATAACTGACGATAAGCATAAAAAAGGAGAATCCGAAATGAGTAAGGGCGGAACTAATAATAGCCGATCGCTGCTGATGGGCTTGAGGGATCTTGGTTCTTGACACATCACACAGCAGTGATTGAGACACAGCGGCTGCAGACGGCCAGTGCCTTGGCGATCAACAAGCTTTATCCAAGCTTGATTTTTGCTCTATTGGGCTGGGGTCGCAAAGTGGGCGGGCCAGTCGGTGGCAAATGCTGGCCGGCTCTAGACCTCAGGCGATCTGTGGGTTTGCTGCAGCCTACCGAAGTACTGAGCCATTGATTAGCTACTACCGACGAAAGTACTGACGCGCATTGATTAATGAGGATCTGCCCGGCTCTTCGGCTCTATGGTGAGACCTTCTAGGCATTCAGGTGTTGGAGGTATTAGTAGTGTCTTACTGGACGGTGGGAGGGACCCGCAGAATAACTCTGTCTGGTCGTCTCACGCACCTGTAGACGCATTATGATTGGGTATGTTCGCCTCTCTTTCCCAAATAATAACGTACACAGCCATCTCGGTCCCTACTAAAAGCATTCTGTACAGAAATAGCCGGATGCAGTCAGCGCGCCTGGGCTTATGCCCTCCTTTACCCAATGTTGATATTGCCGAATGTGTGATAGCAAAATAGCCAAGTGTGTCAGCGCCTCTGGGACTTTGACCTGGATTTGCCCAAAATTAGCTGTTGGGTGTAGCATTTCTGGTCCTGCCTCCAAGGAGATGGCCCAAAGTCCCAGGGGGCTGAGTACACTCGAACATCAACAGTTCACCACGCTCGGGGGCGGATGATGGAGTGATGCAGCCCAAGGCTCGTCTAGTGCTGATCAAATGCCAAACCATACACAGTATACGGGAGAAGAAGATATAAAGAGAATGTGATTCCACATCGGACCAGTAGACTCTTCCCACTTCAGTTCACATCCAATCACGCAGCCCTTCCCCATCTAGCCCAGTTTGCAATTCGTTCTCTTTTTTTCTTCTCGTTCTCCCTTCTCTTTTCTTTGTCACCATGCGTCTCACAAACGCATTTGCCGTCGCCCTGGCCTTTGCTGGGGCGTCCGTGGCTCTGACCCCTGATGAGCAGCAGAAGCAGGCCTTCGCTGAACAGGAGAAGCAGCTCGCGAACCAGCAGAAAGCCATGTTCGCGGAGCAGAAGCACGCCATGTCCGAACAGCGGAAGCAGTTCCAAAACCAGAACAAAGCCTTCCAGGAACACGAGAAGCACGTCGAGCATGACTTGGGCATCACCCCCAAGACCTCAAAGAGCGACAAGACGTCCAAGCACTCCCCGACCGACAAGAAGTCATCCCACAAGGACGGCCTTTCCAGCAAGCACCGGACTTCCAAGAATAGTGGTGGGAACCACAGACAGTCCAAGGCTAAGGAGGGAAAGCATGGACTTTCCAAGGGGAAACATAGCAGCAGCAGACTGTCCAAGAACAAGAACGCCGGCGAGCATCGCGCCGGCAAGAACCACGCTGGCAAGAATCGCGCCGGAAATAGCAAGACTGGTTCCAAGGGAAAACATGCTGCTAAGAGCCATGGAAAGACCGGTGCCAAGGGCAAGACTGGTTCCAAGGGAAAGCACATTTCCAACGGCAAGAACCACGCCAGCAAGAGTAAGACCGGTGCCAAGGGCAAACATGCTGTGAAGGGCAAGGGCAAGACCGCTGGCTCCAAGGGAAAGCATGTCACTAAGGGCAAGGGCAAGACTGGCACTAAGACCAAGGCTGGCTCCAAGAGCAAGGCTGGTTCTAAGGGCAAGCATGTCACCAAGGGCAAGGGAAAGTCCGGCACCAAGAGCAAGACTGGCTCTAAGAGCAAGGCCGGGTCTAAGAGCAAGGCCGGTTCCAAGGGCAAGCATGTCGCCAAGGGCAAGGGCAAATCTGGCACCAAGAGCAAGACTGGCTCTAAGGCTAAGGCCGGCTCGAAGGGCAAGCACGTTGCTAAGGGTAAGGGCAAGTCTGGCACTAAGACTAAGGCTGGCTCGAAGAGCAAGACTGGTTCTAAGAGCAAGGCTGGTTCCAAGGGCAAGCATGTCGCTAAGGGCAAGGGAAAATCTGGTACCAAGAGCAAGGCTGGCTCCAAGACTAAGGCTGGCTCCAAGAGCAAGGCCGGTTCCAAGGGCAAGCAAGTTGCCAAGGGCAAGAGTGGCTCTAAGGGCAAGTCTGGATCTAAGACCAAGGCTGGCTCCAAGAACAAGGCCGCTTCCAAGAGCAAGGCTGGCTCTAAGGGCAAGTCTGGATCTAAGACTAAGGCTGGCTCCAAGAACAAGGCCGCTTCCAAGAGCAAGAGTGGCTCTAAGAGCAAGGCTGGCTCTAAGGCCAAGTCTGGTTCTAAGGCCAAGGCTGGCTCCAAGAGCAAGGCCGCTTCCAAGAGCAAGGCTGGCTCTAAGGGAAAGTCTGGTTCTAAGGCCAAGGCTGGCTCCAAGAACAAGGCTGCTTCCAAGAGCAAGAGTGGCTCTAAGAGCAAGTCTGCTTCCAAGCCCAAGGCTGGCTCCAAGGCCAAGGCCGGTTCCAAGACCAAGTCCGCTTCTAAGACCAAGACTGCCACTAAGAGCAAGGCTGGTTCCAAGCCCAAGGCTGCCACGAAGAGCAAGGCTTCTTCTGGCTCCAAGCCCAAGGCCGCTACCAAGGCGAAGGCTCCAGCCAAGGCTGCTTCCAAGGGAGGAAAGAAGGGCAAATAAATGACTGGACTCTGATGTAGGAGAGCAATTGGATCAATAGAAACATCGAATTATTGGTCTAGCTGAGGCGTTTTGGGTGGAGGAAAGCAGTGTAGGCAGGAAATCGGGATACCTGTGTGGAGGGGTTGTCTGCTGGTTTTTTTGTCATTCGTTTACTTTCGCTTTTGTATTCATTGAACTGTTTGAAGGACTGTAATAGTCTTCGTTATTCTATACCCTATAAAAAATTCACTGGTAGGAGTTGAGCCTTAAAACAATTTGCGTGGTTTTGGTGATATTTTGCCCAAGTTTGGCGTTTATATAAGTTAGAATGGTGTAACTAAGTATAAGACCTAGAGTGTGCTGGCTGGTGATTTGGAGAATAGTCTAAAGTCAGCTGCGAAGGTAGAAAAGGCTGGTTTCGAGATAATGGTTTCTATACCAGGTTAGCACTCATTCATTAAGGCGGTTGCTGAGGGCAAATTCATCAAGGCTGGTCACTCTAAGATCGTACCTGTGAGCTCCCAGTGCTGAGCGAGCTTTACATGAGGTAGATAATCGCTCTCCCCGATTCCCCATAGATATGTAGTCACTGTAAAATCTGCACCCCTTTTTGAGCCTGCCATAACACTAATATTCCAACCTTCCGAGCTAGAAATCGGCTCTAGGATGGCGTTTCCTATGAACATGAATTTTCGACATTTTATTATGACATAGTTGAAGCTGACATATTTGTGGTGATATTGGTGGGCAAATCATATGAATGGAGCGTCGAGAAGAAGTGGTTGTCGGGTGGCACTATAGGCATTTAGAGATGTAAGAGCACTCCTTTATCAATCAAGGGCATAAATCTAGACCGGATTGATTCATTTGCGGAGGGATTGTTTGATGGGTAATCCCCAATCTGGTTTATTCATAATAGATCTGATTAATCAGTGTTCCAATCTGTTCGATTTCGATATGCATAATGTCACCATCTTTCAACGCGATCTTGGGGTTGCGCATGGCTCCGATGCCGGGCCCTGTACCTGTCATAATAATTGTCCCTTGTTCCAGAGTGGTGCCTTGTGATAAGAAAGAGATGGTCGAGGCAATGTCAAATATCATTTCTCTATATATTTGTGTCAGTAAATACTTTTTTATATGGGAAGGAAGTAGGATAAGTCCATACCCGGTATTAGAGCTCTGTACCGTGTTACCATTCAAGGTAGCCTTGATCTGGAGCTTGTGAGGGTCTGAGATGGCAGCGGGTGCCACAAGCACCGGCCCAATAGGGCAGGATCCGTCGAGGCCTAAAGTATATGTGAGTTGGGGTGTCTCGCATGGTTGGGAATGATGAAGCTGCGGATATTGCTGCTTTTCTCACTTACCCTTGGAGAAACACCACTGGCTATTCTTGAACTGCTGGTTTCGGGCGCTCACGTCGTTGCTACAAGTGTATCCTAGGACATACTCCATTGCGCGCTCCACGGGAATATCTCGACCCGTTTTCGATATCACGATTGATAGCTCAGCCTCGTAGTCACTCGTCCCATCTTGGGCAATCTTTGGGATATTTATTTTCGCTGGTGCGGGCCCATTCAACGCCGTCCGAGGCTTGAGGAAGAGAACAGGTACGTCGGGGATCGGCATGTTGGCTTCTCTTGCATGATCGCGGTAGTTCAGTCCAAGGCACCGAATGACAGGCACCTCTGCCATGCTCAAAGGTGAGAGAACCTGGGCATTACAGGTTAATCCTGCTCGGACATGACAAAGACGCCTTGAGCCTCTAAGTGTAGCTGTTTCAGCGGGTTATGAGACTTACCCGTGAAATTTCCATGGTCCGGTTCGTGACGATACCATTGAATGCATTCCCTTCGATAAGGTTTGCAGTAATCCTGGCCCCTATATCGAGGGCGAGACCGATGTCCGGCCACTTCTTCGCATCAATTTGTCCCAAATGGATGCGGCCGTCCTCAACAGCTAGGAACCGCACAAGATGCGTCCATCTCGATATTGTGGCCATTTCTTATATTTGAAACGCTTAGATGTAAGAGTAAAAAGAAAAGAGTATAGATCTTTTAAGACTTGTTTAGTGGCATTTCATGACTAACATATATAGTATTCTGTTGATCTACTCTACCAATGAAACTGGCTGACGATCCACGGGTAGAAGCTGAAGGTCACGAAGACGATCCTGTAAAGCGGCATAATTTCGGGCTGTAATTGGAAATATGAAAGCCATCCCTTATTGACAGGAGATGGCGCGTGATATTAGTCAAGACACAGATGTTTAGCAATCAGCAGACAAGTTCAGGTTACCTGTCCCAAAGCGGAGACGGCCCAATTTCGCAGATCGGAGCTGGCCGAAAATGCCCCGAACATCATCACACGAGCTAATGGCAATAATGGTTACATTTCAATGTCAAGATCGATTGAGCTCAGTGAAAAAAAGACAATCAGATATAACCTACTTGGGGGAATTGCACATCAAGTTCCGTGAAGTCACTGTCTCAAGTTTCTCTACATTAGACTGCTCATTCTAACTACAAAATGCAGTGGCCACAATGCTGATTATACGGAATATGCGGCAAACTTTCTATAGCACATAGGTCTCGCTTGTCGGTAGGAGTGTAATTCATGCCATGCTTAATCATATGTGACTTGTAAACAAAAAAGAATATGAAAAAGTCAAAAATTTATAAATAGTAGATACTATCTCTGGAATTCAAAGACGTTAATAAGAGGAACGTAGCACTACTCTCTGTCTGTCTATACGTATAAAGAGGATACATCTAATGCTTAGTATAGTCTCCAGCCCTATCTATTTCCGCTGAGCTGCAGGTCTCTGCCTAATCAATACCCTTCAATCTCTCCTACCTATTGCTGTTGATAGCCCGTTTAGAGTAGGAATGTTGCAGGCAGATCAGGTCCTAGACGATAAAGTGTTAGTCAAAATTCGGGTCGGTTCATTCGTAAGGATAGGTGAGCTTGAAGCCTTGCGTTTAAGACATGATATGCTAATATTCTTACCCCAGACATGAAGATTGTTATGCGACGCTTTGCTCCTGTTCATTTCATGGCTGGAGTTGACAAGATCACCGTCGACGTAATGTTCGAGGATAAAATGCGACGGGTCAAACCTATATCATTTCTGGGTTAGGATCATAGACAAAGTGCCGGAAAAGGCTGGGACAACGCACCAGTAATCAAATATTTGGCTTCCCATGATGTGCCTGCCGACGCCCCAGCAGTTTTCATAACCCTGCTGACGAAGCCAGTCGTGACCCAGCAGCTGTGTGTCGAAGTCGTACGTCTCAAACGAGGAGTGATGGACATGCGGCTTGGGGCCTTCGAAGAAGAAGAAGCAGTGATGATCAACTAACTCTGAGCCCCGGTCAAGGTGCAAGAAGGTCGTAATATCACGGCCGTTTTCATCGTGCACCAGCTAACTCATCAGTTAATGTGGATAAGACTTATGATTGTCGAGCTGTACTCACGTCACTAGGCACGAAATTGAAGCGGGATGTGAAAAAGCTGTAGAACTTGGCAAAATCTGTGACACATAAACCAAAATGGCCCAATTTATGCACTGGGGCGGGACCTGAAACTGTGGAGTTAGATCTTGTTCAACAACGGGCGTCTTTGAATTATACCTTTCTTAAATCTTTGAAATTGGTTTCCTGGTCTCATCTTGACCTCAGGCTGAGAAGGTTAAGTTTTTAGGGTTCTACGAAGAAAGGCAGAAGATGCTACTTACGAAGTTGAACCGTCGCTGCAATAGACCACTGTCTCCAGGCTCAACCGAGGTTTGGCCATGAACGAGATGGAAGGGAAAACCGTCAATAGGATCGGTAAACGTCACACGAAACCCACCACCTGGCTGGTCTAGAAGTTGGAGAACGGGGGTGGCATTCGGAAGCGTCTTCGCGGCATATTCTAAATCTTCAAGCGATTCAACAGCAAAGGCGGCTCCTTCAAATGCATTTTCCGAGCCTTCGACTGCACAATAGATGAAAGGCTCAGATCCTGTCCCACGATAGTAAGTCTTGTTTCCGCTGCGCTTGACTTCCTGAAAGCCGAAGTCTTGTAGGAATTGGTGGGCTTTTTGGATATTCTTATGCGTATAATAGACATGAGCAGCTCGCACAAGCTTGATCTTGCGCTGGCCAGAGATATTTGTGTCAGCCATAGTGCCGAGATGATCGTGGATGGAAGAGAGTAAAGGATAAAGAATAAATAATAGGGTTTCCGGCGAAGCAGAAACCACCTGACCTCCTATTAAGAACCTTAGCGGTATTTATCCCTTCCTTTCACCAGGAGGAATTCCAACGCGGGAAGAAGGAAGCGTGATGCCTTAACTCCCGAAGAGAATATTAGTGGCCGAAATTGGTCCGATTTGTTCTATTGCTCAACCAAACTTAGGTCTATTTCTTGCGCCATTCAGAATTCCAAAATGCTCCGGCATTAATTCTCCAATGGTATGAATTTGCCTTGATTCTACCGAAACTAATCTCTAATAGTCAAGTTCCCGACAGCGTCCGGTGTTCCGACATGACAGTTAAACGGACTATCTTCGGAGCATCTTCAAGTATATGGTCAGTCGCCATGCTCCAAGACAGACATCTTGAGGTCTCTCCTGAGCTTGTGGAAAAGAAAGGAGGATCACAAATGGAAAACGCGGAAATACAATCATGAGTGATTATTGCACTATATCCGGCGATATTTCTTAACCATCATAGTATTTCTACTTTCGTGCTCTTTAAGGATATTCGAGCAGCTCTCCATCAGAATACCGTCCAAGTTATTCACGCGTTTCCCAGCCAAAACAGCTTGTTTAATTCATCCAACACTTCGACAATGACTCCAAACAGCAGCCAGTGCGACAGTGCACATGATATTGATGGGAGCATGGGGACTGCTAATGCTTGTAGCAAGGAAGGTCAGACTGAACCGTCTACGGGCTCTGCGAATGGATTGCAGCCGCAGGGCAGTACGAGCAACGCGGGTGTGGTCTGTGAGAAGGGATTGGATACCGAGTTCTTGATTATTGGTTGCGGCCCAGCAGGAGCTTCACTTGCATGCTTCCTAGCATCACATGGTTAGTCAAGCCTACTCACTTGGCACACGGAAACATCAGCCGATTAATTGCAGAGTTCTTCAGGCTTAAAGGGCATCATGGTCGGGGCAGCGCCTGGCACAGCAAACACCCCGCGGGCGCACATCATGAACATGGCGGCACTCGGTACTTGATACTCTACAGAAAACTAGCCTGCAGCGTATATTGTGTATTGACCTTCTCGCGTAGAGTGTTTGCGTGATATTGGTCTTGAAAAGGATATCGAAGCTGTCTGTTCCAAGGGGCATGCCATGACTCATACACGGTGGTGTCACAGTATGGCTGGCGAGGAGTTTGCAAGAATCCATTCGTGGGGCAATGATCCCCGCCGTAAGGTGAGAAATTGGACTCCTCCAAGTTTTTATTCACATCTTCTGGTCTAACCTTTCTTTTCTTTTTTTTTGAGAACAGGGAGACTATGAGCTGGCAAGTCCGTGTCAACCTGCCGATCTCCCCCAAACTCTGCTTGAGCCAATTCTCATTCGCCAGGCCACGACTCAAGGCTTCAAAGTTCGCTTCAATACTAAAATCCTGTCATTTTCAAAGGATGAGAGAACAGATGTGATCACGGCGGTCTTGCGTGATGAACTTTCGAATCACCAATACGAGATCCGGACCAAATATCTCTTTGGTGCCGATGGCGCGCAAAGCCAGGTCGTGAAGCAGCTTGACCTGCCTTTGGATCGGAAGCCAGGACAGGGCCTAGCCTTCAACGTCCTTGTCAAGGCAGACTTGTCTCATCTCGTTGGCCATCGAAGGGGTAATCTGCACTGGGTCATGCAACCAGACCGAGAACACCCGGATTTCGGTTGGATGGGAATCGTACGGATGGTGAAGCCCTGGAATGAATGGATATTTATCCTATTTCCGAATAGGGATGCTGATTTAACCATGCAACCTACTCCCGACGAGTTTTTAGGACGCGTCAAACAATTTATCGGGGACGATACGCCAGTGGAAATACTCAACATCTCCAGGTGGTATATTAATGAGACTGTTGCAGAGAACTATTCTGTGGGCAACGTGTGAGTGGGCCAGCATTCTCCCAGCTTCTTTTGTTTACCAACTGGAATGTATTGGACTAAGCTAACTTACATTATTACCTACCTGACAGTTTTTGTCTCGGAGACGCCGTGCATCGCCACCCGCCGATGAACGGTCTCGGAAGTAACACTTGCATTCAGGACGCCTTCAACTTAGCATGGAAGATCGCCTTGGTCCATCGGGGCTTGGCGTCACCAGCGTTACTTTCGACGTATAGCTTAGAGCGACAACCGGTCGGCAAGTCCATCATCACACGGGCCAACCAAGCTTTTCGTGACCATTTCGAGGTGTGGAGTGCAATGGGCACGCTGCCCAAGGATGTAGAGAAGAGAAAGCGCATCTTTGCGCAGCTTTCAGAGCCCACTCTCGAAGGGAAAAGGAGACGGGAAGACTTCGAGAGGGCAATCCATGGGACAGCCAAGGAGTTTCATGGCCTTGGTGTGGAGATGGGTCAGCTTTACACTGGGCCCGGGATATACGATGCAGATGAGCCTGTACCTTTCCAGCTGACCGGCGAAGCTGCAGCAAACCCTGTGCTCTACTACCAACCAAGCACATATCCCGGCTCTCGGCTACCACATGTCTGGCTTGACAAGGCTGTGCCAACAGAACCAACCTCAACCATTGACATTGCCGGTCACGGTCGTTTTGTTCTTTTCACGGGAATTGGCGGGCAGGCATGGAGAGGAGCGGCGACGAAAGCAGCGGCCAACTATGGGATTCCACTCGAGTTGCACTCCATCGGCTTCCGGCAGGACTGGGAAGACCCGTATTTTGAGTGGTCACGGCTTCGCGGCGTCGAAGAGTCAGGTGCTGTGCTTGTGCGACCAGATCGTTTTGTCGCATGGAGGGCAAAGGAGGTTCTTGCAAGTGAGGAAGAATGCGCTACCAAGCTTGGAGAGGTGATTAAGGCTATTCTAGGGAAATGAAACTCCGATAAACCTCTACCAGACTCTTGCGTGGCCGATGATTCAATACTATCTTGAGTGGGATGAGACGGATTATCGTAAATAGCAGTAGTACTAGAGAGCACAGGAATCTCTCCACCTAAGAATCAGAAGATAATGGCATTTTTTACTTTCATGTTTTCGGTGCTTTGATTTAGCGATACGGTCAAACTTAATGATTGAGCCGATTTGCCTTGGAAACTGCGTGGTCGGGCAGTGGCGCATAATCAGATGAAGCATTCGAGGCTATAATGGCTATGAATGATAAATGTCCTCAAAGTTCATTGCCTCTACCTCACCCTTCTTACCCTGTAGGCAATCTTCTCCCCTTTTGAGCAACGCTCTATAGTAATAAAGCGTGGTAGAAATCCAACGTTAGGAGATGGAGTCGCTAAATTGCAACCAAGGCCTCTCGCTCCAGTGGTTTTGGGTTTTCCACGTTTAGGTTTGGTAGATCTGAAATGTGTTGACTGATTCGGTGAGATTTCGGCCGTCACCGAATAGCGACCGTTTACCCGGTGGCGCATCAGAGTGGTTTATCTTCGCGGAAGGAAATAACTACAAAGCTTAATTTAGTGTTTTCTATTCGACATGACTGACGTATCTAATTCCACCTTTACATTTTTTTTAACTTTGTCAAATTGGCAGTCGTGGCTTTGTCCACACCAGCTCGTCTAATCTAACCACCGTGCCAAGTCTATATATATTCCAGAACAGGCTCTATCTCGCATCTCAAATTATCTATCGCTTCTCGGTATGTCTGTTTAACTGTTCAACACCATGGAACCCGTTCTAGGCTCAGTTGCATGGAGGGCTCAGGACAAAGGCCCCTTCTGCTTAGCAATATGTTGGACGGTTATTACCATCAGCAGTTTCTTTGTCGTCGCTCGAGTCTGCTCCCGGTGCATTACATTGGGGAAACTACGAAACGATGACTATTTTGCAATCCTAGGCCATGTAAGTAGGCCCTTGTGAGGTTCGAGGTCGAATATTGACGTGATTAACTGTATGAGTGCAGATCTGCGGATGTGTCTCGACGGTGTTTTCGACAGTCGCGGTGTTATATGGCAATGGAAAACACTCTTCTCTTCTCACGCCACATCAGCAGCAAAAGGCCACCTTGTGGACTATGATATCCATCTGTCCAGCAATCATATCACTTGGCCTACCGAAATTGGCCGTAGTTGCGCTCTTGGCGCGTATCTTGAATCCCAGCAGATTCCACAAGTGGATTCTCTGGATAACTGGCATCTGTTGTCAACTAGCTCTGCTTGCCACCGTTGGGATGCTGCTAGGACTGTGCATACCGGCACGCTCGTTGTGGAACCTGTCGGAAGGAGGAAAATGCTTCAACATGAACTTTTTTATAGCCTACAGCATCTGCGCTGGGTGTATGTATATTCCTTCAGATTCTAAATACTACCGCGAAGGGCTTGTGCTAACCGATATAGCCTATTCAGCCTTCGTCGACATCTACCTGGCCGTCTACCCAGCGATAGTGCTATACAAGATTCAGATGCCTCGTAAGAAGAAGTTATTTCTATCTCTTGCTCTGGGCGTCGGCTCCATGTTAGTATTATCAGTGCACTACGCTGCTAAACCTTTAGACTTACAGTTCCAATAGTTCCAGTGCTGTTGCTATCTACAAAATCACGAAAATTCCCCATTTTGGGGGTTCAGACTTTTTGTGTATGTCTCTGCAACCACCCTTGTTTTTTCCCAAACATGTCTCACACTATAAGTAGATGATTCAACTGATGCTATCATGTGGACTCTGTAGGTAAACACTCTCGCCACTCTCCATCTAGATTAGTGTCTGATCAGATCTCACAGAATAGAAGGGAGCACCGTCGTTATTGCTTGCTCGATTCCTCTCCTTTACCCACTACTACGGCTGGTTCAAGGTCGTCATCTTTTCAGGTTGCACAAGGGCTGAGTCCAAAGTCGGCAGTATTATAACGCTTCCAGGGGTCAGGTAAAACCTAGCATCGAGTGTTTGGCCGGCCTAAGAAAGGAGCCAATACCAAGAACAACCGCGGCATAACAGCTAGTATTACTGGCTACAGTCAAGAAAGTATCCTGACACCGCTTGAAAAGGTTGTATTTACCTGCGACAAAAGCAAGTCAGATAGTTGACGGCATGCTCATGCAGATGTGGTAAAACAAAATGGGGAGCTTATCGGTGTGTACTGGCTGCGCAGAATTGAAGCTTAGGATATTTGGAAGGCAGAAGGAGTAAATAATGATGTCAGTGTACAGGACCATAGAAGGCAATATTCAATAGCGCTCTCGGCCGTTTAGTTTGAGTAGAGCTGGGGGTAGACCGAAGATACATCGGTCAAGAGACAAATTGTTGCATATCGAGTAAGGACCCTGAACCGAAATCATTCCGGGAGCCTTGGCCGAAAATCCCCCGCAACTCCCAGCGATTCATCAAGCGCGATCAACTACCCCGGAAATTTGGGTTCAATTTAGCGTGGGGTACGGGGGAGCCCATGGATTATCGCGTAGTTGAAACTGTGTTGCTGCTAGGATAAGTCAGTATACTGTGGTGTAATCTCTGATCTGGAGAACACCAGTTTGAACGGACTATAGATAACAGCAGGCGCTGCTCCGCCCTGTATGACAGGCAGATCACCCTTCAAAGGCGTCTTGTCCTTCACTACGAACTCATCCCTATTCTAAGCTGCTACAGACAATATGTTGAAACATTGGACGCTCGTCACGTTGACCCTCGCGGTCTTTGCTGCGCGTGGAGATGCCAATAGCGGTTCATGTGGACGGCAGAAGCCAAACTTCATCTTCATCATGACCGACGATCAGGATTCTCACCTCAACTCTCTCGACTATCAGCTAGTTGTGCAAAAGCAATTTATCCAAATGGGAACTTCGTTCAAGAAACATTTTTGCACTGTTGCACTGTGCTGCCCCTCAAGAGTCTCCTTACTCACAGGCAGAGCCGCGCATAATACCAACGTCACTGACGTTAATCCTGTAAGTGCCTACATGTTCCATATTGGTCCGGAAAACTAAATTTTGCTTTTCAATCTAGCCATACGGTAAGTTTTCACATTGCACATAATCCAAGTGATTGTGCTCGAGTACTAATCACATGCCCAATAGGTGGATACACCAAGTTCATTGCCGAAGGCCTCAATGACAACTACCTGCCAGTCTGGCTCCAGGCCGCTGGCTACAACACGTATTACGCCGGCAAGCTGATGAATGGACAAACTCCCGCCACCTATAACAATCCTTTTGCAGCAGGATGGACAAGATCTGATTGTAAGACCTACATCGCCTGCATTTCTGAAAACAGTAGCTAATTACTCTCCATCAGTCCTGCTGGATCCCAATACCTACATCTTCAACAACGCCACAATGGTGCTAGACAACGGTTCTGTCGAAACACACACTGGAAAATACTCTACAGACCTGATTGCCAATAGGTCTGTCGAGTTCCTAGGCGACGCCATCAATTCGAAGAAGCCTTTTTTCCTCGGAATTACACCTATTGCGCCTCATTCTGAAACCCTTCTCACGCCTTCTGGGCCTATTTTCAAGGCGCCTGTGCCAGCTGACAGACACAAAGACCTGTTTCCTGACGCCAAGGTTCCGAGGACTCCCAATTTTAACCCCGACGTTGTAAGTGATCTAGCAAGGACGCTCGACTGTCGGACGTACGCCTGTAGCGCAATACTAATCATACCCCATGTCTCAGCCCGGGTCTGTCAACTACTTTGCCACTCTGCCGAGGCTTACCGATGACCAGGTCCAGTATAACGACGACTACTACCGCCGCCGACTCCAGTCACTCCAGGCAGTCGACGACCTTGTCAGCGCTGTTATATCGAAACTGGAGAGTCATCCAGAGGTTCTCGCCAACACCTACCTCTTTTACACTAGTGATAACGGTTATCATATTGGCCAGCATAGGCTCCCGCCTGGAAAATCCTGCAACACGGAGGAAGACATCAATATTCCCTTCATCGTCCGCGGGCCTGGAATCGCGGCCGGCAAGGTCGCCACGTTCCCGACCTCACATACAGATATTGTCCCTACATTGTTCGAACTTGCTGGCATCCCACTCCACGAAAATTTCGACGGCCAGCCAATCCCACTGACTAAAAAGAGTCAGAAATCAAACAAGCAGAAGCAAGAGCATGTGAACGTCGAGTTCTGGGGGGAAGGGATAATGGAGGGGACTTTATATTCTCATCTTGGTATGCTAGCTATGTTAACACTACAAGGCTGCATGAAAAAGCACTAATACCAAGGGACGGATAGCGGACCAAGTCAGCAAGAATACCTACAAGACACTGCGTGTTGTTGCCGAAAACTACGACTTCTCGTACACTGTCTGGTGTACTAATGAACATGAGCTATATGACATGAAGGTACGTCAAGAAATAAGCCATGTTGCCCTTTGCAGCAGACTGATGCCTCCTCTACAACTTGCAGACCGACCCATATCAGATGAAAAACCTGTACGGCTCCAAGGCGGCTACATCGAGCTTCAACATTCCCGATCTCACAGAGCGACTCGACAGTCTTCTCCTCACGCTTAAGAGTTGCAAGGGGAAATCCTGCCGACAACCATGGGAGACTCTCTTTCCTTCGGGAGAGGTACAGAACCTGCAGCATGCGATGAAGAAGAAATACGATAGCTTCTTCAAAAGTCAGGAGAGGGTCTCGTTCTCCGCGTGTCTCAAAGGATACATCACGTCCGCTGAAGGTTCCTTGCACTCAGAGCCATATGCCGGCAAGCTCGCTGACGGAGAGTTCGAAGCCAGGTGGGAGGATTGGGTTTAAGGATCACTGAAGCCAAGGTCATGGTCAAGTCACAGGAAGACCTCTAACTCCTCCGCCTCACTCGACTGAAGCTTCTGTCTTCTATATAACTCATCTTCTGGACCTAAACACTAGGTGTAGATCTTTTGACATTCTACTTCCTGCCCCCTGTCATAGGATTAGTATCATACCGTATACTACTCGCACGTGTCAACCCATCCAGCTCAGAATATTACTACATACAGAAATTTCGTTCTTGATCATTTCCTTTCGCCCCGTCGAACTGGCTATAATATAACTAGACCGCAAAAGAAGGGCAAAGGGATGATATTTTTAGCTAGTTAACATTTATCTTTATTACCATTTGTGTCACCACTCTCTGTCAACAAGAGCTCACGTGTAGTCCGCAACCATCCCGTAAAAGCTGACATCAATGTTATTAGTTCGCCTCGACCAACGAAGACCAGGCCCATGTATGATGTATGAATGTATGAGGTAATTTGTTGGCCTGAATTAGTGAGCTCACGGTCTCCCAAGTCCGACCAAGACAGTTATTGCATTGTCAAAAGCCCAACGGCTGATGTCTGAAAAAGTGAATATATTGCAAGAAACGTTGAGTTATAAACAACTATTTTACAAAATAGATTTTACCCACCCTAAAGAGATACTAGTTCTCCAGGGTCGATGGTAATAATCTTGCATTGCAAGCAAATGATCAACGTGAGATCATTATAGTCTAGTCAGAGATTCTTTTAACCTAAATCGAAGGCTGTAGTCTTCTTTACCAATCTATTTTACCTCGCATGTGCTGGTGACGATGCGTTGGCCTGTGAATTCTATCAAGATTTTCATCGGGTCTATAACTACGCCACAGTGTAGACGTCTCAGATCACATTATAGTCTAACTATTGCTAAGGGGAACGAACATCCAATGGCATTGAATTATTTACTATCTCAAGGTTCGAATTGAATTTGGCCGGAAGCGGAAGCGCCCGGAGAATGTAGTCTTGGTTGGCATCGCATTGCTCGCGTGCTGGCCTGCCAAACCCCTGCAAGAACATATTCGACACTCAGTGAAGACCCGAGTCCTGAATCCCATCAAATACATGACGGCATGCCTAGCCCAAGTCTGACAAGCCTGCTACGACAATAATTGACAAGAGCCTTTCATGCCGTCTTGAAACCAAGGCTTCCACTCCTCTCTCGCAGCGCCTTGCCCCAGATCATCAAGCCCACAGGAATGAGTGAAGCACCCGCGACGATGGCAGCTTGCACGCCGAAGCTGCTCTTCGCACCCACAGCACCTGCCCAAGTCACTTGGAAATAGCTAATAATGAAGCCACCGGTAGTCCGGGCCATGTTGATCCAGGCGGCAACTTCTCCACTTCCCTCAGGATAGCTGTCCAGGCCGTAGGCGTTGATAGCGACGGTAGTGATCATGATGCCAAAAACATACATGCCCCATCCCAAGGAGGTAAGCATGTAGTGGTATCCATTCTCTAGGGAGAATCCCAGAAGGACCATGCCCGCGACCATAAAAGGTGTCGAGATGTAGATTGCTCGGAGGCGAACTTCGGGCTCGAAACTGCGATTGTGCTTATTGATATACTGCTGTGCAATGAGATCATGGATCCAGTGGCCAGAGATTTCACCGAGGAGTGTGGCAACCACCGGTGTAAAATAAAAGAAACTGGGGAAAAAGTTAGTGGTCGTGGTCAGGCCAAACAAAAACCTGTAAAGAAAGATATTGGTTGAGCAGCAAAAGACATACCCGATCTGCTTTGGACCAAAATCGTAAAGCGGAGCCAAGAAGATTGATAATGTAGCTTAATTGGAGTCAGCTTCTGAGAACTGAGAGATATCAGAATAAACAGGTATACGTACAGCTGATTCCGACGATCCAAGCAAACGTCAGGACGTAATAGAAGGATATCAAGAAGACTGGGAGCTTAAATATAGCTTTGAATGGTCGAAGAAGCGCATCAACTGGAGAATTTGGCTTCAGTAGATCCACACGGCGTTGGTGAACACCTAGAATGGTGAGAATACGGGATCCGTTCGAAGAGCTGTCGTGATGCTCTCTGTTGTAATACGTCTCAGGCACAAAGAGAACGGTTAAAATCAGAGCTATACAACACATAGCAAAGAATAACCAAAACGCAATATTCCATTTTTGGGTTGTGATGATGAAGGCAGTGAGTAGGGGACCCAAATACGGACCTGCAGTAGAGTGTCACGTCAGAGGCCATAGTGTAGGCACAAGAGAAGCCTGAATACCACTTACTGACAATGATGAAGCATGCCCAAATATTGATCTTCCTAGCCCGTTCATGAAAAAAGAATATGTCGTTGATAAACATCAAGCCTCCACCTTGGGCAACCTGTGATGAATCAGAGCCAGTCACACAGAGCTGAGAAGCTAAATAAAGAAGATTTGGGCTGGTTCTCCCCTCTCTCTCCTTTCATAATTAACTTACTGTGGAAAAAAATCCATTCAGGATACGCGCAGCCATAAAGCTTTCGAAAGTGACGGCCGCAGCACACCAAGCCGCAGTAGCGCTAGCAAGCAGAAGGAACCAGAAGAGAACAGGAAGGCGACCGAAATATGCAGACAAGGCGACAACGAAAATGCCGCCTGCGCCCAGCATGAAGACATTCCCGACCTGAGAATGATTCACAGTATCCGGATTCATGTTCCAGATTGCTGCTTGTTGGAGCAACGTCACAGCACCCGAGCCGGAGCCATAATCTGGCAGCAGGGCGGCCCATGATATGATAAAAAGGACAAGGTGCTTCTTGAATGGAGACCAGTTCAGAGGATCCTCGGGATCATCACTGGGCTGCGGGATGAGGACCGTGTGTCCATCTTTAGCCAGCTTGGTGATAGGACCTGACGCGCTGCCCTCTGCGTCCATGTTGCACGTTCGTTGGCCATGAGATGCCGACTCTTTCTCTTTCTCAATGTCCAGGGTGATGTGACTGCTACTGGGTTTGAGATCTGCGTCGTTCATCTTTGTGGAATTTTGGAGCTCAGAGGCAACAAAGGGGGTTGGCATGGGAGAATTCAGATAAGAGCAGCCGATAAATGAGACTATTTATGAGTAGAGATTGACGAAGCAAACAAGATAGAGGGACGATAGACGAAGCAATATATATATTAAAACACAAAACTAGACCCCGAATAGATTCATCCCCATGGACCGGGGACACCGCATCTAGAGATGAGGTCCAAAAGGTTGCGGGGAAGCTACGGACTGGCGCAAGACCCCAAGAGGAGAACTTGATTCGTCAAAGCCCGTTCTCTGAATTCATGGCCCTTGCAGCTTCCCAGAACTCATTCAACAATTCTGAGCTCATTTCGTTGGATAGGTACTGAATGTGTCTAGCAACGAAGATGAGTTGATCAGAACGCCTAAGGTTCGGGGGAATTTCGGTACCTCTCTAACTGACAAGTAATTCCACCGAAGATGCCACGAGAAAGGGGTCAATCTTTCGTTGTCCTAAAATCCTAAGACAGATCGTCGACGACAGCCGAGCATCCGGCGCTATGATCGTAAGAGCCTAGCCTAATACTAGCTCTCATTAGGCTTCTTGACCGGCCTCTGAGGCTGACCAAATAATGCGGGGTAAGTCATTCCATTCCATGATGATTGGCACTGATGGCTGTTGTGCCCCTTGACAAGTTAACTCTGAACTAGAGCTACAAATGATGTCTTTATGGCCTCACCTTATCCTCTCCTGTACCGTTTGGCTGTTTATGCTTATTAAGGGTGCGGGAATGTAGTGTTTTCCTTTTAGCTATGCTTTAAAGTAAAACATTCATGATAACCTTGACGATGATAAAAAGATTGGGGTTTAGTTACAGGGTGAAGCATTACAACTATGAATAAACACCGGTGCTCCCGCCCGGCAAAGAGATGTAAACAAGAACAGCCAGATATCAGACGCGATTTGGAAATCTTATCGAATTTCACGGTCATGAGCTTGAAATAAGATCTAGACTCATCGAGAATGAATCTCAACAGGTTTTCCGGGTCACCCCGCAGTTCAGCTTCTCGTTTGCAATTTGAAGATTACAAAGCGAGTCTAGTAGCAGTACTTTTTGGGCCACTCGGTGCCGCGCTACGTTCAAGTTGCAATACGTAGTTTAGTAATGTAATTTGCACCCAGTTTTCTTTTTTAGCGCCGTGCAGGGGCTGAAACCCAACAAGAACCTTAAGGCAATACGACCTGATGTTTCTGTTACGTTTGGATACTGGAAAACCTGCTTTGTGGTAGTGGAGTCTTGCTGCTCGCCGGTTACACAGGTCACAGATCCGCATGGAGGCTGACTTGTCTCGTTAACCTCTTCACAATCCACCAGATGCGTTGCAATGTGGCCCAGCATGCGAGACACACAGGCCGGACAGCGTAATCCAGAGATCTCATGCCAGTCTTGCAGGAGGTTTGCTGCGTTCATGCCCACAGTCTTCCTGCTCCAAATTGGATGCTAATTGTTTTATCATATTTCCCAGGCGGAAGGTGAGATGGTAAGTTATCAAAGCAACACGGGGTCTTCCTCTAGAGCCAACATAACCTTATCACAGCGATCGCAAACGCCCCCAGTGTCATGCCTGCGAACAAACAGGCCTGCAGTGTGAATACCCGCTGCACTCGAAGAAACCTGGGCCAAAGCTTGGCAAGTCACCGCGTCAAATCAGATGTCAACAGTAGCTAACCACCTGGTCAGGATCCTTCCAGCGCCAGAAGAGGAAACGGCGAGAACGTCAGACCAGAACAAGAGTACAGAATGAGCCCGAGGGTCTACATTCCCCAGGGTCGGCCTCCCATAATGGTGATGGCCCTGAAGGTCCCCTTTCGCTTCCCGACGCAGAAGGGAGCCCCCCAACAGCGAACTTGGAGGAACAACGGAGTCCACACCTTCGTAGCACAAACGAGTCGAGGATTAACATGAGCAACCTATCTTTCATTCTACATCCCTCCCATGAGGCGGCTACGACAGAAAATGATCCATCTGCTAGGAGCGCAGAGCACAACGAACAACAGCTTCTTGTGGATCGATCTTGCGATGCCCTCGGACACTCTCGCGATTTTGTGGAAGATATGCAAGTGGTCCTGGTTTTCTTTTCAGACCTCTCTGTAGCCTATAGCGAAGGAGCAATTGGCTCAACTGGACTCGGCTAACTCGATCGAGTTTATATAGGATTCGGCTTTATTTCGAGAATATGGTGGCAATCAACTTGTTCCACAAGCCCTCTTTTGGAAACAAGATTGCGGGCATCACTTGCCAAGTACAGATCAGCGCCCTGCTTGCCGCCATGCTAGGCTACGCCGCCCGATTCTATCTTACCGAGCCAACGCTCGCCTCACAGTACAGACCTCGTCCAGTTCCGGAGAACACTTCGCCGGAATACTTCTTAAACAAGGCAGTAAAACTCATTGATGAGTCCCTTACAGAGTGTGATGATGCACCACCTCCCATTTGCGTTGTCCAGGCCCTGATCATTACTACGCACTGCCAGCTGACAAGAGGCGTCCATGGAAAGGCGTGGAGATCATTAGGCATGTGTGTGCGCCTGGCGTACGAGCTCAACTTACATCTGATCGATGCACGCTCCGGCTCTCGCATGCGCCAGAGGGACCCTGTTCAGTGGCGAGACGATGAAGAAAAGCGTCGTGCTTGGTGGGCTATCTGGGAAATGGATGTCTTTGCCAGTACGATCCGGCGAACCCCTACCGCCTTAGATTGGGCGCACATGGAGACCCTGCTTCCTGTGGACGATACAGACTGGAGCAGTGATCGGCCTGCTTCGAGTACATTTCTGGCCAGAGATCCCATCCAGCGGTGGAAAACACTCGAAGCCACTGGAAATCATTCCCCAAAGGCCTGGTTTCTTGTAATCAACTCCCTAATGAAGGATGCCCAGCTCATTTCCGACCCTATGGGCGTATCTTCCGAACCAGATATGGTACGTAGCTCGGCATCGCCCAAGGAATATTCAAATGGTACAAGTCCAAGCACTGTCAAAGATGCTCGACAACAGTTGGAAATGCTGGCGAATGCGGTAAAATGCTTCGTATTAGCTCTTCCGCAGCATTTACGATATAACGGCCTCTGCCTTACCTTCGATCCCCCTGAATCCCCCCGGGTGGTTTCCATGCGGCAACTGCATTGCGGCATATACAATATCTTCGTCATGACTCAGCTAGCTCGGCTGATGATTCACCGATATCATCTATTCCGCCAACCAGCCTACTCAGGTCAGTCCGGCCGAGAGGACAGGCCTGACAGTTCGTCTGGACCAATGTATCTTGACATGGACAACCTTTGTATACGACAATACTTTGAGGCAGCTGACAACATCCTGACCATCGTGAGTCGTAGCTCTGAAGATCATATTAGACATATAAACCCTTTCCTTCTTAGCACTATATGGCTTGCTTGTGCCGCCCAATTGGTACGTAAGTATCTCGGTCCCGCATGGATCAACCCTAGCCTCGTCAAGTCGCGATACGATGTCTTGTACTTGACCTACAAGAGATGTGTCAGCTTCTGGGATGCAAAGACTGCGTTACAGGAAAACTTGGAGTCTCTTGAGATGCATCTCGAAAGGCATTTTCAAGTGACCGAGGACGAGGCACCCCGGACATCTTGGGCAAGAGAGTCTTTGGCACAGAGACGCATGGTTTATTCTTCGTGTGTCTCGGATCATTCAAATCCTGGTCAACAAGCCACCAACAGACGTTCATCTACAGCCGATAATGTCAACAGTAAGTGCATTTGCATTGCAAAAACTCCCTACTCGTGGGCACTAACTGTTGAGCCGTTGCAGGCACACATACAAGTCCAATTTCATGCCCGCCACCTGATGAAAGGCACGCCGAGCGCAGTGCAGGTAGTCGGGATCAACAATGCCTGCATAAAACACCACCATTTGTCGAATGGGAGGGCAATCATATCCGTCCCGCTAGCGCTGTAATCCCAGCCTCTCACTCAGAAAGACATGTGGATAATGTCTCGGAGGACCAGCAACAACTTCAACAAGAATTTCCACAACAGCCCCTCTTCATTCCCATGGACTGCAGGCCTCGACTGCCACTCTCTCCCGCAGCATCACAGAACACGGCGGAGGGCACAAATGAAACATGTCAAGCGTATCTTGACTTCTCGCATACGCCTCGCTCTTCAGTAATAAACCCCCCAATCTTCGCTCCCTCCCAAACTCAGAGTACGGACATGCAAGCCATTGGACAAGATAGTCTTGAATGGTGGCCTCTCGACTTCCCTGTTGATCTCAAAGACTTTCTCTCCGGGATGTCGAATTACTAGGGCCTATTTTCTACATTATACCCCGGCGGACACACGTAGTGACGAGGGTAGAAACGGACCCCCTTGTCTACTTAGCTAAATAACTTGGTCGAATTCGTCAGGAACTTGGGATAAAAAGTCTGCAGCCGTCCCAATCTTGAAAATGAAAATCATGCCCACTTAAACCTTCAATTGAAGCCCTTCCCTGCATAACCCGTGACCAAGATCTCCTTTGATGGCTTAGGGAAATACCTTTAGTTGTGATGTCAGTTACAGAAGCCTAATTCACTGAGCCCAGAGGGATTCCCTTAATTAAAGCTAGCTGCAGCTGTTATCTAAAGTAACTATTAAGGGAAACATCTCCAGATGATTTATATAATCTGTTATTTCTATCCTTTTGATTACAATTTAATATTGTCATCCTATAGCTTCTTCCTTTATTCTGTGATAAATCAACAATCCATATGATAGACTGCTCAACTACAAAGCCTCCACCTCCATGTATCCAAACCTCTAGATCTGGCTTGTTGTGGTTGCGTTGCCCCAATCGCCCGCTTCAGTAGGCACACCAGAAGGGCCTTATTAAATTGTCAACTGGGAATCGAGAGCTGGCTTTGAACTTGACACGGTCTTTGATATTGGGGTCTAATTACTACAGGTAATCAAAATGCCTATTGAACCACCGTGGCATACTGCTTCTTTAGCCGGATGAGTCGAATATCTCTTTACCCCGGCGTCAGGGCTGATCAGGGCCGCCATGGCGAGAAGCGCATATAGTAGACAAGGCGTGTAAAAGGTGCGATCTCCATTGCCCCTGCTCCCATCCCAGATGCAACGGTGGCATAAGAAAATCTCCCGGTCGATGACGAGCAAATGGCATGACTGCCATTTCCAGAATAAGTCGAGTAGATGGGCGACGATGGGCTCCGGTTCGGGAGAGGCCTCAAGGGCGGCTCGAGATCGCTGGCTGATCTCGTCCGCAGGGGATGATATATCTTGCTCGCCGCCGAATAGTCTGGCCCTAGACAGTCTCTCGGGCCCGGATTGACTTTTAGAATACGAGAACAAGCTAGGCGAGCCAAAGTACTGACTATTTCTAGCCGATGCGTCCCTACCAAGTTTGGCTGCTAAGGTAGCGACCTCGTCCATTTCGGAGGGGAAGAATTCGGCGATACCTTGGGCGCTGGAATCTACTTCCTGCTGCTGAACTTGGGCGGGCGGAGCGTCACTATCAGGCCCAAGTTCATGGCGGTTTGACTGGTTGGAGAGTGTAGCCATAGATTGTGATGTGGGCTGCGACATGTTCTTGATCAAGTCTTCGAGCGCGGCAATCCTCTGATGTAGGGCTTTGTTGTCTTGGGTCTGGCCGTTGTTCCTCTTGTCTTCCCCGTAACGAACCTCGCATGTCTCATTTCGATTGGAACACAGCAGTGGGAAGATGCTGGCTACGTAGCCAAAGGATGCGAGGCGTGGCGACAACCGCTGGGCGAGACGTCAAGGATGGATGGGAGCGAGCGGTTTCCGTCAGTCCGCCGTTACACCTTGGCATAACTTGCATAACTCTCTCACATAGAGGGATGGATTCCGGTTCGGCCCATTCAATATCTCACAACTGGATTTATACTATCAAAACATGCCCGTACTAGATGCTGGCGCAGAGAGCCCTCCCACGCGTTTCCGTACTGCTGGCCTACGGCCCTTTCAAGACGACGATGTCGTGGCTTGGAGAAGTCCCTCCACCACATATTGAGATAGCCACACCAGTCGTAGTGTATCCTGAAGCGAGGAGAAGGTTGGAGCATTTACTAGATCGACTGACGTTGGTAGATGATCCAATGGAACAACTGATGTTTGGAACGTCGGATGAAGAGCTGTTACATATGGTTGGCATTTCAGTCCACACCTGCCTAGGCGGCTTCGAAGTCTGCTACGAAATGGCGCCGCCACGATGAATAGGGCAGATGACTCGTGCAATGAAGACACTGGCAATTGATGGGCGTCGTGGAGAGCGCATCGCACATGTCTACCTCGGGCTTCACCACAATCGTCATTGTCACCAACTGGGATCGCCACTTGATCATTGGACATAGTTCTCGTATCGCGAGAGTGACTTTACAGTCTGATCAAAATGTCTGTGGGCATATTTGGATGTTGGAACCGCTTGGGCAGTGGTTTCCGGATGCTGCACGGAATTGGCTGCTTTGGGACAAGGTTGGAGGGTATCCAACCGCCAGAGGAACGGAGAACCCATGGCCACTGGGAACCGCAGCAGGCACCGCCAGAGGTCGCAAGTTTGAATCACAGGTATGGGTCGTTGACGGGCAGGCTGGAAGACGTCTACCCTCGTGGCCATGCATTGGCGAGGCTGATGGAACGTGGATGTACTCCGAGCTGGCTCGACTGTTCCCGGCCCATCGCGAGGATACGTGTGAGCATTGTCGAGGGAGCCTGAAGGGAGCATCCTCACAAGCCTGCGCATCTGGTGGAACAGTGCCGTCATCTTGGGGCGAATGAAGGCCAAATCAGCCAACCAGGATCGAGGGTAGGGTTCCATCGAGCTCCGCCACCACCGAGAAGAGGGTCCTGAGCCAGGGATGAATGTCAGACTGTCAGCTTCAATCAGCCGTAATCATGTGCACTCGGCCTGGCCCAGCCTGTGGTCAACCTCAGTGCAACCAGCCAGCGCGCCAAAAGGGATCCCAACGCTGCGGCGGATGACTGACGCTGGACCGACTGACTGTCTAAGCTGCCGACGCCGTGAGCATGGCTCGAGAGATCGAGTACCAGCCTCTCAGCCAATCCCGTCATCAGATCCGTCTGCTCCACATCAGGCGCTTCGTGACGGACCACAACAGCCCGATTGTGTGTCGTCTGGAGATCTTCGACCGCCTCGAATGCCCCCCTTATACGGCGCTGTGCTATGCCCGGGGCACTGGACACCCGGCAGCCGTCATCACCCTCAATGACCGGGACTTCTCGATACAGGCCTCGGTGGCCATGGCCCTGCGGGAAATATGCCTCAAAAAACAGCACCCCCGGGTCTGGATCAGCCAGATATGCATCAACCACCAGAACGACAGAGAGAAGTCATATCAGATCCGCCATTTACGGCATGTCTATAGCTCCGCCACCTCTGTCATTGCCTGGCTCGGCCCTGCCTTTGAGAATAGCGAGGTACTCTTCGCACATCTTGCCCAGATGGCTACCATGGCCCAGAGCCACGACTGGAACGGCCTCGTGAGACTGCACAGTGACTTTTCCTACGTGCAGGTTCTCGCGAATGCTTTTTACTTGCTGTGTTCCCGACCATACTGGAGCCGGCTTTGGGCGATACAAGAGTTTGCAGTTGCGTCTCGATTGCTGATCATGTGCGGAAACTCGACGATTTCCCCCAGGATGCTGGATGCTATCCAAGACCTAATTGATATTCTCCAAGAAGCAAATTCAAGACGGCCTTCCAGAAGGAAAGAGCAGCTCATACAGCGACTCAAAATGGCCTTCTATCCCAAATCTCGCAGCTTCATGGCAAATCTACTGGCTCGTCGCGCAGCCCGCCAGGCGCAGCATGGCAGCCGTGAAACCTTCTTCCAGGTACTAGTGAATTGCCTGGTGTTGCAATTCGAATATAATCACACAGAAACAAGAGATCCGCGCGATCGTTTGTTCTCATTATTACACCTCTCGGCGGACTATCACCACTTCGAGAGACTCCTGGACTATTCCCACAGCTGCGAAAGAGTCTACCGAGACGCTGCCATAAACTTGCTGCAACAGGGAAATATAGATCTCTTTTCATACTGCCAATTTCCGAAAAGGATCCAAACTCTGCCCACATGGGCTCCTGACTGGTCCATGCCTTTGCGCAATCCTTGCAGCATGTCACCTTGGGTCAACAAATTCGCCGCCTCGGGGGATACTCGAGGCAAACAAATTCTAGCCGAAACCAGCTCTGGGAGGCTGTCACTCAGAGGCTTGAAAGTTGACATCATCAAAGCGTGCGGTAATATCTGGGACCCAGACTGGGAACTGCCACTCAGCAAGGAAGGGGCCATTGATTTTATCGAAGACATTCTACAATTATGCAAACAGTCCCCACGCGTATGGGTAACAGAGGAGCTTTCGGACGCAATAAGAGTTGCAGTGTTAGACGGCGCCAAATGCTCCGACCACGATCTTCACAGGCGTATCCGGGCAGGCCAGCCCGCCGAGCTCATTTCGGCGTATGAAAGATTAAAGTCTTGTGACGAGAAGCAGCAGCTGGACGATAAGGACTGGCTGGTCCGCTCGCTGCATTATCTTCATTCGCGGAGACCATTCATGACCGCGGCTGGGCTGATAGGTCTTGGGCCGTCACACATGGCAGAAGGAGATGAAGTCTGTATTTTATATGGCGGGAAAATTCCCTATCTGGTCAGGCCTCGGCAGGGAGCCGAATGTATATTGATTGGAGAGGCGTTTGTTCATGGGTGCATGTATGGAGAAGCATTGAGAGGTAGCATAGAGGAAAAGTCATACCTAATAGTCTAATAAGAAACATACCTTTGGTTGCAGTAGAACGAACGGAGAGAAAATCCTTTGTCTCTCTTCATACTAGCATATCCAAGAGGCGAATCTTGATTTCCCCGTCAGATATGTTGCATATTCAACCCAATATATGCTTGAGATTAGAACCTGATCACTATTTTACGCACTAATTGAGCAGCCTCCCGGGTGGATCTGGCTTCGCATACGGCCGGTTCAACAAACAGATACTCGTCCCCGGATAGACTAATATTAGTCGTGATAGCTTCGCAGGTCATGGGTGTCACAACCGTGAACCAGTAATTCCCGAACACGCTGTTAGGTTAAGTTGGTAGACATATCATTCCTACCTTCCGTGTCAAGAAATGGTGGCTGCTTGACATCCAAATGGGGGCAAGTTGTGCGAACAAATCGTTGTGCTGAGGCAGCGGCCAGGTTTGCTTGTAGGAACGCGGTATTATTCCGAAAGGGTTAATAACATGTGACAGTCACAACAAAGCAGGAGTCGAAGTGTACATGCCTTGTCAGTTGGAAAAGACCCACGAGTCGGTGAATTTCGGAGGTTTACTTGATTCTTCAGCTTCCATCGTCAACTGTGGCACGTCATCCCACACTCACCACGATGCTCTCTGGAGCAATATGTGAAAAAGCAACTGAGATATCTAGATTGGGAAGGAAGCTGTAGATTAATAGACATGAATGTTTCTGTATTCGGCATAACAGGGCGAGGATTACATGTATATTTGATGCATTATTATTCCTGTCGGGACGAGCAAGTGAATAACATTCAGACGATGGTACTTTTGTATCATCTCGTCAAATTCATCTGGAAGTATACTAGAAGTATCATAAGACGGCACTTTTGAACGAGTGTATGTGCCAACTCAGCTCCCATGTGCATGGAGTTAGACACGTATGGTACTGTCACAGGACGCCCACATGTTGTGACCTGATGATGGTCCAGTTAAGGTTGCTACCAAGGTGGAGGGTTTTCCATCTACCGTGAGTCATTTATATCGTGCACCTCAAACATGCATAGGTTGTATTGTAATGCAGAGTGAAAACTCAAAGGAGATCCCCTTCTGTTCACCGCAGAGTGGCGGGAGGAAGGCTTACGTTATGGGGGGCGAAGGCGACATTCAAAAGAGCCGAGGCTAGTAGGGGGATACGCCGAGAGCTGGGGAGGGTGATAACTGGCGGTGTTCCCAAGGTTGGTTCAATGAAAAAACAGGTAGATAAGTACGGCTACCGTAATCCACAGATCGGCAACCATAAATGCCAAGTTTATTCATATGCATGATAAAAGGCTTGTTGTTACTGTAGCTAAGCATCAGGCGAAGGACCACATGCTCCGTTTTGGAATTTCAGCGCTGGTATTGGCCTGCTGGGCGGTGTAATCCCTGTCTGCTGATTTGTTGGCCTGTAATGAGATTTCCAAGGGTCAAGGCTTAAAGGCGAGGGTCCACGATCGATGTCACATAGCGTTTCGATTGCAGGGATGTGAGTGCACCAGCAGTGGTGTTGGAGGTTGGAAGTGAGGGGAGGCTTACGACGACTAGTTACATTGCAGACCTCCAGATTTAACCCAAATGGGCCATCTGCCATGGTGTCAAATAAACCGGAGGCCAACTTGGTATTCAACCCATGTTCCCTTGGAGGAAAGCAGATACCCGCCCTGCACACCATCTACTACCTACCTCTTACATACTCACAAGAGCCGGGACTATTGTCGGTACCACCTTGTTCTGTATGGTGTATGAAAAGCGGATATTGGTGTAATCGTCACAGTTTACTTGACGAGCTTTGAGCAGAAGCAACGTTCTTTGCGTTCTCCTTGATGTATATCCGTTCCTTGTATTTCATTTACGTTCTCTTCAAAATGCTTTGCCAACTAACTCTAGTTGGTAAGGTTTTCTTTGACAAATGTTGTAGTTTGTAGGCATTGGATGAATGATACATCGATCCCACTTTCTTCAACAAGCCTGTAGCATCGAGAATGAGACTGGAACTTCTGGAACAGACCCCTGGGTAACCCCCACCATCTTGTAAGTGATTTGGGTCCATATCAGTTTGATTTTTGAAATCACCTAGCCGTGATTGGCCCCCTTACTGAAAAAGGAACATTGGGCTTTGTTTCTGTTCCTGAATTAGGTCGTATGTCCCACAATTTTCAACCGCGAGTGCTGGAGGTGTACGCAGCCACGAAACTCCTAACGGCCCGTGTTGCATTGTTTCTTCTGACGGCCAAAACAAATTCTTGCATGAGCTTCCAATAACGGCAACACCTGGGAAACGATAAGAATTCCTTTTGTAGACAGAATGGAGACTGCGGGGTGCGAAATAGAACGGGGGCATTTCGCAATCGTAAACATAGGGAGCGAAGTGAAGGTTTGAAAAGTATATAATGGAGATGCCACCCGCTTGTCGAACACTTTCTCCCCAACAGCAAACCTCCGGCAGCTACTTCAGCCTCGTACTATTTGAGTCTGCGAATCCCACAACATGCGCCTGTCTTCTGTCCTTACGACAGTCGCCGCGGCTACTCCCTTTGTAGCTGCTCATCCTGGAGATGACCATTCCAAGGACGTTCTACAACGCCGAGACTTCGTCTCCAAGGTGGAACGGACCGACCTGGCTCATTGTGCGGAGACCTTCAAAGCACGTGGCATTGAGAAGCGTGCCATTGAACGTCGAAAGAACATCATGAAGCGAAGGTCCACTAGCCGTCGCGTCGTTCGTGCTCCTGAGGACCTGAACAAATCTCACTATTCATCCTATAAGTACGATTTGGAGACCCCATTGGATGTCATCTTTGGCAATGGCACATCTTGTCTACTCAGCCCCGAAGCGACCGAGGGTCCTTACTGTGAGTATTGTACATTCATTGTGGTAAAATATTAGATTTACGAGACCTGAAAGACTAATCATGCTACAGACGTTGCCGGCGAGTATGTTCGCCTAGATATTACCGATGACGAGCCTGGTGTACCTCTGATCCTGGACTTGGACGTCTTTGACGTAGACACCTGCGAGCCTATCACTGATACTTTTGTTGAAATTTGGAGTAAGTCGATACCATATAGGGTAACCTGGAAATGCGTTTCACAACTAACAAGTTCTAGGTTGCAATTCAACTGGAGTCTACTCTGGCGTGTCTAGTGGTGGCGACTACACTTCTGCACCCGAGAACCTCAAGACCACATTCCTCCGAGGCTTTCAAAAGACTGACGAGATTGGCGCCGTGCGCTTTGATGGAATCTATCCGGGCCACTATAGCGGGCGGACCCAGCACATTCATCTTATGGTTCACCCCAACGCAACTGAGCGGTCCAACCACACCATCGCTGACACCACTGCAAGCCATGTCGGTCAAGTGTTTTTTGACCAGGACCTGACTGACGCTGTCGAGCTGGTGGCTCCTTACAGTACCAACACCCAGTCAATCACTGTCAACTCACAGGACGGTATCCTGAACGAGATTCTGCGCACCAGTGATCCCATTGTCCAATACGTCTTCCTCGGTGACCAGATCCAGGACGGCATCCTCGCCTGGATCAGCTTTGGTGTCAACTCCACCTACGCTCGTACTGTTAGCGCTGCAGCTACATACTACGAGGGTGGTGGGCAGGATAACGGCGGCGGCGGCGGCGGTCCTGGCGGTCCTGGCGGCCCTGGAGGTCCTCCTCCAGGCAGTGATTTCCCCTTCCCAACAGGCACTGACTTGCCAACCGACTTGCCCACCGGCACCCCTACCGAAACTCCTACCTCATCCGCCTAAGTGAGTGAGTGGTGTAGATGAATGGGACTGGGGGTGCCTCTGGACGTCTTTGGGAGTCCGTCGAGGTCGAGAAAATCGCGATGTACACGATGATGCGAACTCTCTATCAACTACTTTTCCTTCTCGCGAAAATGGGGACGAATATATCTTCTTTCACACGAGTCATTACATTAAATTGCATGCTTTACGACTCGTTACCGCCATTTTAAGTCTAGCTACTCAATTTACATAACCACACACACAATTGGCCTCGTCCCGTAGACTACTTATGTATAGGTACCTAGTGCAAGATGCAGACTGTAGGCTCAGAGCTATTCATTGTGTTGAGTTGTCGGGCTCTGGCAGCTTCCATTGCTGTTAAACTTTATTCTCTTTCTCTTACGTACGTAGGCTCAGAGCATCCAATGACACCAATAAGAGCTCCTCAATCACGTGAATATTCTCAGTTACTGGAATTGGTG